GTCCATACATAAATCATCATACTCCTCCTCCAAACTCCGGTCCGAATCGGACGAGTCCTCTTGGGCACGTGCCCGCTTCCAGGAGCTCTATTGCGCGGTGGTATCGCACCATCCTTGACAGCCTGACTCGTGTCAGTCATTGCAGGCTGAACCTGCAGTTCTGGAGGGGAGGCAATATGTTTGCTTTTCGTCAAGGCTTTGCGTCCCGGTTGTACCACATTAGTGGTTCCCGGGTTTTGTGTGCTCTGAGGGCCACAACTCTGAGACTGTATCAGCGCTTTGGTTACAGATTGTGTGATAGAGGATGACATGACCCCCATCGCGGAGGCTAACGCCTTGTTGATGGATTGTGGCATGGTAGAATCGAGGAGGGATTGAAATTCCTCCGATGCCATGAGGCTGGCGTCATCCTTACATGCCCTGTCTGAAGGGGAAACCCCTGGTGTAGGATACACAGACCCTGCAGGTCTCTCATTCTGATCTTGCATTTTAGCAATAATATAAACTCACAGGGCATAATACACCCAAGTCCACTCAGAGTTAGAATTATTGGGCCCAATAAGGTAATGCCACTAGTAGTAGCTAATGGTTAAGAACAGTATCTGAAATGACCTGTAGGGAAAAAAATATACCAGCTAAGGCTAAGGACAAAAAGGGTGTCAGGATAGAGTAATCCTCCACACCAACACTTACAGTTTGACCAGCAATGACAGCAAAAAACAGTAAATAAGCACAGGATGGGTCTGGGAGTGCGCCAGGAGAAACCGTTATCCACCTACAGCATCGGTCCGCAGCAATTTCCCGCCAAAAACGTACTTAAAATGGCCGCCGCGAGTAAATTTACATAGGCGGCGACATAAACCAAAATGATGGCCGCCGCGGCACGTACTGCGCATGCGCGGCCATTAGGAAAAGAGGAAAACCGGCAAAAGAGCGTGCGCGGACCGGAAGAAAACCGCGGAATAGACCGCGGCCAAAACAGTGCACAGCTAAGGGCAGCCCTGCTGAACCCACAGAAAAAACGGAACGAGCAGGGGAAGAGTATAACACTACTGAGAGGGGGAAAACCCAGGGTCCCAGACCCCTTTTTATAGGCAGCACTCCCAGACACCAGGATTAAATAACCAGCAATAACAGTGAAGCATAAAATAAGCATAAACATACACTATGCTGAAATCTTTTACCCAAAATACACATATATGTATGAAAATCATAGGAGTAGCAAGAGATGAGGTACTTAACTTGTCTGAGGGAGCAGCAAGAAAGAGGAGGAGTCAAGGAGCACCACACCCATATGGATAATACTGGATGCTGATTGGTGCCACTGTTACCAGGCTGTTGTGATGTTTTTTATATGATTCTCTCATACTTCCTTTTCTTGCTGCTGGGAGTATAATAAAGAAAGAGAATGCATAATAGGAGCCTCCGTGTCTTTAATAAAATTAAAGGATCACTATAGTGTCAGGAAAACAAAGCGGTTTTCCTGACACTATAGTGCCCTGAAGGTGCCCCCACCCTCAGGGTCCCCCTCCCGTGGCGCTGAAGGGGTTAAAACCCCTTCAGCATCTTATCTTAATCCAGCGCCGGGCTCCCTCGGCGCTGGTGACCTCTCCTCCCCCGCTGATGTCAGCGGAGCCGAATGCGCATGCACGGCAAGTGCAGCGTGCGTATTCAATGCTTTTCTATGGACACTCTTCGCAATAGGGGCTGGATTAACACCGAATGTAAACATAGCAGTTTCTCTGAAGGGTTAAAACCTGAGGGACATTGCACCCAGACCACTTCATTGAACTGAAGTGGTCTGGGTGAATATAGTGTCCCTTTAAGGATAAAATGAGCAATAACTTCCTCTAAACCAGCTTTGTTAAAACAAGTCCATTTCTTCATTTTAAAGAGAGATCACCTTTACATTTGCTTTAGTAACACAATTATTTATGCATTCCAGCTATGCTCTGTATCTAAGTAAACATTATAGAGTAAACAATACAATTGCCAAAGCTAACACACTAAGAGATGCAGTGAATCAAGTGTCCACATTAAAAAAAATAATGTTATGGTTATAGAAACCATAGACACACTCTAAAGACACACTGTTAAAGACACACTCTATGCACTTAATTTAATCAGTGAATTGGTTATGGTGCCTGGAATCCCCCAGCACTGTCCCTCCATTCAGTGTTAAACCATTGTTGAGCAGGTTAACACTGAATGAGGCTCCCTGGTTTTCAATGGCTAAAACAGAACTTCCTTCTAGCTATACGACTCATAGAAAAATGAAAAAATAAAAATAGGTCTATCGTAAAGGAAGGAAACCTAAATGATCATAAAAAAAGAGATCCCTAATAAAAGGGCCTAACCCGAATAGTAGTAACACAAAACATCATATAAAAAACCACAATGGGAGTGCTATAAAAGGAATCAAAAGCACAAATCCTTTATGAATGTATATACGAGTGAGAATATTACAATTCGTATACGAGAGCCTCCATAGTTACTAAAAGGTAGAAATGCCTTAGACCCAGATGAAGGTGCATGTTGAGCGCCAAAACGCGTGTCAGGGTTTGGCTTTATCACTCTTTGTTTTTAACGGGCACCGATTGATGGACGTTTTCAATTTGTTTTGGAGATGGTAATGTGAGAGACAGATAAAGGTGAAGATGGATTTAGTATTGCCAATATGGAGGAGTTTTTTGTCTTGTATACTATTTATACCAAGAATGGGCACTGTGATTGGCTGAAAACCAATCACAGCTGCCTATTGCTGATCAGGCTGATGATAATGCCTCAGTGGTCCAAGCAGGCCGTAGGGGATGAGTTGTGGGAGTTGTGGGAACTCTTGTTTATTCTTCTAACATTGAAAATGGATTAACGCTGAATGGGAGGAAAGACACTTTAATGAGATGAAGCAGTTAGGGTGTCCCTTTAATTCCTCGGCACAGCTTACAATTCTTGTATCACCAACACTTCACTCTATTTAGAACCCTATTACTGAGGTTTGGACAGATATTATAAAAACTTTGTTAACATTGTAACATTGCTATTTACTGCATTTTTAACCTTTTAAATGTGTTGCAATGCTCTAAATATGTAAATGTGTGATGATGGATAACAGAGAGACAGTGACACTGTGACAATGTAAACACATCAATGTCGGAATGTACGGTAAGGAGGCAGTATTAGGTAAGAGCGGAGGGTGGGTGTTCTGTATTACCAACAGAATGTAGAACATGGCATCTTTGGAGGGAGGAGAGTATTAATATATCCAAATCGGAACTGTTACTTCAATAGAAATGACACCAATACATTGTGTTATTCTCTTATAATTGTACATTAAACATTATGCAGTTACTATCACAGTTAGTGATACATCTAGTTCAGTCCTGGCGCAGGCAAGGCACACATTGCTCTGAAGAAGAACAATAGAGGCAGTTTAATCAAAGTGCCGAGTTCTGATAAGTGGGGCGGAGATGTAGAAGAGTTCCAAAATCAATGTGCCTGATGGTTCCACTGGTTTCTATGGAGACTGTCCAGCTTTTAGTACTTTGCTCCAATTTTCAGAACACTTTGCTAAATCTCTCTCGCTGTTTCTACTTGATCTCTGATTCCGACTCTCGTCCTTGGTCAATGACAGAAACATGCAGAGTGTATAGAATCTTATCTTTTATACGTGCTAATACACTGGGCTATTACGCACCAACTCACTGGGTTCCGGCATGAAAAGGGTTAAGCAGGAAGTATTATTACTGGATTCTGACTGCTAACAATACCTACGTCTAAGTAAAAATAATATCTGGTTTAGTAGCTTGGAGCATTACAGATACATTTGTGGAAATATAAGGGATTTCCTTGTCCCTGATTGAGTTGTGAAGCATTTCATTGTTATAGTGACTAACACATATTTGTTGTATATAACTGACATCGAATGTAATAATGTAAATACTTTAAAGGGACAGTTTGCTTTAATTACATTTAATTTGTGACTATACACCCTCCATATTGTCACAGCAGTAAACATATACGTGATAAGAGATATGGAAAGAGAGTATTATCACTGTGATAAGTGATACAATGACTACATAAACAGATAAACCTGCCATGATGTAATATGTGTGGGTACACCAAATTATAAAAAGGGAAATTATAATTTAATTAGTGATTTGGGAAAAAAAGGCAGCAGGTTCAGGTCCTTAACACAGTCCATCACTAAAACCGCTTTGACCCTTAATGGGTAAACAGCATCAATAGGTCCTTCATGGTGATTTAGTAATGCTTTGACAAGCTGGCCAGAGGGGATGAGTTGTGGGAACACTTATTTAGTCTTCTAATATTGAAAATGGATTAACGCTGAATTGGAGGACAGACACTATAACCACTTCAATGAGACAATCGTAATATAAGATCGCCATCCTGCCATTTCCAACCCCTGCTATTATGTATCAACTCACGGCATAGAAAGGGTTAAGCAGGAAGTATTATTAATGGCCTGTGATGGTTAACAATACCATATTCTAGAAAAAAGAAACCTGGTTTAGTAGTTTGGGTCATTACATGCCGATCTGCTGTTATGTTATAAGCTGATTTCCTTGTAGGTTGGAGTTGCGAAACATTTCATTGTTATAGCTTTCTGTGACACTTCAGTTTTTCATTTTCTCTTTTGTCATCACTACTAGAAGGGCTAGTCCCACTTACATCCTAACATACTTCTGCAACCCTCTGTCCTCCACACAGATACACACCTGTCTTCTGCAAGCATCTGTCCTGCACACAGATACACACCTGCCTTCTGCTCACCCCTGTCCTGCACACAGATACACACCTGCCTTCTGCTCACCCCTGTCCTGCACACAGATACACACCTGCCTTCTGCTCACCCCTGTCCTGCACACAGATACACAACCCTCTGTCCTGCACACAGATACACACCTGCCTTCTGCAACCCCTGTCCTGCACACAGATATACACCTGCCTTCTGCTCACCCCTGTCTGCACACAGATACATACCTGCCTTCTGCTCACCCCTGTCCTGCACACAGATACAGACCTGCCTTCTGCAACCCTCTGTCCTGCACACAGATACACACCTGCCTTCTGCAACCCTCTGTCCTGCACACAGATATACACCTGTCTTTATCTACAAATAACTTCAGCTGAGATATAAACCTGTCTGTATCCACACATAACCTCACCTGGATATACACCTGTCTTTATCCACATATAACCTCACCTGGATATACACCTGTCTGTATCCACATATAACCTCACCTGGATATACGCCTGTCTGTATCCACATATAACCTCACCTGGATATACACCTGTCTGTATCCACATATAACCTCACCTGAGATATACAACTGGATTCTGAAGATTAGTTTCTCTTACCTGGGACAATGGGTAGGAGATCAGAACTACGATTAAGATTATCAATGTATGCCTTGCTTTTTTACTACGGTAAGTCAGGGGATATTGCTGACATTTTATTGTTGTTACAACTAAGATTTTTGCCATTTATTATATGCTCATTATTGGTTTTATCATTATTTTTCCACTGGTTAGTTTTTTTCTGCTTACATTTGTATTTATGATATTTTATACAGAGAGAACAAATAATATAAATAGATGAGCTATACAGAAGAACCAGAGGTTAAGAATTCTCTAAACATTATGTACCACAAGGCTAATGGTGAAGTAGTTGGCACATTTTTCCAGAACACAATAATTTTTTTCTGGATTTGAAATGATACCAAGTGCTCACAAACAACCAAACAAACATCACTTTTATTGCAAACTGATCTGCTCAAAGAGAACATTATAAAGCCGTAATTCCATATTTCTGAGTTGATATTTAAAAGAAAAAAAACAAGAAAATTGTTTCTGCCACATACGTATTTCAACCCTCGTGTCAATATTTAGTGGAGCCACCTTTTGCTGAAATAACACTTTTATGTCTTTTGGGATAAATATCTATATTTTTTTCCCATTCTTTGCAAATGAGTTAGGTTGGTTGGGTGACGCTTGTGAATTGCAGGTTTCAAATTGTGCCACTAATTCTGAGTTGGATTACGAGCAGGGCTCTGACAGAGCTAGTGTAGGATATTTGTGTTCTTGAGTTATTTCAAAGTTACCTTTGCCTTGTGCTTAGGATCCTGTTCTGCTGAAATGTGAACTTTGGCCCAATCATTAGCTATTTCACAGACTGAAAGAGATAATTAATAATAGCTTGTAGCTAGTCATAGCTACTAGGTTTTATTAATTATTTATTTATGAAATATTTTACCAGGAAAGATACATTGAGATTTATCTTGTTTTCAAGTATGTCCTGTGTCCACAAAACATTGCATTGATACAATAGGGTACAATCAAATACAAAAACAATATTAATACACAATATATACAAAATGTAATATAGAACAGGTAGGAAATATATAATCACCCATGATAGGTGCATTCTGTTTTGAGGTATGTAGAGAGGGATCTCTTAAAGGACTCTAGGCTTGGGGAAGATTTGAAAGTGTGCGGGAGTTCGTTCCATAATTGCGGTTCTCTGTAGAAAAAGGAGGATCCGAGCCGCTTTCTTTTTGTATTGAGGTATACTAAATAAAGTGCTGGTACTGGATCGGAGGTTATAGGAGGTGGGAAAAGCATTCTGCTCAGGTAGGGTGGTAGCTTTCCAGAAAAACACAAGGCTGGAAAGATGAAGGGTGCATCTGAATTTCAGCGTCAACCAGTTTAGTTATTTTAGCATTTCACAGTGGTGGGTCCTGTAATTACATTGTAGCACAAATCAGCAGAACGAGTTATACAATGTATTGAGTTTATTAAGGTGGGTTTGCGGTGCAGGTGCATATACTACATCCCCATAATCAATTATTGGCATCAGCATTTGCTGTACCATCTTTTCCTTTACTGTAGGGCTTAGGCAGGATTTGTTTCTGTACAGGGCACCTAGTTTTGAATAAAGTTTAGATGAAAGCTTTTCTATATGGAGGCCAAAAGATAGATTGGGGTCTAATATCATACCCAAGTATTTAAAAGAGTGGACTGCGGTCAGTGTACTATTTGAATTTGTTTTGATGGATAGGTGGGAATCGTGTAATTTGTGTAATTTAGGTACTGTTCTGAAGATCATTGTGACGGTTTTGTCAGTGTTTAGGAAGAGTTTGTTTTTTGCGATCCACTTTTCTACCTCTGTAAACTGGTCTTGGATCACAGCTTCAAGCTGCGGTAGATTGGATTTGCTTGCATAGATTACTGTGTCGTCTGCGTACATGTGTACATTTGAGGATTTGTAGACATTAGGCAGATCATTTATAAATAATGTGAATAGTAGGGGGCCGAGAATGGAACCTTGGGGAACACGACACCTGACTGGGAGAGGGAGGGAGTCGCTGTCAGAAATGGACACATATTGCGAGCGATCCGATACATATGATCGAAACCAGGTTAGCGGACAATCACCAACACCTGAGTTTTTGGGTTTGTGCAGTAGAATGTCGTGGTCTATGGTGTCAAGGGCCATTGCAAAATCAATGAAAATAGCTCCAGTTAGGTCTCCTTGTTCCATGCCAGTTTGGATGTCATTGCAAACTTTTAAGAGAGCAGTTGTAGTGGAGTGATTCGGGCGAAAACCCGATTGATCAGGGATCAGATAGTTTGATTGTTGGTAATACTCACATAGTTGCGTATGGACACATTTTTCTAAATTTTTGACAATACTGGGAGCAATGATATTGGGCGATAGTTGGAAACCAAAGTAGTGTCACCCCTTTTATGGATAGGCATTACTCTCGCAGTCTTCCAAAGTTTTGGTATGTACCCAGACACCAAGGATTTGTTAATTAGGGTTGTGACAGGTTTAGCAATTGCCGGCGCACTGAGCTTCAACAGCATTGCTGGGATATGATCAGGGCCAGACTGGTTTTTCATTTTTAGATTATTAAGGTGTTTTTTAATGACACTAACAGGTACAGGTCTAAAAATGAACTTGTCTATATTGGGTCTTTGCAAATTTAGTTGGGCCTGATTCACATTTGTAGTTTCAGGATGCGTGTCATTTATTAGCTTGGCAAAATTTTGTTTGTTTTGTGCATATATTTCGCCATTGTCTATATGCACATTGATCGTTCATAGAGCCAGTACGCTTGAAATTTGACCACAATGAATCCCAAAACTGGTACAATTGGATGAGGTCAGCTGTGATCCAGTTTATATGTGCCCCTTTTACTCTCACCTAACGCAGCGGGGCACACCCTTCTACCCTTGACGCTACTTTTTTCCTCCAATAACGTCTACTTCCAACGATACCGACCACTCACAGATCAGTTACTTGTTGATAAAGCACAGAAACACACATTGTATAAGTTGTCACCATAGCAACCACACATTGCTGGTAAAAATATTCACTGTGACCTTAGCAGGCGATAGCGACACTGTATACAATGTATTAAACTGTGATTATATGTTATGCCAGATACATAGCTACAAAAAAACATTGAGGTTAATTTCTGCTCTGTGACTTGTTCATTTCAGTCACACATGCACTTTATTTATATAAAGAATAATTTTATCATTTATTTCATGTGTCAGTTCTTTAATGTTATTGTTGTTTGATATGTTTACCATGCTAAAGACTTATTTTAAAGGAACGCTATAGTGTTAGGAATACAAATATGTATTCCGAACGCTATAGAGCCATAGTCGCCGTTTAGGTGACTAGGGCCCTGTTCCATGATGAATAAAGGGTTAATTAACCATTTCTTTGCTCCCTTGGCACCGGTAACCTCTGGAGCCGAATGCGCATGCTTTCCTATGGGGATCTTTTTTGACACTGGACTCTGTGAGTCAGTGCGATTTACTCCATGTTAATCTTAGAAGAGCCTCTAGTGGCTGTCAGGGAGACAACCACTAGAGGCTGGATTAACCCTGAAATGTAATCATAGCAGTTTCTCTGAAACTGCTATGTTTTTAGTAGCAGGGTTAAAACTAGTGGGACCTGGCACCCAGACCACGTCATTGAGCTAAAGTGGTCTGGATGCATAAAGTGGTCGTTTAAGCGTTGATGCTTATCAGCAGCTGTTAAACAATAGCGGCAGGACTGGAAACAAATAGAAACCAGTTACTGAGTAGCAGTTGTGGTTCCCATAGAGAATAATAGGAGTTGGGTACAGTGGCGAATCCAGAGCCTGATCTCGGGAGGGGCACTTGTAGATTATTTAAAGAAATAATCCAGGCACAATAACCACTACAGCTCAGTGTAGTAGTTATGGCGCCAGTAGTGCCAGGATCCCATACCAGAGTAAGTAGTCAAACCGTTTAAGAACAGTTTGACAACTTACCTGGGGTCTGCTATGATATAAGGCATAGGAGCAGTGGTATGTGTTAGGAGTGAAGTGTGTGTGAAAGGTGCAGTGTGTGTGTGAGCGGTGAAGTGTGTGTGCGAGTGCGTGAGGGCGGCAGTGTAAGTCAGGGTTACAGTGTGTGTGTTAGGGGGCAGTGTATGTGTGGGGCAGTGTATGTGTGTGTGAGAGCTGCAGTGTGTATGTGAGGGTGGCAGTGTGTGAAAGAGTTGCAGTGTGTGTGTGTTTGGGGCAGTGTGTGTATGGGGGGCTGTGTGTGTAGTGTGTGTATGAGGGCAGTGTCTGTATGGGGGCAGTTTGTGTATGGGTGTGCAGTGTGTATGGGTGTGCAGTGTGTGTATGGGGGGCAGTGTTTGTGGGGCAGTGTGTGTATGCGGGCAGTGTTTGTGGGGCAGTGTGTGTATGGGGTGCAGTGTTTGTGGGACAGTGTTTGTGGGGCAGTGTATGTAGTGTTTGTAGGGGGGCAGTGTTTGTGGGTCAGTGTGTGTAGTGTATGTATGGGGGCAGTGTATGTAGTGTGTGTATGGAGGGCAGTGTTTGTGGGGCAGTGTTTGTGGTGCAGTGTGTGTATGGGTGTGCAGTGTGTGTATGGGGGCAGTGTGTGTATGGGGCAGTGTGTGTAGTGTTTGTAGGGGACAGTGTGTGGTGTGTGTATGGGGGGCAGTGTTTGTGGGGCAGTGTGTGTAGTGTGTGTATGGGGGCAGTGTTTGTGGGGCAGTGTGTGTAGTGTGTGTATGGGGCAGTGTTTGTGGGGCAGTGTGTGTATGGGGGGCAGTGTGTGCAGTATGTGTATGGGGCAATGTTTGTGGGGCAGTGTGTGTATGGGTGTGCAGTGTGTGCATGGAGGCAGTGTGTGTATGGGTGTGCAGTGTGTGTATGGGGGGCAATGTTTGTGGGGCAGTGTGTGTTTGAGTGTGCAGTGTGTATGGGTGTGCAGTGTGTGTATGCGGGCAGTGTTTGTGGGGCAGTGTGTGTATGGGGTGCAGTGTTTGTGGGACAGTGTTTGTGGGGCAGTGTGTGTAGTGTGTGTATGGGGGCAGTGTTTTTGGGGCAGTATGTGTAGTGTGTGTATGGGGCAGTGTGTGTAGTGTGTGTATGGGGGCAGTGTTTGTGGGGCAGTGTGTGTACTGTGTGTATGGGGACAGTGTTTGTGGGGCAGTGTGTGTATGGGGGCAGTGTTTGTGGGGCAGTGTGTGTAGTGTATGTATGGGGGCAGTGTTTGTGGGGCAGTGTGTGTAGTGTGTGTATGGGGACAGTGTTTGTGGGACAGTGTGTGTAGTCAGTGGTGTATCCTGGTTTTGTGCTGCCCTAGGCAGGACAAAACTCAGGCGCCCCCCTCCCCCCCGCGCCACCCGCACCCAACCCTTCCCCCCGCCCCACCTTCTAAATACACATACACACACAGTCAGACACAAACACACACACACACACACAGTCAAACACATACACAAACACACACACAGTCAGACACATACACAAACACACACACAGTCAGACACAAACACACACACACACTTTTTTTTTAATTTAAATCCCCCCCCAACCTCCTTACCTTTGGGAGTGCTGGGGGGGGGGTCTCTCTCCCTGGTGGTCCAGTGGCTGCAGGGCGGGCGGCGCTGGCAGGCGGGCGGGCGGCCGGCGAGGGAGCACTTCCCATGAGCTGACTGCTCAGCTCCCTCGCGCGTCGGCTGCAGAGTGAGGCTGGGAGCCGGAAGATGACGTCATCTTCCGGTTCCCAGCCTCACTCTGCAGCCGACGCGCGAGGGAGCTGAGCAGTCAGCTCATGGGAAGTGCTCCCTCGCCGGCCGCCTGGGATGTCAGTTAGCCGCATGGCTAACAAGGCATCTGCCCTGGGCATTTGGGGGGCGGCGTTTTTTGCCGCCCCCTGAAAAATGCCGCCCAAGGCAAATGCCTTGTTTGCCTCGCGGCTAATACGTCCCTGTGTGTAGTGTGTGTATGGGGGCAGTGTTTGTGGGGCAGTGTGTGTAGTGTGTCTATTGGGGCAGTGTTTGTAGTGTGTGCATGGGGGCAGTGTTTGTGGGGCAGTGTGTGTAGTGTGTGTATGGGGGGCAGTGCTTGTGGGCCAGTGTGTGCAGTGTGTGTTTGTGGGTCAGTGTGTGCAGTGTGTGTATAGGGGGCAGTGTTTGTAGGGCAGTGTGTGTATTGTGTGTGTGGGGGCAGTGTTTGTGGGGCAGTGTGTGTATGGGGGAAAGGAGGGTAGGGAGGCTTTTTAATTTTTTTAATTATTTAATAAAATAAATATACTTTATGTCCCCCCTCCCTTTACCTTTACATTTCTCGGTCCCTGGTGGTCCGGTGGGGAATCCCTGGTGGTCCCAGTGGTGGTGAGGATAACTCTAGCCCGCACTACAGGGCTAGTGCTCGCGAGAGGAGGACCCGGAGGAGCTGCAGGCTGGGCTCCCGGGTCCTCTCTCCTCCCTCTCCCTGATCTCTGAACTCTGATCTCCCTTCTCGGTCCGCAGACACGTTGCAGGGCTGGTGTTTGGACAATGCCAGCCCTGCAGTAGCCGACAGGGGAGAATCTCGGTAGGGGCGATTGCCCCGTTGCCCCTCCCTGCATCCACCACTGGTTGGGTATCACTTGTCAGTGACAGGCTTTAAGCAGCAGCGGCTGGTGACAAGTGTTGCTACTAGTGACATTTTGCAGGGATTATATATGTTGGATGTTGTTTTTGGTGTAGCAGAGTGTTTCTGAATTTGTAATAGACTTGAGGTTTGATTTTAAGTTAATGTTTTATTATTATCATTATTATTATTATGATATTTATAGAGCGCCGTCAAATTCCGCAGCGCTTTACAATGGGTGGACGAACAGACATGTAGTTGTAACCAGACAAGTTGGACACACAGGAACAGAGAGGTTGAGGGCCCTGCTCAATGAGCTTACATGCTAGAGGGAGTGGGGTAAAATGACACAAAAAGGTAAGGATAGTATTAGACTAATGACAGTTGCAGAAGAGGAATTAGTCAGGAGCTATTAACAGTTTAATTGATACGCTTTTATGAAGAAGTGGGTTTCTAACGATTTTTTGAAGGAGTGGAGGAGTGGGTGAGCATCTAACGGAGGAGGGAAGCGAGTTCCACAGGAACGGTGCAGCCCTCGAGAAATCTTGAAGGCGAGCATCAGAGGTGGGAGTACGGACAGAAGATAGGCGTAAGTCTTCAGCAGATCGTAAGGGCCTAGACGGGACATACTTGTGTATAAGGGAGGATAGATAGGTGGGAGCAGCATTATGTAGCGATTTGAAAGCAAGAACCAGAATTTTAAATTGAGCTCTATATTTTATAGGAAGCCAATGTAGGGACTGACAGAAGGGTGAGGCACTGGTTTATGATCTCCAAATGTCAGGGTGTGACGCCACTTAAGAAAAGAACATAAATCAAATCCCGCAGTTTTGATACTATCACTGGGAAGCTACGTTTAGCATTTAAAGTGCTGGGGACTAAGATTTGTTTGTGTCTCTGTTTGCTCTCTAGAGAAGTATGCAAGGTTTTTGAAAAGAGAGAATGGCCAATAGATGTTTTATAGTCTATCGAAAGAGCTTGACCTCACCCTCTAAATATGCTGTTTGTCTCAAAACAAATCACAAGATTAACTGTTTATTTATTCATGAAAGGGTACAGAAATTACCAGTCAAAAACGATATCATATTTTTCATTTTTCCACGAAATGTATTTTGGATTTCTGGTTTAAATTCTAGTTGGTAAAAGAAAAAAGGACAAGATACCCATTCCCCGCCCCCCACCTCCCCCCTAAACAGTGAAGTACAGTCTTATAGCTTTGCCATTGTGACACGGGGAGATTTACCCTCTCTCTATATATATGGGTGTGATTTGGTCCTCCCAGAACCCATATATATATATATATAGTATGTTGGGCACAGTGTGCTGGGATACAGTGTGCTAGGTATGATGTGCTAAATCTATTGTGCTTGGTTCTGTGTGCTGGGTACAATATGGCAAAGCCATGATTGTACCTTGGAGAATGTTTCATGTTTATCCATGTTTACCATTCGGATATCAATGCACTAAAAGTTGGCGTTCAGTGATTAAACCCCTGTGTCACACCGTTGTTCACTAAAGCGTGAATTGTGTGGGTTTCAAAGTGAATTCAAATTTTTAGACCCAAATAAAACCATAGCTGACGTTGAATGTTTGCAATACTGCTTTTGTAGCCTGAAGTTTGGATTTCAGTCTTAATTTCCATAGCATTTCCTACAATTTGCATTTTAAGAGATAGCCCTGTGATAATGACTGCCTCCTCGGTTTGTTTTGTGTTGACTTGTTAATGATGGTTTTCTGTAATTCCATCCTGAACACCTGCGGGCGGTTCATTTATATCTCACACCTGCTCGTTCCTAAAACAGGCTGTTTGTATCGTAGGAGCTGGCTGTATACACTAGCTGTGTCAGACACTACCAACTGGGCTTTAACTTCTCCTCCTGTTCATGTTCGGACACAGAACCACACTATACAATTATAGAGGAATGGACGTGTTGCTGAAATTACCCCATTATTTCCCCTAGGAACACATTTTGTGCATTTAAAGTACAATCTATTTTATTTACAGTCTAAAGAGTTACTCAAAGCACCATAACAATTTTGCATCATTTTATAGTTTAGGAATCAGAGAGTACCCAGCACCTAATCTCCTATCAACTCTGAGAGGAACGCAGCTATTTGATAGCTCTCCTGAGCACCTCAGACCAGATTAAGGACTCCTCACTAGAAGAAGCTCTTTTTGTTGAGGAAGGGATCTGTCTGAAGCTGTGTTCTACTTCTCTAAGTTGTGCAGGTTCAGGAAAGTAAGATCTTTCAGAATTTTCAAAAAAAAAATATTTTATTTATTTATTTATTTGCAATAAGTATGTAATGCATTACAATCAGTTGACCATTTCTCCTGAAAAGAGAACTGTTACAACGTACTTTTAATGTTGTGGTATAGTTAAGGGACACTTCAGTCACCTAAAATACTTCAGCTTGCTGATGTGCTTAAAAGGGATTCTATAGTGCCAGCAAAACAAAGCTGTGCTCACATTAGGATTTCCCCATAGGAAAGCATTATTCAATCCTATTATTATTATTCAACGCTTTCCTATGGGATTCCGGTGGCACTGGAAGTCCTTGTGCATTACGTGAGAACGTCCAGGTCATTTAGGCGACCAAAAGTCGCCTAAAGACCCAGAGGTCCCTCTAGTGGCTGTCTGGTAGGCAGCCAGTAGAGGAGGAATTAACCCTCAGAGAGAATTTTTGCACTTTCTCAGATACTGCAATAAATTCCAGTGTAGGGTTAAGGGACCTGGGACAGTGCACCCAGACCACTTCAATGAGCTGAAGTGGTCTGGATGCCTACAGTGTCCTTTTAAGGAATAACTGTATGTCCTTGCAGTCTTAGGTCTTAGCTGTAGTAGTAGTTTGAACTGCAGTTTATAGTGGAAGTGAGTCATTTTACTAGAGAAGCAATGGTTTCAATATTGGTGACTGACGCCCATTTGCAGTGTGTCCTAATACCGCTAATACAAGAAGCATCTGATTGGACACAAGTCATGACTTCATTGAAGGAAGGCCAGAGTTACCTATAATCAATGTGTGATGATATTGAATGTAACATTACCAAGTCAAACTAATTTCTGAGTATGGAAGCCTCTCTGTTGGCTGTCAGGAAGAAAGCCACTACATGTGTGTTTAACCTAAAATGAAAACATTACTGTATTTTCAAAATGGCAAATATTATTATTAACACACCAGGGGCACTGCACCCAGATCATTGAGATGAAGTGGTCTGGGTGACTTTAGTGTAACTTTAACTTTTCAGTCTCCCAGGGAAATTAATTTTGGTCCAGGTATATTTTGGACTGGACGGGATTAATGACAGTTTGTGGATAATAAATAAACATTAGTGTTTGTTTGTGTGCATTTGTCTGTGTGTATTTGTTATATATGTCTGTCTGTGTGTGTATGTACATTTTGCAAACAGACTTTACATTTTAATAGCCATCAATGGCTGTACTATTTATCAAGGACAATATGGCATTATTTCTACAGATAACACAGGAAACAGATAGAACAGTCATAAGGGCACCCACGCCATTACTTTCACTGAATTTAGTAATAGGCCATCTGCGCATCCTTGCTTTCAAAAATGACGTGCTCAACAAATAACAGGGAGTTTTGTTCCCCTTGATAGAGATTAAATAAAAAGACTTAAAATATATATATATTTTTTAAAATCAAAGTCCTTGTTTCAATCCTCCTGAAAGGATGCACACTGTGCTAGCTTCACTTTTGCATCCAAGTGTGAGTCCACTCCAAAGTAATTATTTAAATAGCACCAACATACCTTGCATACACACTGCTCAAACGCGAACGAAGAATCAAAAGATTATAATATTGTAATATCAGGACAGACAGACATATAAAGGCAATTAAAATATACAAATGTTAGAGTCATTAAATTCAATTTAAAAAAATAACTAAGTAAATACATTATATATACAGTATCTCACAAAAGTGAGTACACCCCTCACATTTTTGTAAATATTTTATTATATCTTTTCATGTGACACTGAAAAAATGACACTCTGCTACAATGTAAAGTAGTAAGTGTACAGCCTGTATAACAGTGTAAAGTTGCTATCCCCTCAAAATAACTCAACATGCAGCCATTAATGTCTAAACCGTTGGCAACAAAAGTAAGTACACCCATAAAGGAGAAAGTGAACAGTCCCTCTGCAGAGATGAAGTGGGACAGAATGGAGGTCTTGGAGATATATTTTGGGGAAAGGCATTTTATGTCCTCTTTTCTGTTATAGTCACTGAGGGGACCTAGGGAGTTTCCATTTGGGACAGACAATAGATAAGAACCGACATCACTTTGTTCTGACATCGATTTGCCAGTAATGAAGTTAACATGTTGGTAATAGCTGTCCTTAGAATGGCCAGGTTAAACGATCAGCAGAGTCAGTATATCAAGCTGAGGTCAAGGGATTACAGAGGTGAGGAATATCGAAGAAACAAGCCGAGGTCAAAGGAGTACTGAGGACAGGATAAACGTTATACAAGAGCCAGACAAAATACCAAACAAGGCACACGAAGAACACGCTATTGGGCTAACAAGAAACCACCACAGAGCAACAAGGAATGAGAGAGGTAAGTATATATAGGCCTAACTTAACAGTGATTGGTTGAACTATGTTTAGAATTAACCACTATTCGTGCAGAGTACATGACCCTCCTAAACTGACTCCTGACGTCATCGATATGTGCCGAACCACGTAGGTCATTCGGCTGCATATACAAACATGCTGCATGCAAGCGTGAAGCGTCCGTCAAAATGAGGGAGGGGATCGCGGCATTCGGAGTCGGGCCATCGGGTAAGCAAGCTAAAAGCCTAACAGGTGTGTTTGTGGTGTACTGGTTGGCTTAGGAGGTCTTCCCAAGCAGGTACGTAGGTATGGTGGGAGAAAGGAGGGACTAGGAGGGATTTGTTACTGTTACACCCACAATGCTCTGCTGATGACTGTGCTTGCATACTGGAGAGGAGGAAGGTAACCAATTAACAGCTGCTAAAGCACTTGAATTAAATTTATATTTATGAAAAACAATATTTCAGTTTTGTTGGGAGCCTTGTCTTTCAAACAAACGTTTTTATTTAGAATGTCAAGCATAAAAACACTACAAGAACATTAATAATAAAATATTCTATAGGATGTTATAAAATGTAAAGTGTTGTGTATGACAGGAAATACGTTTCAAGGTGACATTCTCTTTTCTTACAACCAAACCATGGATGTCTTTCTTAATATAATGCTGTAAGTAGGTTAAAGTGTAATAAGTATGGACAATAAATGTGGTCATGAAGAGTTATAGACTCAGTCTCCGTGTCAAGTAACAGCTATGGTGAGCCATTAAAACAAGCAATCAAAAAGGTAACATAAAACAATAACAAAACTGTAAAAAGTAACATGAGGCTGCCTGTAAAATGGGGGGTCTTTGTGGTGTAGTGGTATCTTTGCATGGGGTTACAACCAGCCATCACCTCAGAGGAGAACCAAGTTGTTTACTCTAATATTGTTTTAAGTTTATCCTGAAAGGACAAGTCTAAAGTAGAGTGTTAAGACACCCCTGGCCCAGAGGAGTGAAACCGCCACTTAGTTGAGCTTCCCCTCTTCAGTAATGCAGGCTCAATTCGTATAGACCTCAAACACACGAACTGAAGCCAATCTCCTGAACTGTATCTGTACTAGTCCTCCAAACTCCCGAACAGTAAGCCCACGAATAGCGGCTAACAGCCGAACAGATATAATCTCCAAGCGGCTTACGTTTCCAGCAATCAGTCGCTAACTGTGTGTAGTAAATCCCCCCAATAACGAGACCAAGCTCCGCATTGAGGGTAAAACAAGAACTGGCTTTACTGTGGGCTACCCGCCCGTATTTATGCAGGTCTCCCACTTGGTGGACACTCATCTAGGGGACCAAATGGGAGACTGTAACCAAGGACAGACATGTATCAATTTAGGACAGTCACAAAATATTCCCACAATGCATCCTGGCTTCCTCCCCTCTGCCCTGGAGATAATTGAGAAGTAATTCAATTATCTCCCAGGACAAAGGCAAATCGCCATTATGCACGTGGGGATGCTAGAATAGGAATTATTATTAAAATACACTATATGACCAAAGTTGCAATAAATATACACATTTAACATAGCCCCAGATAGCTCAGGTCTGAGCGCACATTATTAAGCGAATGGCGCTCAGACCACACGAATACAGTTTAATCACCATGGAGCCAAAGTCTTTAATTCCACGAACAGTCTCCATGGCAGGCTATCTGGGTATTTTCCACTGAATACATTTTAATACTAAAAAGTCCCGAACGCTCCGTTGTTCAGTTCCCGAACGGGCTGGAGACCCACCGGCTCAGCGGGGCTTTGAAAGGAACGTATCCGCTTTTGGTGTTCTGCCGCTGGCTAGGACAAGCACAGATGACCCGGGAGGCTTCCATAACACCGCCATCGTGTGGCAGCTAAGTGTAACCGTGACCACCCAGTAATTGTCAATTAGGCTCCGGTTAACCGCAGATACTGGGTGGTCAATTGACTGCACACGCCAGCCTCCCGGTGGTTGCGTTATCGGTAGCCGTTCGGTAAGTACGTGGGGAAACAAGGGTGGTGTACGGGCGAGGAAATAGCTGAACAAACAGATGAACAGAGGAAGATGCAATATACTCTCAAAGACAGATGGTTCTGTTACATAGAGATATAACTTTTTTTGGAAAGATTTAGCCATTGATTCTTTCATTGATACTTTTTGTTAAAGTGTCTAGCCAATCCATTTTAAAGAAGAAATTAAGCTTAGTCTGAAGTAGGGTAAGTGGAGGTGTATACTTAAAAGATAAGGCTTAGTGACCTATCCAGGCAAAAATCATTTAGGGGTGGCATTTGACGTGCATTTCCGTGATCACCTGCATCTCCATCACTGATTGAGGAGGGACTAAACGGCACCTCACAATCAGACCTACATTTAAACCACAGAGGACCACTTCTCATGGAGTGAATGATCCAATAGTCATAACCTTCTACAAAATTAACTTGCCTCCCATGGAGCTGGGGGCATAGCTATAGTATTGGGGAGGCAGTGATCTTTAATCTCTGTATAGGTCACGTACATCTATTACTTCCCCTCACAGGAAAGGAGGTTGTGATCTCTCCACCCCATCATGTTGTGTCATCACATGCTCCATTAAAAGCAAATCAGCACAAGACTACAGCGATGGTAATTCACTGTAACCCAATATATTAAAGCCTTGACGTATCAGTATAAACAATGCTATGGGTGAATACTAACCATTTTAAATTATCACTACCTAAACTGTCATTATGAATGCACAGTCTCAACCCAATCAAAAATGTATAGTATGTAATGCATATGTCCAAATCCTACAATTCAAAGGAGACACGCACCATAATCACCATAATTTCTGTTGAATGACAGTGTATAAACAAAGGTAATTTTGTAACTAGTGTGCAATGATCTCGTAGCAATGTGTTCTCCAGATGCTGCTAAAGAGCTTCCTTGGGAGAGAGGGGGCACAAAGAAATATCCTGTCAGTATATTTCAAGCCATGGGAGGGGGGTTACTGATTCAGCCCAATGGAGTACAAAGAATATAAATTCATAAAGGTACCACTCCTGGTCCTTCAGGAAAAGGTTTAATAAAGTCTAAAAGTGGAGGTGTACTGGGTCGGTCCCAAACTTGCAGCATGGTCTTATGACCATCTGCAGCTATTGTAGTAAGAAATAAATAACAAAAACACAATGGGATAAATGCAAAAAAATCAACTATAAATGGTAAAGAACAGGCTGCAGACACTGAATGTAAGGGATACTCTTAAACTCTTACTGAGAAAAGGGAAAATAAAACATTACAAAACAATATAGGTTATGTCAAATACTGCGTCTAATTAGTTCTAAAAATTCTTTAGCAATAAAACAGAAAATAACCAATAATTGTGCAGGTTGTCTGGCGCTAGGTAGAGGACACACAACAAAGATATTTGGATTAGCACTCACATTTAATAGAGCTATAAACAAACACTATAAACTCAGAGCTGGTTTATACCTCTATTAAATGTGAGTGCTAGCCCAATTATCTTTGTTGTGTGTCCTTTACCCAACATCAGACAATCTGCACGATTATTAGTTATGTTCTGTTTTATTGCATATACCTACAAGTATCTGAAGTCTGGATGGCTACCAGCCAGGAATCTCTGTAGAATTTTGGGGCTTATTGGATTCAGTATTTGGCGCAACCTATATTGGGTTTTGTATTGTATTAAAAAAAGTTTTGTTTGTTGATGAGTAGTTGGGAAGGGATCCTAAAATAAGGAAACCTGGAATAAATTGCAAGGACAGGCATTCATTTTAAGGTACGATTGGACCTCTTTCCAAAAGGTTTTAACAGTGTGGCAGCCACAAAAACAGTGATACCAATCAGCTTTAGTATGCTTTACTATATGTGAGTGAGAGAGCAGTGGCTTTGATATTTGTTAAAATTCAATTTTAAACATTTTGTAGACCATAAGTAGAATGGATAAGGGTTAATCTGAAAACTTGGATTTTTTTTATAAGTGGAATATGAAGAGGTTCAATGGATGCCAAGCTTAGAACGCGAGAGTTCCCAGACCTTTACTGTCACTGCTAAAATAAGATTGGAATTTGATATAGGAATAAAAGTGGGGTAAAACTGATAAGGAGTCTGCCAAAACCGCAAAGGATTCTACCAGTCTAGCGGGTGTTGCTTGGGCTGCCAAGCTACATTCCTTTCTCATTAGGAAGATTAAGACCACCTTGATATTTAAGTTATTTAGTTTAGTGAGGCTCAAACATGTTGTTATACCTTTCCAAATAAAACATCATATTTTTTTTTATTCAAAGATATTTGTTTTTTGAAAGACAAGGACTGGAGGAACTTGTAGACGATATAACAATTTCCGAAAAGCTAGACAACAATGGTTTACACTTCCCAAAAGAGACAGGGGCAGTGATTTAAATTGATCCATTTAAATGAAAACCTAATTGAGAATATGGGGAATGTTTAACTGATATAAGTGTGATACATTTCTCAGAACAGGAACACTTATGTATTTAAGTGAAATATATATATTAAGGAATGAACAAGTTGCCTAATTTATACATGGGAATAAACAAACGCTTTGTGCGTAACTGCACTTTTCCAGAGGCAGCTTGTTCATATATATTGTACCCCTTCTTATTTTTGAAAGAAAGGATTTGCTTTCAAGCTAATACTGCATGAGCCATGATTCCTGCAAGATTTGGTTAGCAGACTTCTATGTATCCTGTATGTTTATTGAATTCAGCCTTTGGATAATCTTGCTTCATCCCTCTGAAGACGAGAGAAACTTTATTTATCATCTTTCTTCATTTAACTTGTGGATGTGATTAGCTTGATGGTTTTTTTCCATGTATGCACATACATGTATGTATGTATACTAATTGTTTCATTTAATTAATAGGTTTATTTCCCACGAGTTCCCAGTCTACTGTGACATTAACAACAAACATGCCCAGTACCACGCTGGCTACGACAACAGGAATTATAAATCAGACCAGAACTACACTAGCTACAAATGAGCCCACCACTTCATTAACATCTCTAACAAATACAACAATTACAACACAAGCGAAGTCAACAGAAAATACAACAGATTTTACTGAAACAGCAGTTACTACAATTACAGCTAGAGAAATTACATCTGATTCTACTACAACACTGGCTGAATCTACAGAAACCTCAGCTAAACCCACTACAATGTTGACTACTACAAGAACAACTACCATTGAGCCCACCTCAATTCTGGTTTCCACACTGGAAACAGTAATAACTAATTCAATAGAAATTCCAACTGAATCTGCTATAACACCAATACAATTCACCATAACTGAAGCTACAATTAAACCCACCACATCAACAAATACTATTACAGAAACTGCAGCTGACCCCTCAACATCTTCAGCTACTATAACAGAGATTACAACAGAAACCTTTAAAACATCAACTACAATAGCACCCACCACATCACTGGCTACTACAACGGAAACTACAATAGCACCCACCACATCACTAAATACTGACACAGAAACTACAACATCACCCACCACATCACTAAATACTGACACAGAAACTACAACATCACCCACCACATCACTGTCTACTACAATGGAAACTACAAGTGAGCCCCCAACATCACTAGAATCAACGTTAGATATTACAACAGAGACAACATCAGCTAGTACAGAAATGACAATGGCACCCACTACAGTGCTGGATACAACAACAGAAACTACATCTGAACCCACTACAGCACCGATACAGTCCACTGAAACAGAAACAACAATGGCACCCAATACAACACCCAGCATAATAGAAACTACAACAGCAATAACCTCTACTATTACAGAAAGTACAACAGAACCCACCACTACTGCAGAAACTATTTCTGAACCATCGATATCGCTAGCTCCTACAACAGTAATTACTGAAATAATTACATCATCAGCTTCTATAGAAACTACAATAGCACCCACCACATCATTAGCTACTGACGCAGAAACTACAAGCGAGCCTCCAACATCACTAGCAACAACGTTAGATATTACAACAGAGACTATTTTAACATCAGCTAGTACAGAAATGACAATGGCACCCACTACAGTGCTGGATACGACAACAGAAACTACATCTGAACCCACTACAGCACCAATACAGTCCACTGAAACAGAAACAACAATGGCACCCACTACAACATTAAGCATAACAGAACCTACAACTGAACAAACTGCAACTCTAATAACCTCTACTGTTACAGAAACGACAACAGAACCCACCACTACTACAGAAACTATTTCTGAATCATCTACATCTTTAGCTCCCACAACAGTAATTACTGAAATAATTACATCAACAGCTACTATAGAACCTACAATAGCACCCACCACATCACTGGCTACTACAACAGAAACTACAAGTGAGCCCCCAACATCACTAGTAACATCAATAGCTATTACAACTGAGACCATTACAACATCGGCTAGTACAAAAAAGACAATGGCACCCACTACAGTGCTGGATACGACAACAGAAACTACAAGTGAACCCCCAACATCACTACCAACAACAATAGATATTACAACAGAGACTATTTTAACATCAGCTAGTACAGAAATTACAATGGCACCCACTACAGTGCTCGATACGACAACAGAAACTACATCTGAACCCACTACAGTACCAATACAGTCCACTGAAACAGAAACAACAATGGCACCCAATACAACACCCAGCATAATAGAAACTACAACAACAATAACCTCTACTATTACAGAAAGTACAACAGAACCCACCACTACTACAGAAACAATTTCTGAACCATCGACATCACTAGCTGCTACAACAGTAATTACTGAAATAATTACATCATCAGCTTCTATAGAAACTACAATAGCACCCACCACATCATTAGCTACTGACACAGAAACTACAAGCGAGCCTCCAACATCACTAGCAACAACAATAGATATTACAACAGAGACCATTACAACATCAGCTAGTACAGAAACAACAATGGCACCCACTACAGTGCTGGATACGACAACAGAAACTACATCTGATGCCACTACAGCACCAATACTGTCCACTGAAGCAGAAACAACAATGGCACCCACTGCAACACACAGCATAATAGAAACTACAACTGAACAAACTGCAACTCTAATAACCTCCTCTATTACAGAAACTACAACAGAGCCCACCACTACTACAGACACAATTTCTGAACCATCGATATCGCTAGCTCCTACAACAGTAATTACTGAAATAATTACATCAACTGCTACTATAGAACCTACAATAGCACCCACCACATCACTGACTACTACAACAGAAACTACAAGTGAGCCCCCAACATCACTAGTAACATCAATAGCTATTACAACTGAGACCATTACAACATCAGCTAGTACAGAAATGACAATGGCACCCACTACAGTGCTGGATACGACAACAGAAACTACAAGTGAACCCCCAACATCACTAGCAACAACAATAGATATTACAACAGAGACTATTTTAGCATCAGCTAGTACAGAAATGACAATGGCACCCACTACAGTGCTCGATACGACAACAGAAACTACATCTGAACCCACTACAGTACCAATACAGTCCACTGAAACAGAAACAACAATGGCACCCAATACAACACCCAGCATAATAGAAACTACAACAACAATAACCTCTACTATTACAGAAAGTACAACAGAACCCACCACTACTACAGACACAATTTCTGAACCATCGACATCGCTAGCTGCTACAACAGTAATTACTGAAATAATTACATCATCAGCTTCTATAGAAACTACAATAGCACCCACCACATCATTAGCTACTGACACAGAAACTACAAGCGAGCCTCCAACATCACTAGCAACAACAATAGATATTACAACAGAGACCATTACAACATCAGCTAGTACAGAAACAACAATGGCACCCACTACAGTGCTGGATACGACAACAGAAACTACATCTGATGCCACTACAGCACCAATACTGTCCACTGAAGCAGAAACAACAATGGCACCCACTGCAACACACAGCATAATAGAAACTACAACTGAACAAACTGCAACTCTAATAACCTCCTCTATTACAGAAACTACAACAGAGCCCACCACTACTACAGAAACTATTTCTGAATCATCTACATCTTTAGCTCCCACAACAGTAATTACTGAAATAATTACATCATCAGCTTCTATAGAAACTACAATAGCACCCACCACATCACTGCCTACTACAACAGAAACTACAAGTGAGTCCTCAACATCAATAGCATCAACGTTAGATATTACAACAGAGACTATTTTAACATCAGCTAGTACAGAAACGACAATGGCACCCACTACAGTGCTGGATACGGCAACAGAAACAACATCTGAACCCACTACAGCACCAATACAGTCCACTGAAACAGAAACAACAATGGCACCCAATACAACATTCAGCATAACAGAAACAACTGAACCTACTGCAACGGCAATAACCTCTACTATTACAGAAACTACAACAGAGCCCACCACTACTACAGAAACTATTTCTGAACCATCTACATCTTTAGCTACTGCAACAGAAATTACATCTGAAACCATTACAGCACCGATACTGTCCACTGAAGGAGAAACCACAATGGCACCCAATACAACACCCAGCATAATAGAAACTACAACTGATCAAACTGCAACAACAATAACCTCTACTATTACAGAAACTACAACAGAACCCACCTCTACTACAGAAACAATTTCTGAATCATCTACATCTTTAGCTCCCTCAACAGTAATTACTGAAATAATTACATCGTCAGCTACTATAGAAAGTACAATAGCACCAACCACATCACTGGCTACTACAACAGAAGCTACAAGTGAGCCCCCAACATCACTAGCAACAACAATAGATATTACAACAGAGACTATTTTAACATCATCTAGGACAGAAACGACAATGGCACCCACTACAGTGCTGGGTACGACAACAGAAACTACATCTGAACCCACTACAGCACCAATACTGTCCACTGAAGCAGAAACAACAATGGCACCCAATACAATACCCAGCATTACAGAAACTACAACTGAACCAACTGCAACAACAATAACCTCTAGTTTGACAGAAACTATAACATCACAATATACTACTACAGAAACTATTTCTGAACCATCTACATCTTTAGCTACTGCAACAGAAATTAAATTTGAAACCATAACATCAGCTACTACAAAAACTACAATAGCACCCATCACATCACTAAATACTACAACAGAAACTACAATAGCACCCACCACATCACTAAATACTACAACAGAAACTACAATAGCACCCACCACTTCACTGGCTACTACAACAGAAACTACAATAGCACCCCCCACATCACTAAATACTGACACAGAAACTATAACATCATCCACCACATCATTAGCTACTGACACAGAAACTACAAGCGAGCCTCCAACATCACTAGTAACATCAATAACTATTACAACTGAGACCATTACAACATCAGCTAGTACAGAAACAACAATGGCACCCACTACAGTGCTGGATACGACAACAGAAACTACATCTGAACCAACCACATCACTAAATACTGACACAGAAACTACATCTGAACCAACCACATCACTAAATACTGACACAGAAATTACAACTGAAACCATTACATCAGCTGCTACAGAAACTACAATAGGACCCACCACATCACTGGCTACTGCAACAGAAACTACAAGTGAGCCCTCAACATTACTAGTAACATCAATAGCTATTACAACTGAGACCATTACAACATCAGCTAGTACAGAAATGACAATGGCACCCACTACAGTGCTGGATACGACAACAGAAACTACAAGTGAATCCCCAACATCACTAGCAACAACAATAGATATTACAACAGAGACTATTTTAACATCAGCTAGTACAGAAATGACAATGGCACCCACTACAGTGCTCGATACAACAACAGAAACTACATCTGAACCCACTACAGCAACAATACTGTCCACTGAAACAGAAACAACAATGGCACCCAATACAACACACAGCATAATAGAAACTACAACTGAACCAACTGCAACAGCAATAAGCTCTATTATGACAGAAACTACAACAGAACCCACATTTACTACAGAAACTATTTCTGAACCATCTACATCTTTAGCTACTGCAACAGAAATTACATCTGAGACCATTACATCAGCTACTACAAAAACTACAATAGCACCCACCACATCACTAAATACTACAACAGAAACTACAAGCGAGCCCTCAACATCACTAGCAACAACAATAGATATTATAACAGAGACCAATACAACATCAGCTAGTACAGAAATGACAATGACACCCACTACAGTGCTCGATACAACAACAGAAACTACATCTGAACCCCCAACATCACTAGCAACAACAATAGATATTACAACAGAGACTATTTTAACATCAGCTAGTACAGAAATGACAATGGCACCCACTACAGTGCTCGATACAACAACAGAAACTACATCTGAACCCACTACAGCAACAATACTGTCCACTGAAACAGAAACAACAATGGCACCCACTACAGCACCCAGCATAATAGAAACAACAACAACAATAACCTCTACTATTACAGAAACGACAACAGAACCCACCACTACTACAGACACAATTTCTGAACCATCGACATCGCTAGCTGCTACAACAGTAATTACTGAAATAATTACATCATCAGCTTCTATAGAAACTACAATAGCACCCACCACATCATTAGCTACTGACACAGAAACTACAAGTGAGCCTCCAACATCACTAGCAACAACAATAGATATTACAACAGAGACTATTTTAACATCAGCTAGTACAGAAATGACAATGGCACCCACTACAGTGCTCGATACGACAACAGAAACTACATCTGAACCCACTACAGCACCAATACAATCCACTGAAGTAGAAACAACAATGGCACCCACTACAACACACAGCATATTAGAACCTACAACTGAACAAACTGCAACTCTAATAACCTCTACTATTACAGAAACGACAACAGAACCCACCACTACTACAGAAACTATTTCTGAATCATCTACATCTTTAGCTCCCACAACAGTAATTACTGAAATAATTACATCATCAGCTTCTATAGAAACTACAATAGCACCCACCACATCATTAGCTACTGACACAGAAACTACAAGCGAGCCTACAACATCACTAGCAACAACAATAGATATTACAACAGAGACTATTTTAATATCAGCTAGTACAGAAATGACAATGGCACCCACTACAGTGCTGGATACAACAACAGAAACTACAAGTGAACCCCCAATATCACTAGCAACAACAATAGATATTACAACAGAGACCAGTACAACATCAACTACTAAAGAAATAACAATGGCACAAACTACAGTGCTGGATACAACAACAGAAACTACATCTGAACCCACTACAGCACCGATACAGTCCACTGAAACAGAAACAACAATGGCACCCAATACAACACCCAGCATAATAGAAACTACAACAACAATAACCTCTACTATTACAGAAACTACAACAGAACCCACCACTACTACAGACACAATTTCTGAACCATCGATATCGCTAGCTCCTACAACAGTAATTACTGAAATAATTACATCATCAGCTTCTATAGAAACTACAATAGCACCCACCACATCATTAGCTACTGACGCAGAAACTACAAGCGAGCCTCCAACATCACTAGCAACAACGTTAGATATTACAACAGAGACTATTTTAATATCAGCTAGTACAGAAACAACAATGGCACCCACTACAGTGCTCGATACGACAACAGAAACTACATCTGAACCCACTACAGCACCAATACAGTCCACTGGAACAGAAACAACAATGGCACCCACTACAACATTTAGCATAACAGAAACTACAACTGAACAAACTGCAACTCTAATAACCTCTACTGTTACAGAAACGACAACAGAACCCACCACGACTACAGAAACTATTTCTGAATCATCTACATCTTTAGCTCCCACAACAGTAATTACTGAAATAATTACATCAACTGCTACTATAGAACCTACAATAGCACCCACCACATCACTGGCTACTACAACAGAAACTACAAGTGAGCCCCCAACATCACTAGTAACATCAATAGCTATTACAACTGAGACCATTACAACATCAGCTAGTACAGAAATGACAATGGCACCCACTACAGTGCTCGATACGACAACAGAAACTACATCTGAACCCACTACAGCACCAATACAGTCCACTGAAACAGAAACAACAATGGCACCCAATACAACACCCAGCATAATAGAAACTACAACAACAATAACCTCTACTATTACAGAAAGTACAAGAGAACCCACCACTACTACAGACACAATTTCTGAACCATCGACATCGCTAGCTGCTACAACAGTAATTACTGAAATAATTACATCATCAGCTTCTATAGAAACTACAATAGCACCCACCACATCACTGGCTACTACAACAGAAACTACAAGCGAGCCTCCAACATCACTAGCAACAACAATAGATATTACAACAGAGACTATTTTAATATCAGCTAGTACAGAAACGACAATGGCACCCACTACAGTGCTGGATACGACAACAGAAACTACATCTGAACCCACTACAGCACCAATACAGTCCACTGAAGCAGAAACAACAATGGAACCCACTACAACACTCAACATATTAGAACCTACAAATGAACAAACTGCAACTCTAATAACCTTTACTATTACAGAAACGACAACAGAGCCCACCACTACTACAGAAACTATTTTTGAATCATCTACATCTTTAGCTCCCACAACAGTAATTACTGAAAGAATTACAACATCAGCTAGTACAGAAATGACAATGGCACCCACTACAGTGCTGGATACGACAACAGAAACTACAAGTGAACCCCCAATATCACTAGCAACAACAATAGATATTACAACAGAGACTATTACAACATCAGCTACTAAAGAAATAACAATGGCACCCACTACAACACTCAACATAACAGAAACTACAACTAAACCAACTGCAACTCTAATAACCTCTTCTATTATAGAAATGACAACAGAGCCCACTGCTACTACAGAAACTATTTCTGAACCATCTACATCTTTAGCTCCCTCAACAGTAATTACTAAAAGAATTACATCATCTGCTCCAGAAACTACAATAGCACCCACCACATCACTAGCTACTGACACAGAAACTACAAGTGAGCCCCCAACATCATTAGCAACCACAATAGATATTACAACAGAGACCATTACAACATCAGCTAGTACAGAAACGACAATGGCACCCACTACAGTGCTAGGTACGGCAACAGAAACAACATCTGAACCCACTTCAGCACCAATACTGTCCACTGCAGCAGAAACCACAATTGCACCCAATACAATACCCAGCATAACAGAAACAACTGAACCTACTGCAACGGCAATAACCTCTACTATTACAGAAACTACAACAGAACCCACCACTACTGCAGAAACTATTTCTGAATCATCTACATCTTTAGCTCCCTCAACAGTAATTCCTGAAATAATTACATCAACAGCTACTATAGATACTACAATAGCACCCACCACATCACTGGCTACTACAACAGAAACTACAAGTGAGCCCACTACAGCACCAATACTGTCCACTGCAGCAGAAACTACAATGGCACCCACTACAACATTTAGCATAACAGAAACTACAACTGAACCAACTGCAACAACAATAACTTCTACTATTACAGAAACTACAACAGAACCCACCACTACTACAGAAACTATTTCTGAATCATCTACATCTTTAGCTCCCTCAAGAGTAATTACTGAAAGAATTACATCAACAGCTTCTATAGAAACTACAATAGCACCCACCACATCATTAGCTACTGACACAGAAACTACAAGCGAGCCTCCAACATCACTAGCAACAACGTTAGATATTACAACAGAGACTATTTTAATATCAGCTAGTACAGAAACGACAATGGCACCCACTACAGTGCTGGATACGACAACAGAAACTACATCTGAACCCACTACAGCACCAATACAGTCCACTGAAGCAGAAACAACAAAGGCACCCACTACAACACTCAGCATATTAGAACCTACAACTGAACAAACTGCAACTCTAATAACCTCTACTATTACAGAAACAACAACAGAACCCACCACTACTACAGAAACTATTTCTGAATCATCTACATCTTTAGCTCCCTCAACAGTAATTACTGAAAGAATTACATCAACAGCTACTATAGAAACTACAATAGCACCCACCACATCACTGCCTACTACAACAGAAACTACAAGTGAGCCCCCAACATCACTAGCAACAACAATAGATATTACAACAGAGACTATTTTAACATCAGCTAGTACAGAAACTACAATGGCACCCACTACAGTGCTCGATACGACAACAGAAACTACATCTGAACCCACTACAGCACCAATACTGTCCACTGAAACAGAAACAACAATGGCACCCACTACAACATTTAGCATAACAGAAACTACAACTGAACCAACTGCAACAACAATAAGCTCTAGTTTGACAGAAACTATAACAGAACCCACCACATCACAATATACTACTACAGAAACTATTTCTGAACCATCTAAATCTTTAGCTACTGCAACAGAAATTACATCTGAAACCATTACATCAGCTACTACAAAAACTACAATAGCACCCACCACATCACTAAATACTACAACAGAAACTACAATAGCACCCACCACATCACTGGCTACTGACACAGAAACTACAATTGAGCCCCCAACATCACTAGCAACCACAATAGATATTACAACAGAGACTATTTTAACGTCAGCTACTACAGAAACTTCAATAGCACCCACCACATCACTGGTTACTACTACAGAAACTAAAGCTGAACAATCTACATCTTTAGCTACTACAACAAAAAATACAACTGAAAAGATTACAACATCAACTACTACAGAAACTACAACACCACCTACTACAAGTGAATCAACTTCTACACCAATAGTATCTAATATAACAGAAACTATAATGGAACCCACTGAAACATTAACTACTAAAAAATATATTACAATTGAACCACCTACATCACCAGCCAATACAACAGAGAGTACAACCGAGTCCACAAAAATTCCGAGTACTATAATGGAATCTACAATCGCACCCTCCACAACAATAACTAGTACTAGACAAACTATAACTGATTCCCCTGTAACACCATTAATACCGACTAGAACAAAATCGGAAGCAATACCCAACTCAACACTTACTACTACAATAGAAACTACAACTAAACCTTCTACATCACTTGCTGCTACAACTGAATTTACAGCTCAGTCCACCATAATGTTTGCAACTTCAACTGAGAGTACATCTGTATCCAAAGCAGCAGTGTTGACTACAACTAACAGGGCAACACAGGTCTCTACAACTCTATCCACTAGAAATGCATCCACTACAACAGTAGATTCTACACCATACTCTACAGCTGCAACCACAACAACTCTGGCTACTACAATAAAACATACAGCTCAATCACCTACAACACTGGCTACTACACCAGAAACTATGAATGCATTCACTATAACAGAAACTCCAACTGAGTCAACCACAATGCCACATAATACAATGGAAACTACAAATGCATCCACTACAACATACACTGCAATGGAAACTATAGTGGGGCCCATCACAACACTAACCTCTACAACAGAAGATACAGCGGCATTCACGACAACTATAGCTCTTACAACAGAAACTTCAAGAGAAACAAATTCTACATCAGTACCCACCACAACACCCAACTCTACAGCTGCACCAACAACAATGGACACTATAATAGAATCCATTACAACACTATCTACTACAACAGAAACTACAGTGGCTCTCACCACAGCTACAGTTGCTACAACACAAACTGCAAGTGAAACAAATTCTACGACTGGACCCACCACAACACTTGCTTCAACATCCAACTTTACAGCTGCACCACTAACAATGGCCACTACAACAGAATCCATTACAACACAGGTTACTACAACAAAAACTAAAGCTGAGTCCTCAGCAATTTCACCTTATACCACAAATACTACAATTGAGTCCCCTACAACTTTGGCTACTACATCAGAAACCTCACCAGAACCCACTACAACAAAGTCTACAACAGCAGAAAAGACAACAGATTCCAATACAACACAGGCTACAACAAAAACTACACCTGAGTCCACAGCAGTTCCACATGGTATTGCAAAAACTACAACTGAGTTCTCTACAACACTGGATAATACAACAGGAAATACAACTGCTGTTAACACATTTTCTACATCTACGTCCACTAGAGCAGCAGCAACTACTATAACAACTACAGCTGAGCTCGGCACTGGCACCTTATCACATTCAACAAATTCCTTACCGGCACCAAATGCGACTTCTGTGATCAATACCAGCATTAAATTCAACAACACTACTAGAGGGATAGAAACAACTTACTCCACTGCCTCACAGACAAGCACAGCAAGTGAGTAATGCACCATTGCAGTACATTAATCCAGTATATGTATACGTTTAACCTTGTAAAGATCCTAGTTAAACATACCGTATTTATCGGCGTATAACACGCACTTTTTCTCCCTGAAAATAGGGGAGAAATTGTGGGTGCGTGTTATACGCCGGCCCTTTAAATACTGCAGCCACCTGAGCGCTCTGTGAAGAGCGCTCAGGCGGCTGCAGTTGGTACTCACCTCCCCTGCAGCGTGGCCAAGCCGCTCTGCTGTCCGCGGTTGCCGGCCGGAGTGATAGGAAGGTGCACGCTCAGTGTGCACCTTCCTGTCAGTCCGACCGGGTATAGGAAACAGAAACTCCTGTTCCGCGCGGAAACGGAAAAGAAACGGGGGTAAGAAGTTCTTTATTTAAAATTTAAAGGACCACTCTAGGCACCCAGACCACTTCAGCTTTATGAAGTGGTCTGGGTGCCAGGTCCCTCTAGGATTAACCCTTTTTTTTATAAACATAGCAGTTTCAGAGAAACTGCTATGTTTATACTGAGGGTTAATCCAGCCTCCAGAGCCTCTAGTGGCTGTCTCATTGACAGCCGCTAGAGGCGCTTGCGTGCTTCTCACTGTGAAAAATCACAGTGAGAGCACGCAAGCGTCCATAGGAAAGCATTGTAAATGCTTTCCTATGCGACCGGCTGAATGCGCGTGCGCATTCAGCCGATGACGCCGCGAGCAAGGAGGAGAGGAGGAGTACAGCTCCCCGCCCGGCGCTGGAGAAAGGTAAGTGTTTAACCCCTTCCTCTCTCCAGAGCCCGGCGGGAGGGGGTCCCTGAGGGTGGGGGCACCCTCAGGGCACTATAGTGCCAGGAAAACGAGTATGTTTTCCTGGCACTATAATGGTCCTTTAAGTTTTTTTCCCATGAAATTTCCTTCTTAAAATGAGGTGCGTGTTATACGCCGATAAATACGGTATCTAGCATGATCCTCTCTTAGATGTTATACTTCTTCGGCGGTTATCTTTAAAGACTTTGGGCTTAAACAATAGCTTTGGATATGTATTTCACTTGGTGTACTTAACTGCACAGTGAACATTTTATAACCCCGGAGGGCTTGTTTACACATTTGTTCTATTCTGTTACTAACAAGTTCATCGAACCCACCTCCAGCCCACCTACCTCTGCAGAGCTCTGATCGCTGAGTAGGGGTTCTACCTGTCAACCCAGGTAGTCTACCTACAGCCAATCACGGTGATCTGAGATCAATGTTACAATACTTGAGACATTGTATTAATAGAGGGTTGTAGTTAATGGAATATATTCGAAGCTTGGACTTGTCACCAGTGGGGTACCTCAGAGATCTGTACTTGGACCCATTCTCTTTAATATTTTTATTAGTGATATTGCAGAAGGTCTTGATGGTAAGGTATGTCTTTTTGCTGATGATACTAAGATATGTAACAGGGTTGATGTTCCAGGAGGGATAAGCCAAATGGCAAATGATTTAGGTAAACTAGAAAAATGATCAGAATTGTGGCAACTGACATTTAATGTGGATAAGTGCAAGATAATGCATCTTGGACATAAAAACCCAAGGGCAGAGTACAGAATATTTGATAGAGTCCTAACCTCAACATATAAGGGTGATTATTTCTGATGCCTTAAAGGTAGGCAGACAATGTAATAGAGCAGCAGGAAATGCTAGCAGAATGCTTGGTGAGACCTCACTTGGAGTATTGTACAGAGTACTGGAGACCGTATCTTCAGAAGGATATTGATACTTTAGAGAGAGTTCAGAGCTTACATGCTAGAGGGAGTGGGGTAAAATGACACAAAAAGGTAAGGATAGTATTAGACAAGTGACAGTTGCAGAAGAGGAATCAGTCAGGAGCTATTAACAATTTAATTGATACGCTTTTATGAAGAAGTGGGTTTTTAATGATTTTTTGAAGGAGTGGAGACTGGGTGAGCATCTAACGGAGGAGGGAAGCGAGTTCCACAGGAACGGTGCAGCCCTCGAGAAATCTTGAAGGCGAGCATCAGAAGTGGGAGTACGGACAGAAGATAGACGTAAGTCTTTAGCAGATCGTAAGGGCCTAGACGGGGCCTAGAGATTTGAAAGCAAGAACCAGAATTTTAAATTGAGCTCTATTTTATAGGAAGCCAATGTAGGGACTGACAAAGAGGTGAGGGATGGGAGGTGCGGGCGGACCGGAAGATGAGCCTCGCCGCCGCATTCATTATGGACTGTAACGGCGCAAGTTGGGAGCACGTAAGACCACAAGCCCCAGGCTCGAGGGATAACCATCTCCCGCTCTGGGAGATAAAAACAGCACAACAATTACAAACAGTAAGGCACATTACATACATTGAGGAACTTAGGGGGCTCCACGTCCCGGGAAGGAAATGGGCACACACAGGGAACATACATCTCTGCATAGTCCCAGGTCCCAGCTAGGATCCCTTCAAACAGTGGAGCTATCGGATGTACAGATCCTGAGAAATCATTGTGTAGATTCTGGGCTTGGGGCTCTGTACATCCCCGAAAACAGTTCCACGGAATAACTTGGTTTAGGTCGGTCAATTCAAACTTCATGCCTAAACCAAGCAGCGGCCAATCAGGATATAGGCGCAAACCAATTTGCATCAATTGGTGCTCAGGCAGGGGAGGCGTTCCACCAGCAAATCGGGAAAAAGGGCCCGAAACCAAATCGTGCCAATCGGTGCTCGGAGCAGGGAGGTGTTTTGCCGGCCAAACAGGAGAAAGGGCGCAAAACCAGTTTGAATGGTAGCCCTTCTACTATTGGCCGGCATGGACTTCTAGGCAGCTAGTAGGACCCTGCGGCTGTGAAGCCAACTCACAGTTAGAGGTATTCTGCTGTGGCTCGCGTCTCTCTCTCCAGTGGATATCTCCACGAGAGAGCGCTCTTTGGGCAGCTATGAGCCTGGACTCATAGCTCCTGGATAGGGAGCTCCTGCAGCTGCTGTCTGCCCTGCTAACAGCCTGGCTGCAGGCAGGAAGCTCCTGAATCTCCTCCGGCCAGTGATTATGGCTCCTTTAGGAGCAGGTAGGGTGATCCCCTGCAGGAAAAAATGATCTTTGTCTCCAAGGCACAAAAATCCCGCCAACATAGCCAGCCCCCAAAAGTGTCCCCACCAAATTCAGGAACCCCACACCAGTACATTTGCCTGTTCGTGAGGCTCTTGTGCGAACCCCAGGCAAGGGAAGCATCTACTTTCGGGATACGAATGCGCCCCCTGGGTGGCGTTTGTCTATACAACATGGCGGCCACCCAGTGGAGCACTTATTAATTACTTCCCTTGCTGTTTCGCACTTATGTTAGTGGTGTGAACGTTCTAATTGATTGGTGTGAACACTCTAATGGGGCACCGGGGTGGTCCACATTCGGGAGACGAATGGGTTCTGTTCGGATGAATGCTCCCGAACGGAGAACATGGCACCGCATACGAAACACATGGGGAAACACATGAATAAGCAGGGGGGCACATGTGGGTATGGCACTCAGTGACGGTGTTCCATTACAAAAGGTAGACTGCTTTTCAAACAAAATATTCCATTGAAGCAGACAAGATATTGCATCAAATTCTATAAATTATGCAAATCTACTACTAGGTATACATTGGGACCCTCCAGGATGCTCTGATTCTGTAAGCACACATGGCAAGATTGTGTGGGAACTATTGAATCACTCTGTGTACGACTTCTTACATTAGTTTGATATTTGTGGATTTCCCTGGCCTTGGAAAATCACTTTGTCAAATTTCCAGGTATGAAGACTAAAATGGTCATGCCTTATATTTCATACAGTAACTTTCCAAATCCCCATAAAACCTGTACATGGGAGTACTGTTGTACTTGTGAGACAGCGCTGAACACAAATATGAGTGTTTTAAAGCAGTAAAATGTATAATGATGATATCAGTAAAAGTGTACTTCACACTGAGAACACTAGGTGGCAGTAAAGCTATTTTTATTGATAATCCAAATTTTTATTTTTTTTACTTGTAATTTTTTATCGAGAAAGAGCAAAAGGCACCAATATATTTTGGAATAAATAATTAAATACATTTTTAAAAATCTGAAAACGTGCATATAATAATTACCTCATCACAAAAAAATTATACAAAACATTGTTCCAATTTCCAATTACAGTCGTGCTCAAAAATTTTGCATATCCTTGGAGAATTGGTAATATATGTACCATTTTTAAAGAAATTCATATTCAGCTGTAGGTTATAACAAAATGGCGCAATCATAAAACAAAACATGGCAACAAAGAAAACAATAAAGTGACCCCTGTTCAAAAGTCTGCGTACCCTCCTTTCTCAATACTGTGTATTGCCCCCTTTAGCATCAATGACAGCGTGCAGTCTTTTGTAATAGTTGTCTGAGGCCCTTAATTCTTGCAGGTGGTATAGCTGCCCATTCATCTCCTCCAGGTCAGGCAAAGCCTTTGGTCGTCTTACGTGAACCGCACGTTTGAAATATCCACAGAGTGGCTTGATGATTTTAAGGTCAGGAGACTGAGATGGCCATTCCAGAACCATCACCTTTTTCTGATGTAATCACTGGAGGGTTAACTTGGCATTATGCTTAGGGTCATTGTCATGCTGGAAAGTCCAAGCGCATCCCATGCGCAGCCTTTAATTTACACAAGATTCCCCATGCCTTTAAAGCTCACACACCCCAAAACATCAGTGAGCCATCATCATGCTTCACAGTGGGGATGGTATTATTTTCACTTTAGGCATGGTTGACCCCTCTCCAAAGATAATGCTTATGGTTGTGCTCTGCTCCGGTCCTCCCGCCTCACCACCTGCTCCCTTGATCCTATTCCCTTGCATCTTATACATACTCTGTTTCCTTCTCTTGTTTTGCCTCTCACTAAAATTCTCAATCTCTCCCTCGCCTCTGACATATTTTCATCACCCTTCAAACATGCAAATGTAACCCTGATTCTAAAAAAGCCCAACCTTGACCATAACGCCCCGTCAAACTACCGCCCTATCTTGCTACTGCCATTCGCGTCCAAGATCTTTGAAAGACTTGTGTATGTGAGATTGACAGACTTACTCCAGTCCAGCTCTCTGCTCGACCCACTTCAGTCTGGTTTCCACGCTCAGCACTCTGTGGAAACAGCTCTGACCAAAGTATCAAACGATCTGCTCGCTGCAAAATCTCATTGTCACTATTCTATCCTAATTCTCCTTGACTTTCCGCTCCTTTTGATACTGTTGATTCTTCTCATCCTCTGTAGTCTAGGTCTACGAGATATTGCTCTTTCCCTGTGCTCCTCCTACCTCTCCCACCACTCTTTTGGTGTTTCTTTTTCTGGCAACCCCTCTCTGTTGGTGTCCCCCAAGGTTCAGTCCTTGGTCCCCTACTGTTCTTGATCAATACTGCCTCCTTTTGTAAACTTATCAGCTCCTTTGGCTTCCAATATCACTTCTATGCGGATGACACGCAAATCTATCTGTCCTCCTCTGATCTCTCCTGCCCCTCTTGACTAGTGTTTCTGACTGCCTCTCTGCTAATTCCAACTGGATGGCTGCCCACTTCCTTAAGTTCAACTTGTCCAAAACACAACTTCTGGTCTTTCCTTCCTTAAGTGTTGCTACTCCTGTTTCTGTCTCCCTCCATGTTAATGGTGTAACCATCAGCTCCACCACGCAGGCTCGCTGCCCAGGTGTTCTCTTTGACTCTGACCTTTACTTCACCCCTCATGTCCAGTCGATCGTCAAATCCTGCCATCTCAAAAACATTGCGCGCATCCACCCCTACTTAACGCAAGATGCTGGTCAATGCCACCTAAGGTGCTGGTCAATGCCACTGTCCTCACTCGCCTTGACAACTGCAATCCGCCTTTCAGTGGTCTTACGTGCTTCCAACTCCCCCCATTGCAGTCTTTAATGAATGCGGTGGCGAGGATCATCTTCCTGTCCGCCCGCACCTCCCACACCTAACCCCTATGTCAGTCCCTGCATTGGCTTCCCGTAAGATATAGGGCCCAATATAAAATTCTGGTTCTTGCTTTTAAATGTCTACATAATGCTGCTCCCACCTTTCTATCCTCCCTAATACACAAGTATGTCCCATCTAGGCCACTACGCTCTGCCGAAGACCTGCATCTTTCCTCTATTCGTACTCCCACCTCTGATGCTCCTCTCCAAGACTACTCTAGGGCTGCACCATTACTGTGGAACTCCCTTCCCTTTTCTGTTAGATGCACACCCAGTCTCCATTCCTTCAAAAAAACATTAAAAACTCACTTTTTCACAAAAGCATATCAATTAAACTGTTAATGGCTCCCAACTGATTCATCTCCTGCAACTGAAAAAAACTAAAAACCCCACACTAAGTCTTCATTGAATACTATTCTACCAATCTACTTCCCTAATACTTTTAATACCTTTTATGTCACTATACCCCACTCCCTCTAGCAAGAAAGCTCATTGAGCAAGGCCCTCAACCCTTCTGTGTCTGTGCATCAAGCTTGTCTGGTTACAATTACATGTTTATTAGTCCACCCATTGTAAAGCACTACAGAATTTGTTGGCGCTATATAAAAATAATAATAATAATAATACAATAATAATAAAGCTCTATTTTGGTCTCATCGCTCTAAATTACACTGTGCCAGAAGCTGTGCGGCATGTCAATGTGTTGTCGAGCATATTGTAGCATTTTTGTGGCATTGGGGCTGTAAAGGCTTCTTTCTGGCAATTCGGCAATGCAGCTAATTTTTGTTCGAGCATCGTCGTATTGTGCTCCTTGAAACAACCACACCGTCTTTTTCCAGAGCAGCCTGTATTTCTCCTGAGGTTACCTGTGGGTTTTTCTTTGTATCCCAAACAATTCTTCTGGCAGTTGTGACTGAAATCTTTCTTGCTCTACCTTATCGTGGCTTGGTATGAAGAGATCCCTGAATTTTCAACTTTTTAATAAGTGATTGAACAGTACTGACTGGCATTTTCAAGGCTCTCAAAATCTTTTTATATTCTTTTCCATCTTTATAAAGTTCCATTACCTTGTTTCTCAGTTTTTTTGACAGTTATTTTATGCTCCTCATGGCTCAGTATCTAGCCTGCTCAGTGCATCCACATGAGAGCTAAAAAACGTATTGACTATTTATACACCGATACTAATTGCAATTTAAAAAAAAATACAGGTGTGGGAAATTAACATTTAATTGCCATTTTAACCTTTGTGTGTCACTTTGTGTGCCAGGGCCAAACATTCAAGGGTATGTAAACCTTTAACCAAGGCTATTTGGGTGATTTCTGTCATCATTATGATTTAAAAAGGAGCCAAACAACTATGTGATAAGAAATGGCTTCATATGATCACTATCCTTTAATAAAAACATTTTTTGCATGATGAGTCATATATTTTAAATCAATGCCAAAATTTCACAATTTCTGCCAGGGTATGCAAACTTTTGAGCATAAATGTATATTCTCTCTGGCTACATCTCTTCACATTATTTCAGCTGCGAAAGAGACTTTATATCTGGGAGTCCATTTATACAATATATAATAGCAGCCTCTGAAACAGCAGGTTTATGTATTTATTTAAAAGCGTATCATTATTACATAGACACCTTGTTATATTGTAAGAACATCTTGCATTAGTGGAGCTCTGTTATATAAGCTTATCCATTTATGCAAGCTTTATATATGAACTTCTCATCACATTGGAGCTCTGTTATATAGCATACTGGAGCTCTATTATATAGTGTGAACCTCTCAGCATACTGGAGCTCTGTTATATAAGCTTCTCCATTTATGCAAGCTCTGTTATGCTGTTAACAGTTTCTCACTTTATGGGAGCTTTGTTATATATGCCCTTCTCATCATGCTGGAGCTTTGCTATATAGTATGAGCTTCTCACCATAGCGGAGCTCTGTTGTATTGTGCCAGCTTGTTGCTTTATGGGTTCCAGGCCTGCTGATGGATGGCTAAGGCTCGTTTTTGGAGAGTGCAGCCCTAGAACGCTCTCAGATTCGTGGTTATGTTTGGTAGGATCTGTATGTTAGTATAATTGGGATTAATATTTATAATCATGTCTGTTTATTTATTAACAGCAACTGCAGTGCTTAACTTCAAAATACAGAGCTCTGCCCTCGTCGAAGAAAATGTGGATGATGTAATATATGCCCTATTATATAAGGTAATTTTAAGAATGTAATGCTAAATTATAATTATTCAGCAAGCGATATAAGCACATCTGGCAGGTTCATTGAAGTGGTCTGGGTGCACTGTCCCAGGTCTCTTAACCCTGCAATGGTAATTATTGCATTTTTGATAACCTTGGGAGGGAGCGAGGGAGGGAGGAGGGCACTATCGGGAGCTATAGTGACAGGAAAACAACTTAGTTTTTTTGGCACTATAGTTAACCCTCTAAAGGGGAACTGTCAGTTACCAGGATTTTAGATATTCAATTTACTTATACCTATATTTACTATATATGCATATGATCAGTGTGGAAAGTAAAACTAAATGTAGAAATCTGCACCTCTCTATTCTGCACCTGGGCACCTCCATCTTAGCTCCCTGTCAATCATTTTTATAAACTCTGTATTTTACATCTGGAAGTCAGCATAGAGAGAGCAGACAGAGAAGAGGAGATGTTGAACAATGTTACTCTACATCCTCTTCATTTAGTTTAATGGAATGGGCTTTCTCAGCGGATCTTGCTCGATTACTAGGAGGCTTGGAGGATCTCCAACAGGGCTGTCATGATGAGCGGGTATTCCCACCCATTGTGTCACCTCCATCTTCACGCACCCACTCCACCTGGAGCACAATACTGCTCTACTAAAGCAATATCTGCAGTACTGGCTGATGATACTCCGTTAGAGTAGATTCTGGAATAATGCCAATTTGCCCACTGGAATAAATTGCATATACAGGATTAATAATATTAATAATGATAATAATAATGTCATCCTTTCAGTACAATAATTGTCTTACAATAGGAAGAAGGGACTCAGTATTTCATGAGGTGCATGTTACAATAAGGAATGCTACAGGTCATGCTGATTAAATTAGGTAAGAGTTAGTGTTAGGGCCTCTAGTGTTTGGTTAAAATAATTATTTTCCGTATTATTTTATGATTCATGTTTTGCTAGTTTTATACTAAAGTTAGACATTATTATGACTATGTATCAAAATTCCTCTGTTTCCACAGACTTGCTCAATTTTTATTCTGGAACTCAACAGCAGGGATGTGACTTTAACCTGGGGGACAAATCGGACATCAGTGAATTGTGCCTCCATGGGGATCATCTAATCACTTAGAGAGACTCGGCGAGACAGTAATAATTTATTTGCACTATTTTTTTCACTACCCTGGGAGCGTCGCTAGTCATTGGCCAAGGCCAAGTCATTGACCTGGCACAGAATCTATCAGCCAGGGAATTCTCTGTACCAGTGTGCATAGAATAGGGGTTATAACTGCTAAAATAATGAACACGTGCTGGCGAGGATATTGCGTATTACTAACTGTGAAGAGGACACATTAACTTATCTAATTTATAGAAAATACATTTATATTTTATTATACTATTAAACTTTGTTACTATACTGCTGCTAATACAAGAAATGGCTGTGTAACTAAGGTGGAAGATACTAGTTAAACGTCTATGAACAAGGTTTAATGTAATATCTATTTAAGTTCTGTATATAAATTAGACTCAATAAAATGGTATTGGGGTGGAAATAGGTATACAGATCTAGGAGTTACTATTTAACCATAATCATTTGTTTCGTATGTCTCTTCCAAAAATGAGCCATTGGCCACCATCCTTCCCCTGAGGAGCTGTCTTCAGGCTGAGCTCTCAGTATACCTTTACTGTTGTTACTTGTTTACTTTTTTGTCACTTGTGCAAATACAAGGTTTTCTAACATTCCATTGATAAAGACTATAAAAGAACTGGGTGAAATTAATTGGATTGGCATTGTTGTGTCTCATTATTACATATAAACATAGAAACAGAATGTGACGACAGATAAGAACCATTCGGCCCATCTAGTCTGCCCAATTTTCTAAATACTTTCATTAGTCCCTTGCCTTATCTTATAGTTAGGATAGCCTTACGCCTATCCCACGCATGCTTAACCTCCTTTACTGTGTTAACCTCTACCACTTCAGCTGGAAGGCTATTCCATGCATCCACTACCCTCTCAGTAAAGTAATACTTCCTGATATTATTTTTAAACCTTTGTCCCTCTAATTAAGACTATGTCCTCTTGTTGTGGTAGTTTTTCTTATTTTAAATATAGTCTCCTCCTTTACTGTGTTGATTCCCTTTATGTATTTAAATGTTTCTATCATATCCCCCCTGTCTCGTCTTTCCTCCAAGCTATACATGTTAAGATCCTTTAATCTTTCCTGGTAAGTTTTATCCCGCAATCCATGAACCAGTTTAGTAGCCCTTCTCTGAACCCTCTCTAAGGTATCAATATCCTTCTGAAGATACGGTCTCCAGTACTGTGTACAATACTCCAAGTGAGGTCTCACCAGTGTTCTGTACAATGGCATGAGCACTTCCCTCTTTCTACTGCTAATACCTCTCCCTATACAACCAAGCATTCTGCTAGCATTTCCTGCTGCTCTATTACATTGTCTGCCTACCTTTAAGTCATCAGAAATAATCACCCCTAAATCCCTTTCCTCAGGTGTTGAGGTTAGGACTCTATCAAATATTCTGTACTCTGCCCTTGGGTTTTTACGTCCAAGATGCATTATCTTGCACTTATCCACATTAAATGTCAGTTGCCACAACTCTGACCATTTTTCTAGTTTACCTAAATCATTTGCCATTTGGCTTATCCCTCCTGGAACATCAACCCTGTTACATATCTTAGTATCATCAGCAAAAAGACATACCTTACCATCAAGGCCTTCTGCAATATCACTAATAAAAATATTAAAGAGAATGGGTCCAAGTACAGATCCCTGAGGTACCCCACTGGTGACAAGCCCAAGCTTCGAATATACTCCATTGACTACAACCCTCTGTTGCCTGTCACTCAGCCACTGCCTTACCCATTCAACAATATTGGAATCCAAACTTAAAGATTGCAGTTTATTGATAAGCCTTCTATGTGCAACAGTATCAAAAGCCTTACTGAAATCTAGGTAATCAATGTCTACTGCAATACCCTGATCTATAATTTTAGTTACCCAATCAAAAAAATCAACAAGATTAGTTTGGCATGATCTCCCTGAAGTAAACCCATGTTGTCTCTGAAATCCATGTGTTTTTAGATGTTCAACAATCCTATCCTTTAACATGGTTTCCATCACTTTCCCCACTACTGAAGTAAGGCTTACTGGCCTATAGTTGCCCGACTCCTCCCTATTACCTTTCTTGTAAATGGGCACAACATTCGCTAATTTCCAATCTTCTGGGACTACTCTCCATAAAAGTTGGATAAGTGATTTCAATAATGATTCCTTATGATTATTATATGCACTTAGAAGTAAGTCCATTACAAATCTCAAGTTATAATCTTTCCCACAGCAGTCAATCAGATCCACAGCTTATTTGTCAAAGAAGAACTTTCACTTTTAACATTTTAACACAATCAGATAGCAAACTAAAAGAGAGCTGTTGGTTGTGCCAAAATGTATTTTAACATTATTTATACAATTATTTTTATTTTAATGTGCATGTTTTTTCCAGATAGTATATAAATCAGTTTGTTACTGGAGTTACAAGAAAAAAATGCCAAACGTGCATGAGTAATTTCTGTATTTGATTCCTGAGTATGAAAGTACAAGTCCTGTAAGATATAGGGCTCATTTTAAAATTCTGGTTCTTGCTTTCAAATCTCTACATAATGCTGCTCCCACCTATCTATCCTCCCTTATACACAAGTATGTCCCGTTTAGGCCCTTACGCTCTGCTGAAGACTTACGTCTATCTTCTGTCCGTACTCCCACCTCTGATGCTCGCCTTCAAGATTTCTCGAGGGCTGCACCGTTCCTGTGGAACTCGCTTCCCTCCTCTGTTAGATGTTCACCCAGTCTCCACTCCTTCAAAAAATCGTTAAAAACCCACTTCTTTATAAAAGTGTATCAATTAAATTGTTAATAGCTCCTGACTGATTCCTCTTCTGCAACTGTCACTTGTCTAACACTATCCTTATCTTTTGTGTCACTTTACCCCACTTTCTCTAGCATGTAAACTCACTGAGCAGGGCCCTCAATCCCTCTGTTACTGTCACTATACCCCACTCCCTCTAACATGTAAACTCACTGAGCAGGCTCTCAATCCCTCTGTTACTGTGCCACTATACCCCACTCCCTCTAACATGTAAGCTCACTGAGCAGGCCCTCAATCCCTCTGTTACTGTGTCACTATACCCCACTCCCTCTAACATGTAACCTCACTGAGCAGACCCTCAATCCCTCTGTTACTGTGTCACTATACCCCACTCCCTCTAACATGTAAACTCACTGAGCAGGGCCCTCAATCCCTCTGTTACTGTGTCACTATACCCCACTCCCTCTAACATGTAAACTCACTGAGCAGGGCCCTCAATCCCTCTGTTGCTGTGTCACTATACCCCACTCCCTCTAACATGTAAACTCACTGAGCAGGCCCTCAATCCCTCTGTTACTGTGTCACTATACCCCACTCCCTCTAACATGTAAGCTCACTGAGCAGGACCCTCAATCCCTCTGTTACTGTGTCACTATACCCCACTCCCTCTAATATGTAACCTCACTGAGCAGGACCTCAATCCCTCTGTTACTGTGTCACTATACCCCACTCCCTCTAACATGTAAACTCACTGAGCAGGACCCTCAATCCCTCTGTTACTGTGTCACTATACCCCACTCCCTCTAACATGTAAACTCACTGAGCATGCCCTCAATCCCTCTGTTACTGTGTCACTATACCCCACTCCCTCTAACATGTAAACTCACTGAGCATGCCCTCAATCCCTCTGTTACTGTGTCACTATACCCCACTCCCTCTAACATGTAAACTCACTGAGCAGGGCCCTCAATCCCTCTGTTACTGTGTCACTATACCCCACTCCCTCTAACATGTAAACTCACTGAGCAGGGCCCTCAATCCCTCTGTTACTGTGTCACTATCCCCCACTCCCTCTAACATGTAAACTCACTGAGCAGGGCCTTCAATCCCTCTGTTACTGTGTCACTATACCCCACTCCCTCTAACATGTAAACTCACCGAGCAGGTTCCTCAATCCCTCTGTTACTGTGTCACTATACCCCACTCCCTCTAACATGTAAACTCACTGAGCAGGGTCTCAATCCCTCTGTTACTGTGTCACTATACCCCACTCCCTCTAACATGTAAACTCACTGAGCAGGCCCTCAATCCCTCTGTTACTGTGTCACTATACCCCACTCCCTCTAACATGTAAACTCACTGAGCAGGCCCTCAATCCCTCTGTTACTGTGTCACTATACCCCCCTCCCTCTAACATGTAAACTCCCTGAGCAGGGCCCTCAATCCCTCTGTTACTGTGTCACTATACCCCACTCCCTCTAACATGTAAACTCACTGAGCAGGCCCCCAATCCCTCTGTTACTGTGTCCCTATACCCCACTCCCTCTAACATGTAAAGTCACTGAGCAGGCCCCCAATCCCTCTGTTACTGTGTCACTATACCCCACTCCCTCTAACATGTAAACTCACTGAGCAGGGCCCTCAATCCCTCTGTTACTGTGTCATTATACCCCACTCCCTCTAGCATGTAAACTCACTGAGCAGGACCCTCAATCCCTCTGTTACTGTGTCACTATACCCCACTCCCTCTAACATGTAAACTCACTGAGCAGGGCCCTCAATCCCTCTATTACTGTGTCACTATAACCCGCTCCCTCTAGCATGTAAGCTCACTGAGCAAGGCCCTCAACCCCTCTGTTCCTGTGTGTCCAACTTGTCTGGTTACAACTACATGTCTGTTCGTCCACCCACTGTAAAGCGCTGCAAAATTTGTTGGCGCTATATAAATAATAACATAATAATAATACATATTATATTTACTTCCGATGCTTTATCTACCCCAGTAATTGTTGGAATAATGTTACTGGGGATAGGGGACGGGAACTTTCACTTCTTGTGAAATGATAGTTTCTCTTTTACTAATTGGCTATTTTTGTACATACAGAAATATATGCTTTTTTTTAACCTTTTTTGTGTTTTTAATCATTCTTTTAGGTCATATGTGCTTGAGATTGGTTTTCTTTTATAGAATTCTGTAAAAGAAAATTTTGTGCAAAAAAAATGGTTCAATGGCACAGCATGAAAGATATTGTCTTAACGTGCCTGCTTCTTTTAAAAATCACTTTTGCTTATTTTACTGAAGAAAAGGTTATCTTCAAAGTTGTTGAAACAAATAGCATATACTTTTAAAGTTATGACATTTCAGAAATATAGAAAGAACAATGGGTGCAAGAAACAAGAATCACACAAAAGGAGTTTATTGCCTTTATTGCTTATAGGGACATCCAGACTCCTAAAGCAGTTTAGCTTGCTCAAGTACTGTATGTGTGAGTAGTGTGTCCTCATTTATTCCAGTTAACAAAAAGTGCAAATTTTAATAGTAAATTAACCTAGTTACACCCACTTGGCTGTCAGTCAAAAAACTGGTCCTGTTACTTCCTGGTTTGTTTAGCTCAGTGAAGCGAGACAGCAATTGCCCAGAGCACATGCCTTGCAAAGACTTCTCATTGAGCTGCATTAGGAAGTCTGTGATTGGACAGCCACAGAAAGTATGTGCTGGTTGTAGATATACCCCCAATGAAAGAAAAAATAAAAATAATTAAATACATTCATGTTTTCATTGGGGGTATATTTACCAAACAGTGATCTTTATTTATTTAATTGGTCAGTGGACTGTCCCTTTAAAGTGCATGGTTCTTGTTCCCAGTACCTTCCTGCATATCTAAAACAGAACTAATGGAGATAACAAGCAAATGGGAAAAATGTTTCTGGGACCAATATTTGCTGGGTCAATGCCCCGAAAGACTGGTGAGAGGGCTGTAGACCACTATGATAGACGTGAGAGGGCAGTAGTACACTAGGATAGAGATGAGAGGGCTGTAGGCGACAATGATAGAGGTGATAGGGCTGTTGACCACCATGATGTTTCTATGTTTCTATGATGCAGGTGAGAGGGCTGTGGACCACAAGAATAGAAGTGAGAGGGCTGTGGACCACAAGAATAGAGGTGAGAGGGCTGTGGACCACTAGGATAGAGGTGAGAGGGCTGTAGACCACTAGGATAGAGGTGAGAGGGCTGTAGACCACTATGATACAGGTGAGAGGGCTGCAGACCACTAGGATAAAGGCAAGAGGACTGTTGACCACTATAAAAGAGGTGAGAGGGCTGTTGACCACCATGATACAGGTGATAGGGCTGCGGATCACTATGATAGAGGTGAGGGCTGTAGACCACTATGATAGATGTGATGGAAGTTTATTGTTCTCTCAATGAAGTAGGGTGGCGCAGGACTGAGTGGAGAGATCTAGTGATCTGTCTTCAAGTTTAAAGAAGGCCCCTTCAGAGCCAGAGCTGGAGCTCGAGGGCAACACATGGGCCCACCAGCCCCTATCTTAGCCCATACACTAGGCGGCTGCCTCTAGGTACTGAGGTGGTATGTAATTGTTTTTCAGGAATGCTATTTCAGATTTTACTGGACTGGACGGAGCAGAAAAAGCAAGTAAAAAGACCACACACTTGCCTCCACTGAAATTCTGCAAAATCATTGTCCCATGATACTTTGAGGTAATGGTTTGGTTAGTATGTATGTGTCTATGTAAGTGTGTATCTACCTATGTATATGCAGGCATGCCCGTTACTATGAATGTACACATAAAGTATGCGTATGATGGTCGTGTGTATCTACCTATGTATATGCAGGCATGCCTGTTACTATGAATGTACACATAAAGTATGCATATGATGGATGTGTGTATATGCTTGCATGAGGGCAAATGAATGTATGTATAAGAGTCAGCACATTTGTATTTATGAAAGAGAGTATTCACAGATGGATTTATGAGTGAAAGTGTGTGTATATCCTTGTTTTACCTGATTATTACATTATAACCTTTACTTCACAACCGCAGGGACAGTCCATTGTCCTTTGCCATCAATAAATTGAAGGCCACAAGAATGCCAGCTAAACAGGGCTTATCATTTATTCCCTAAATAGAAATAATCAAAACAGCGACAAAACAAAAAGAACTAATGCAGAGAAAAAGCAAATGGGAAAAAAACGAAAACAAATCAGGTGAAGGCCGAGGGGGAATAGCTGTCCCTCTCATGAAATCCTAGAATTGTGTCTACTTAAACTGTATTTAGCATTATTTTGTACTTATGAAATATTGTATCATGCATGATATACTGGTTACTATAAAGGCATAATATAACGTGATAAAGTTGACACAACAGATTGTGTGATACTAAAGCTGTTTGGTGCTGCTGTGCCAAACAAATACTCAGGACTCTCTTGGACTGCAGAGGCAATTTGTATCTTGGTAAGACTAAGAAAAAGTTCTGTAAAGAACTTTTAAGCTATATTTCATTAGCATTACACTGATCAGCCACAACATTAAAACCAACTGCCCAATATCGGACATCCGAGTGCTGCCAAAACACCTCTGATGTGTTGAGGCATGGACTCCACAAGACCACTGAATGGTCCTTGTGGTATCTGGTACCAAGACATTAGCAACAGATCCTTTAAATCCTGCAAGATGGAAGGTAGTTGTTCCAGCACATCCCACAGATGCCCAACCAAATATGACCATACTGTTATTCTTAATAACACTTTTCTCAATCCAATTTTGTTCACATCACTACCGCCAAAAGCACATATCTCAAACTGGAAGACAAATTATCATACACCATGGCCTGCTCTGTTGCTGTAACTTATCTGGATATGGATAACAATAGGGATACAGCTAGATGCTATAAAGTAAGAAAAAAACAGCACATAGTGATTTACAGCATTTAACGCTGACACGTAAAATCATAAGTAGCACTCACAGAGTTGAAATCAAATGGATGCCTTGAAATCCATAAATGGATTATACTGGTCTGCCTTCCACCATTCAGGCTAATGCAGCAGGTCCAGGAATATCAGATAGAAGAATCAGGATGCAAAAATAAAAAAATGAGCTTGTAGAGCAAAGTATAAATTTATTGAGGCAACAAACTGCCTAATAAGAAATAATGGATAAAATATATAAAAAATATATAAAAATATAAATGTATATATATTTTATCCATCAGCTGACCTTATCCACGCTCGATGGGCATGACACCTCAGGCAACCTAATGTTAACCGTTTGAAGCAGGGGAGGTTGAGACCTTAAAAACTTGTTCATCTCATTCCATATACTTAAACGTCAACTCAACCGGGCCCGAGGAGCAGCATTGGGGGTGGGGGGGGGTAGCGGAGCCACAGGGAAGACCCCAGAGGGACACAGGCTGCGGGGGAGCACCCACACCGGCAGCCATCATGGGAGAGGGGAGCAGGGGCCACAGGGAAGGCCCCAGAGGGACCCATGCCACGGGGGGAGCACCCACACCAGCAGCCACCATGGGAGAGGGGAGCAGAGGCCACAGGGAAGGCCCCAGATGGAGACAGGCCGTGGGGGGGGAGCACCCACACCAGCAGCCACCCCAGGGGAGAGGGGAGCAGGGGCCACAGGGAAGGCCCCAGAGGGACCCAGGTTGCGGGATGGAGCACCCACCCCAGGGGAGAGGGGAGCACCTGAATCAGGAGTCACCGGCCACCATCCACCCTGCAGCAGCTTGGAGGAAAGCCAGTGGGCCTCAACCTCATCCCTCAAGTTGTGTCAATCTGCAGGCCCAGGCAAACAGGAGCAGGAGGACAGGAAGATGTTTGCTGGCCCGAATCCCAAGTGGCACTGAGGTAAGACCTCCCCCACACTAACTTACACAGAACATAATCCCACCCACACACTGTTTCCCATCCAATCCCATGCATCTATCCCCACACTCCTACATGTGCCCTTGTCCGCTTAGCTGCGCTTTTTATGGATTTCAAGGCATCCATTTGACATCCATTTGGCATCCATACTTATGATTTTACGTGTCAGCGTTGAATGCTGTACATCACTATGTGCTGTTTTTTTCTTACTTTATAGCATCTAGCTGTATCCCTATTGTTATCCATATCCATTCAATTCAACGGAGGCTCTAGAGGTTAGGTACATCTATCTATGTATCTGTTATTATTTGATGATAAGTAGAATTGTTTGTTTGCCAGTTTCTTTTCCCGCTGTAACTTATCTGCTGGTGCTGGTGCTGAGTGCTGGTGGTGAGTTATAAAAAATAGCCCTCCTACCAGCACCTCACTAAATTATAAAGTATCCCATTCATTATATGGCCAAATGAAAATGATGTCCAAATTCCTACTCCTTATGTTACTTGCCCTTGCAAATGATGTGGAGTCTAACCCTGGTCCCCCAGCTAATTCTAGTCCTAATCTCCCCACTAAAAAAGGCCTCTCTTTTGTGCACTGCAACATCCATAGTTTACTCCCTAAACTGGATGCTCTGCAAGCCTGGTGTTCCCATTACAAACCAAAAATCATTGTGCTCTCAGAATCATGGTTAACAATTAAAATACCAGATACTGCCATTGCAATACAGGGGTATTCATGTTTTAGAAATGACAGAGCAAAGAGAGGGGGAGGCATTGTCATTTATGTTGACAATTCCATAAAGTTTACCCCCTTACAAAACTTTAGTCCTCCTGCCACCTTTGATTTCCTTTCTGGCACAATTGAGATCCCGTGCAGTAAATCAATCATTGTTGTAGGAATCTACCGCCGACCTAACTCCCCTGTGCATTCCCTTTCTGACATAGCCCATCTCCTTAGTGAAACCATAGCTCAAAACCCAAAAAGTGAACTGTTGGTCTTTGGAGATTTTAATATTGATTGGCTGAACCCTAAAAATAATAGTTCTTGCACGCTGTTTAAGACTTTGCAGCTAACGCAATTAATCTCCTCCCCAACTCGCATAAACATTAAAAGCCATAACCATACCCGACTCGATTGGATTCTCTCCACTTCTCCTGATAGAATCCAGTTTCAGTGATTACTGTTTGGTGTACTGTGTGCGCAAAATAAAGGCTACTAAATCCTCTCCCAAGTTAAAATCACCAGGTCTTAATGATATCAAGAACCTCCCATGGCACAGATTAAACATTATCCCAGATCTAGGCTGTGCAGCTGAATTCTTTCAGCCTGAACTCCTACAAGTTTGGAATTTGCATACCCCGCTGCGTAAGGTGAGAGTAAAAGGGGCACATATAAACTGGATCACAGCTGACCTCATCCAAATGTACCAGTTTCGGGATTTATTGTGTTCAAAGTTCAAGCGTACTGGCTCTATGAACGATCATTGTGCATATAGACAATGGTGAAATATATGCACAAAACAAACAAAATTGGCCAAGGCCCAATATTTCTGTGAACATCTGATTAATAACCTATAAAACCCTAGAAACTTTTGGAAAGTCATAAATAAATGACAAACTCCCCCAATCTACTCCCAACCCTCCACTGTCAAAATGGATAACTAAACCCTGCAACTTCCATTGGATGTAGCAAATGCCTTCAACAATAATTTTGTCGTATGCTCCACTGCCCTGATTGCCAAGCTAATAAATGACACGCATCCTGAAACTACAAATGTGGATCAAGCCCAGCTACATTTGCAAAGGCCCAATAAAGACAAGTTCATTTTTAGACCTGTACCTATTAGTGTCATTAAAAACACCTTAATAATAAAAAAATGAAAAACCAGTCTGGACCTGATCAAATCCCAGCAATGCTGTTGAAGCTCAGTGCACCGGCAATTGCTAAACCTGTCGCAACCTTATTTAACAAATCCTTGGTGTCATACCCAAACTTTGGACGACTGGCACTCCGGCAGGCGGTGGCGGAGGTGCGGGTAGCTAAGAAGGTTACGCTCCGGGCGCTTCTGTCTCTGCTGGGTCGGCTAAACTTCGCCTGTCGGGTGATTCCGGTCGGACGGGTTTTTAACAGGTTCCTAGCCAGGGCGACGGGGGGGTGGGGGGTGGTGTTCCCGCACCACCTTATTCGGGTATCAGGGGCCATGAAGGCCGATCTGGACATCTGGGGGGAATTCTTGCGGTACTTTAACGGGAAGGTGTTCTTTCGGGAGCCAGCGGCGTCTTCTCAGGAGTTGGAGCTGTTCACAGACGCGTTGGGGAGTGTCGGTTTTGGGGCTTACTTTTGGTCAATGGTGCATGGGAACTTGGCCAAGGGCCTGGAAGGCCAGCCTGCTGATATGCAACTTGGCGTTCCTGGAATTGTTCCCGTTATTAGTAGTTCTGTCACTATGGGGTCCACAGCTGAGGGATAAGAAGGTGGTATTCTTTTCGGACAATATGGCAGTGGTAGATGCAGTGAACGGGCTATCAGCATCCTCTATCCCGGTGGTGCGGCTTCTTCGCCGTTTTGTCTTGTTCTGTATGAGGTTTAACATTGTTTTTCGGGCACGCCGGGACTGTTGAATGTTATTGCTGATGCATTATCTCGTTCGCAGTGGGAGAGGTTCTGGCAGGTGGCACCTGGCACGCGGGAGGAAGGGATGTCTTGCCCAGACGAGATGTGGCGGCTCGGGACATCATGTTTGGCGGACTGATCAGGGATTCCCTGGCACCCGCTACCTGGACGGCGTACAGTAAGGTGTGGGGGGCATGGGACGAACTGGTGCTACAGACAGCTCTCAAGGGAGGCACGGTTGGACGCGCTGCTGTGGCTCTTGTGTAGGTCAGTCACCACAGGGGCTTTGGCAGCGGTGGTAGGGCGTAAGCTGTCAGTGCTAGCCTTCTTGTTCAAATTTAACAGGTGGGAGGATGCTACCAAACATTTTCTTCTTAGGCAAGCACTGAAAGGTTTCAGGAGGGGTAAGGTGTCAATGGATTCTTGGAGGCCGGTGTCGTTCGAGTTGCTTCAGTGGGTGGTCCGGGTGCTGCCCGCGGTATGTTTTTCAGGATACGAAGTTACAATGTTTTCCGTGGTTTTTAGCTTTGCCTTTTTCGGGGCATTTCATGTCAGCGAGCTGGTTAGCAGCAATCGCCAGGGGGCCGGGGGGCTTCGGGCGGTGGACGTGAAAGTGTGGAGTAACAAGGTAGTGATTAACCTGAGGCGGTCCAAAACGGATGTAATGGGGAAGGGAACATTGGTTACGTTGTGGGAGCTCCTGGGTGGGAGAACGTGCCCGGTTAAGTGTGCAACGGCCTTCCGGGAGGTACGGGCAATGGCTGGGGGTTCATATTTTAAGCATGAGGACGGCTCTATCGAAGTTCCAGTTCCTCAGGGTTTTTCGGAAGGCGTTGGCAAGGGTGGGAGTGGATCCGGGCCAATTCGGGACACATTCTTTCAGGATTGGTGCAGCTACTGAAGCGGCGAGACTAGGCTTGGGTGACGAACAGGTGAAAAGGATTGGCAGGTGGGAGTCGCTGAGGTTCATGTCTTACATTAGGCCAGACAAGTTGGTATAAGGTTAAGGGTGGTTAATGGGGAATGTTGGTTTGGTGGTTGTTTGTGGTTGTCTATGTTTGCTTTATGTTTTACAGGTCGGATGGCATGGGTGGTCGGCCTCTCATACATATACTGGGCGCAATGGAGAGCTGCAGTTCAACGTCATGGTCTACAGCTGGGCTTTCCAAGTTCCGTGGTGCAGCTTCGGTGGTTTGGTTACCGGGGCTGGGGTTGGAATGCTATATGTGATGAAATGTTTCACAAAATTCTTTTGGGACAGGTTCCGGACATAGTGGTGCTTCACGCACGGGGCAATGATGTGGGGTCATTACCTCAAAAGGTTTTGATCGAATGTATGAAGAGGGATGTGGACAAATTAAGGGAGTTAGTGCCGGGGGTTATGGTGGTATGGTCGGAGATGGTTCCGAGGTTGTACTGGCGGCACGCGCGGAATCACTCCGCGGTGGCGAAGATTAAGTGTAAGGTTAATAAGGTGATGGCAGCGTATGTGAAGCGGTCAGGGGGGTTGTGATTAGGTACAGGGAGTTGGAAGACATGCTTCCAGGTTATTATAGGCGTGAAGGGGTCCATCTGTCCAATGTGGGTTTGGACTTTTTGTTGCTGGGTTTCCAGGAGGGCCTCCAGAGGGCCTCCAGAGGAGTCGAGCTCTGAGCTGTGGTGGGGGATGGAGAGTAAAGCTGGGGGGAGAAAAGAGTGAGATAGGGAAAAAGTTTGGAGTTCAGGGCTGGTTTGGTAGGTTCGAGCTTGTAGGTAGCTCCGAACCGGGGTGTGTATGGGGTGTCTCGGTATGCCCCTACACTTGTGGTGCCCTTTGGTGGCAATGGTCATGTTTCATGTTAAGTAAAATGTTACAATGTTTGGGTATTATGTTATGTGGGGGTGGGTCATTGTCAAGGGGTTAAATTGTAAACTGCAGGATGTTAATTGTGCAGGCCAACGTTGGCCTGCTGTTGACAATGACCTTTATAATTTATGTTAAATATCAAATAAAGCTGTGATATAATTTTGCCAAAACCATGGTGTCAGTGCATTATTGGGAATTGGGTATTTGGTGGGGGGTTTTAAGCAGAGGCCGACAAGGCGACTGTGCACATGTCATGTGTCCATACGCACCTATGTGAGTATTACCAATAATCTAACTATCTGACCCCTGATCAATCAGGTTTTCGCCCAAATCACTCCACTACAACTGCCCTCTTAAAAGTTTGCAATGACATCCAAACTGGCATGGAAAAAGGAGACCTAACTGGAGCTATTTTCCTTGATTTTGCAAAGGCCTTTGACACAGTAGGCCACAACATTCTACTACACACACTCAAAAACTCAGGTATTGGTGATTGTCCGCTAACCTGGTTTCGATCGTATGTATTGGATCGCTCGCAACATTTGTCCATTTCTAAAAGCGACTTCCTCCCTCTCCTAGTGTGGTGTTCCTCAAGGTTCCATTCTCTGCCCACTACTATTTATATTATTTATAAATGTCTGCAAATCCTCAAATGTACACATGTACGCAGACGACACAGTGATCTATGTGAGCAAATCCGATCTACCACAGCTTGAGGCTGTGCTCCAAGTACACACACACAGACTGCTGAATACATACACAGACTGCTGAATACATACACACACAGTCCGCTGAATACACACACACAGTCCGCTGAATACACACACTGCGTGGGGTGCTGTGTGTGTGCTGTGTGTGAGGGGTGCTGTGTGTGTGAGGGGTGATGTTTGTGTGTGAGGGTTGCTGTGTGTGTCTGAGGGTTGCTGTGTGTGTCTGAGGGTTGCTGTGTGTGTGTGTGTGATGGTTGTTGTGTGTGTGTGGGAGGGGTGCTGTGTGTGTGTGTATGACAGGTGTTGTGTGTGTATGAGGGGTGCTGTGTGTGTGTGAGGGGTGCTGTGTGTGTGTATGAAAGGTGCTGTGTGTGTGAGGGCTGCTGTGTGTGTGTATGAGGGGCGGTGTGTGTGTATGAGGGGTGCTGTGTGTGTGTGAGGGGTGTTTTGTGTGTGTATGAGGGGTGCTGTATGTGTGTGTGAGGGGTGCTGTGTGTGTGTATGAGGGGTGCTGTGTGAGAGAGAGGGGTGCTGTGCTGTGTGGGGGTAGGGGTGCTGGGCGGGGGGGTGTGTGTAGGGCTGCTGTGTGTGGGGTAGGGGTGCTGTGTGTGGGGGTAGAGATGCTGTGTATGGGGGTGGTGTGTGTGTGGGGTAGGACTGCTGTTTGTGTGGGGGTAGGGGTGGAATGCTGGGTGTGGGGAGGGAAGCTGGGTGTGGGGAGGGAGCTGGGTGTGGGGGAGTGGAGGAATGCTGGGGAGGAAGGGGTAGGGGCTGTGTGGGGGGTAGGGGTACTCTGTGTGGGGGGTAGGGGTGCTGTGGGGGGGTAGGGGTGCTGTGTGTGTGGGGCTGGGGTAAAGGTGTTTAAAAAAAAAAAGTATGCTAAATCAGTATCCCCCCCCTCCTTCTTATCTTTAATGAAGGGGTGGGACACAGCCATCCCTGGTGTCCGGTGGTGGCAAGCACTGCTTCCATGCCGGGATGCAGGGGGAGGTATGCTGTGTGGAGCATTGCCATGGTAACGCGCAGCAATGCTCCAAACAGATTGCTCGCGGGAGGTCAGGGGAACTGCTTCACAGATCCCTCCCCCTGCCTCCCGACACGGAAGCAGAGTAGGCGCCTGCTGTTTTGGGCAGGCAGGTGCCTACTCTGCATTGATGGCGAACCTATGGCCGCGTGCCCACAGAAAGGGCCCGGCGTGCCACCTGTGGCACGCGTGCCATAGGTTCGCCATCACTGTCATAGAACATCCACATATTACCCTTTTATGATGTTCCTCCTAATCTTCTGACAGTGGGTCCTACAGTGCACAAATCAGGTGAACACTTCAAAATTGTGATCTTCCAGGTGGAATCTCCACATAACTAGTGGTCTGTCAAACAGAATGCTTTCTGTCAATGGATAAGGCCCAGAGGAGGCGGGCTGAAAGCTAGCCAGATAGGAGGCATGTGTGGGTGTGGTGGGTGTAGGTGTCACAAGTGGGGGTGTCACTTAGGTTAGAGGTGGGGTGGGGTCATATAAATAGCAGTCATTTTGTCCCCTTACCTCAGCCATCTTAAAAATAAGATGGCCCTTTGTTGTTGATTGTTATCTTATTGCGTATCACTAATTTTCTTTCTTGTCACAGCCTGCCGGGAATGGTCCTTGCCGAACCAGTTGGGAAACGGAGTACACTGGAAGAAGGAATGTTGGGTCTGGTCCCTCCCCTAACCTCGGAAAATGTTTTGGTAATTGGGCGTGCCCTTAGTGCCAGGAAAAGGCGGCCAGGGGTTGGCATGGGGAATTGGAAGGCCAAGGCCAGTTATCTTGGACGAGGGGGGAGGGCAGGTCCCCTGGAAGGGGGTACTCCAGAGTTGTTATGGTCCGGTTGGCAAGGACGAGTTTGAGTTACATCATGCTCATATTAAAGGATAGTTAAAATTGGTTATATATTTATGCTTGTTATTTATAAATAAAGCTGTGGCCTGTTTATACCACATTTACGTTTCTTGGTCTTAATTGGTGGAGGAGGGGGGAGCGGGTTTGTGGGTATAATGGGTCGCACCACACAATAACCACTACCTGCACACAATTTAGTTCCCAAAGAGAACAGGAAATGTGGTTTCTCCATGAGAAAATTCAGCCAGATGATTAAATTTTAAGATTGCGGAGGTAGAAAAATCCTGTGATTCTTCCACCATTCTGCAAGATGATATTACGTGAAAAACAGTTAAAAAAAAAAAAAGTAGAGTTAATAACGGTAACAAAATATTGTTATTTCCCCGTAATTCAATTTTAATTACAATATATGGTTTCAGTACATTCTTCTTATACGTAGCACAATACCCTTTCACACGTTGCAGACAAACCAGATTTTAAGGTGGAATGTTGTGTACTTTGCTGTTAACCGTACAGAAGCTGTAAATACAGTATGTGTCTCACAAGATGCCTCTAACACAGTGACATCTCAATTTACACTCAAAAGACCTTTAACCACAAATTTAAGATCTGAGTAATATAATTTAATGTCTTTGCTTAAAGGGACACTATATTCACCAGAACAACTACAGCTTAATGTTCTGATATGTATAGCCTGTCCCGGCAGGCATTTGAAAGTCAACATTGCCTTTTCAGAGAAAAGGCAGTGTTTTAATTACTGCCTAATAACACAGTCATTCAGACGGAAACTAAAGGTGCTTCCTGGACAGTGCTGCACAATGTGCATGGAGAAGCTCAATATTCCTAAAGGTGATTAACTGCAATTCAATTGAGGATATGCTGATTGGCGCAGCGCAGCAATACACCTTGCGTGTGCATTAGCTTTCCAATGCTTACCTATGAGAAAGCATTAGATTGGCTGAGATTATCACTTCAGATGATCTCAGACAAGAAGGCATTGTGTGAGTGGAGCCAGCCACGGCAGACCCATGCGGCGCTGGAGTAAAGGTAAGTTTTAACCCTTTTTAAGGGAGAAAGAGAGGGCCAGGCACCTAATATGTATTTTTAACACTGCAGAGTTAAGAATATTCATTTGTATTCCTGACGCTATAGTGTTCCTTCAACTCATTACATAACTCAAAGAAGGGGATTAATATCACTATCAATGTTTTCACTAACAATGTATTCACTAAAGAATAGAAGTATACAATATACAGATCATACTACTAATAAAAACTTTAGGCAAGGAATATTAAATTGTATTCCTAGCACTATAGCTCCCTATAGTGCCCTCCTCATTTGCACAACCCCCCTGCTGCTCAAAACCATATTGTCACTTACGTGATTCAAGCACCGATATCCCTCGGTGCTGGGTCAGGCTCTGTCCTGGCTCCTCCTTTCCGGACCTAATACGCATGCATGGCGAGCACCACAAGTGCAGTAGGACAGCCCCATAGGAAAGCATTATATAAATGCTTTCCTATAGGGTTTTGGGTGACACTGGATGTCCTCATTCACAACAGAAGGACGTCCAATGTCAGTAAGGTTACCAAAAGTCTGGTAGAGAACCACTAGAGGTGGCGTTAACCCTGTATTGTAATTATTGCAGTTTTGCTATAAGTGCAATAATTACCATTGCAGGGTTAAACTGACAGGGGCACTGCACCCAGACCATTTCAGCCAGCTGTCTGGGTGCCTATAGTGTCTCTTTAATGTTTTCATAAAGTCGACATGAATACAGTTACTCAATCTAAACCGCTCCACTTTCCTGAAAATATATAGGTATTCACAAAATAATAAAAGAGGACATTTTGAGATTGGCTGAATAAATACGTCCATTATTTCAGTGAGATATTTTAAAGAGACTGTGTTATCTTTCTGCACAATTTTAGGTACGCCTGCTCTATGTGTCCCTTTGTTTTGAAGTGAACCTGTTGTCTACAAACTGTAGATGTCAAGTTAGTGTCCACATCAATATACATAAAATCTATTCAGTTTGCTGTGAAATTCCCACCAAGGGAATAGTTTACAAGATACACCTGAAATCTGTTTCTGACACACACAGTAAAGTCCCTTGGAGTGGCCAGCTCCAAAATGACACAACTGAAAGCCACAAATCTACGCGTGAAGGTGCCCACAAGGAGTTGTCAGATTTCAATGCATCATGTGGGAGCCCTGCAAGATTGCATTGCCTGCTAGAAGCATAGGCATCATACTCAAGAAGGTCAAAGTTATATATAGTATCGTAACTTTATGTCTATACATTTTGGACAATGTGGCTTTTGTACTCTTTATAGTGACTTATTCAGTGAGAGTCTTTGTGCTCAGCTCAAATTGTTTTGTGTTCTGCTCATAGGTAACTCCCTTTGCAAGAAAGTTAATGTTTAGATTTTTTATTGTGTTTGTGTAAGTCAGAGGCTTTGCTGTGTTTACACATATCTGGGTGGAGGAAGAAGGTTTAAGCCGCATTTCGGATGACACACATGATAAGGAAAGTGATTTTAGGAAAGCAGGGAGCTTATAACCTGGACTATGGCTCCATGGAAGGACAGGGTTGTATACGGGATGACAAACATAGTTCTCATCATTTCTGGTAAGTTATTAAACCTTGCAGTCTAATGCCCTCGGACCGTATGCAAAGCATCACAAAGCCCTTTGAGTGGATAAACTGAGAACAAACAGCTGATGCTGGGGTATTAACTAATGGATAAATCAAAGTGCATTCAAAGTGAATTTCAAATTCAGGGTTAGGGAGGTCCAGAAACCTAAACTGGGTTTTTAACAGTGTGGGGTCAGCAGACCTTTAATATTATTATTGTTATGTTTATTATTTATAATGTGCAAACATAGTTCAAGTTAAATCATTTGTATGAAAATATTACTTTGCCTACATGATATATCGAGTTATTCACTATAGTGAGAATTATTGGGAACTTAAATCTAATATCAAATTAAACACCAAAGTAGCCGTGTTAGTATAACTTCGTTAGAGAATGTTTCCTGTTCTTCCCATTTTTGGTCTTATATGAAAAATTCTCTTTGAATTCAAACTTTAGCAAATAACCGTGAATGTTTTTTTCAGCTCAGGAACCTCTATTAACTGTGTGTATTTAAAACATTTTAACTCTTTACTGATCGTAATATCAGCTCGCAAATTAAATCCATCAGCACTCAGATGTAAGCAACTCTTCAAAACATTTGTATATTTAAAGTGATACTAACAGGAAGGGAGCCAGGCTCAGAGACTAGGAAGAGTATAACTATCATGAATAATGAGACCAAGAGAGCATCAAATGAAGTGAATTCATTGTAACAGTGTCACTTTCTGTACCCCGGCCTAAGTTGAAAATATTTAATAACATATACCAGATCAAAAAAATAAATAAAATATGCGTACGTGAAAAAATTCTGGGCAAATATGTATAGTTCAATGAACCATTCCTGTAAAAGGCAGCTGAAAATGCAATTAACCGACAGAAAATGCCAGTAAAAGTATAGCAGACGCAGAGCCATAAAGCAATAAAATATAAACAAAAATATAGCAAGGCAAGGCTTTAATATTACATTGAACACATAATATAACCCAGACTGAAGTGGGTCCTGCGATAGCTGTAAAAAGGAGAATAGATAGAATGAATTCCCCCGTTAATAAGACACGTGTAAGGGATTCGATGAAGACAGATATTGTAGAAGACTTTGAAGAGTCCTGTAGTAATAAAGTTTGTTACAATTTAATCTAGATTGGGATAACCATGAGAAGATTCGAGGATGAAAGAGCAATCACAAAACCATTTTGTCCTAATAACACAAATGAATAGAAAAAAACTATTCATAAACCAGTAGCAACAACTTAGATAAAACAAGTCAAAAGACCTTAAAATATATTTGTCAAAATCAGTAACAATATATAGCAAATAAGAGATACGTACGTGCCAGGAATATATGAAAATAAGAAATTCCTAGTGTCCAAATGTCCATAAAACAATGTAGCTATTGTGAACTGAAACAAGTATCTCACATAAAATGCAAAAAGTCCAGTACCCTGCCATTTAATATAATACAGAACCCTGCCATTTAATATAATACCGTACCCTGCCATTTAATATATTACAGTACCCAGCCATTTAATATATTACAGTACCCTGCCATTTAATATATTACAGTACCCAGCCATTTAATATAATACAGTACCCTGCCATTTAATATAATACCGTACCCTGCCATTTAATATATTACAGTACCCAGCCATTTAATATATTACAGTACCCTGCCATTTAATATATTACAGTACCCAGCCATTTAATATAATACAGTACCCTGCCATTTACTATATTACAGTACCCAGCCATTTACTATATTACAGTACCCAGCCATTTAATATATTACAGTACCCAGCCATTTAATATAATACAGAACCCTGCCATTTAATATAATACCGTACCCTGCCATTTAATATATTACAGTACCCAGCCATTTAATATATTACAGTACCCTGCCATTTAATATATTACAGTACCCAGCCATTTAATATAATACAGTACCCTGCCATTTAATATATTACAGTACCCAGCCATTTACTATATTACAGTACCCAGCCATTTAATATATTACAGTACCCAGCCATTTAATATAATACAGTACCCTGCCATTTAATATATTACAGTACCCAGCCATTTAATATATTACAGCATCCTGCCATTTAATATAATACAGTACCCAGCCATTTACTATATTACAGTATCCAGCCATTTAATATAAAACAGTACCCTGCCATTTAATACCTTACAGTACCCAGCCATTTAATATAATACAGCATCCTGCCATTTAATACATTACAGTAACCTGCCATTTAATATATTACAGCATCTTGCCATGTAATATATTACAGTACCCAGCCATTTACTATAATACAGTACCCTGCCATTTAATATAATACAGTACCCAGCCATTTAATACATTACAGTACCCAGCCATTTAATATATTACAGCATCCTGCCATTTAATATAATACAGTACCCAGCCATTTACTATATTACAGTATCCAGCCATTTAATATAAAACAGTACCCTGCCATTTAATATATTACAGTATCCAGCCATTTACTATATTACAGTACCCTGCCATTTACTATATTACAGTATCCAGCCATTTACTATATTACAGTACCCAGCCATTTAATATAATACAGTACCCAGCCATTTACTATATTACAGTACCCTGCCATTTAATATAATACAGTACCCTGCCATTTAATATAAAACAGTACCCTGCCATTTAATATAATACAGTACCCAGCCATTTAATATAAAAAAGTACCCTGCCATTTAATATATTACAGTACCCAGCCATTTAATATAATACAGTATTCTGCCATTTAATATAATACAGTACCCTGCCATTTAATATAATACAGTACCCAGCCATTTAATATAATACAGTATTCTGCCATTTAATATATTACAGTACCCTGCCATTTACTATATTACAGTACCCTGCCATTTAATATAATACAGTACCCAGCCATTTACTATATTACAGTATCCAGCCATTTACTATATTACAGTACCCTGCCATTTACTATATTACAGTATCCAGCCATTTACAATATTACAGTACCCTGCCATTTACTATAATACAGAACCCTGCCATTTAATATAATACAGTACCCTGCCATTTACTATATTACAGTATCCTGCCATTTAATATAATACAGTACCCTGCCATTTACTATATTACAGTACCCAGCCATTTACTATATTACAGTACCCTGCCATTTAATATAATACAGTACCCAGCCATTTAATATATTAAAGTACCCAGCCATTTACTATATTACAGCATCCTGCCATTTAATATAATACAGTACCCAGCCATTTACTATATTACAGTATCCAGCCATTTACTATATTACAGTACCCTGCCATTTAATATATTACAGTACCCAGCCATTTACTATATTACAGCATCCTGCCATTTAATATATTACAGTACCCTGCCATTTAATATATTACAGTACCCAGCCATTTAATATAATACAGTGCACTGCCATTTAATATATTACAGTACCCAGCCATTTAATATAATACAGTACCCTGCCATTTAATATATTACAGTACCCTGCCATTTAATATGTTACAGTACCCTGCCATTTAATATGTTACAGTATCCTGCCATTTAATATAATACAGTACCCAGCCATTTACTATATTACAGTACCCTGCCATTTAATATAATACAGTACCCAGCCATTTAATATATTACAGTACCCTGCCATTTAATATATTACAGTACCCAGCCATTTAATATAATACAGTATCCTGCCATTTAATATAATACCGTACCCAGCCATTTTATATAATACAGTACCCTGCCATTTAATATAATACCGTACCCAGCCATTTTATATAATACAGTGCCCTCCTGTGACGAAATGCCTTTTGTCCCTAGATTGTTAGGTGACAAGCTGCCCTTTGCCCCCGGCTTTTGGAGGAGCCTGATTGCCAGCCTCCTTCCTCATGACTATGGCCCTGGGGTGTATTGCCATTTAAAAAAGACTATTTGGGGCTTATTGGCATCTAAAGACAGTTTCTTCCCATTGGAATCCATGGGAAGGTGTGTTTCTTCCCCTCCCCCGTTTCCTGTCTATTGTTCACCTAGATTGGGCGCTCAGATCCGAGCTATCTGGGGATAGGTTAAATGTGGGGGTTCTGTGTAATATAATAAGAATTATGTATTTTTATGTACTTTTACGTATTTTTGCTGTTAGTGTCAAATGTAGATATTTTCTGTACCTGGAGATAATTGAGTTTACTTCAGTGCCTTAAGCCAATTATCTCCAGGATGGAGAGGAGGGATTTCATTGTTTATGTGAGAGTGTTATCATGTTAATTAGTGTTCCCATTGGTTTGTGTCCCTTTTGTCACAGTTTACCACCAGGTCCAGGGGGTGTGCCTCTGACCTGAAAACTTGTATATAAGAAGTAATAAACGCTCATTGGAGTCAGATCATCTTGTACCTTCCTGAAGTTTCGGCTCATGTTTGGGGGATTGGAGAAACTACACTCTGGGGATTGCTATAATCACTATACTCCCCAGGGTATATTCACTAAGCTCTGCTAAGAGCTTGTTCCTGTTCCTGCTCTCTGGAATTCGGAGAGAGGTCGACCTGCTGGAAGCTGGACCCTGGTCCTGGGTCCAGAGTGGGTGGAGACGGCGAGACCCCAACCAAGCTGCGGCGGTTCGTGGGGTCTGTAGTGGTTATGGTGTCAGGCAGAGTGCTTGGAGTCCTCGGAAAGCACTAGGAGCATCCGTCGGCGGAAGGTACCCGGTCGGGGTGCCAGCGGTTCCGTTACACCTCCCATTTACTATGTTACAGTATCCTGCCATATAACATATTACAGTATCCTGCCATTTACTATATTAGAGTACCCTGCCATTTAATATAATACAGAACCCTGCCATTTAATATATTACAGTATCCTGCCATTTAATATAATACAGAACCCTACTATTTAATATAATACAGTACCCTGCGATTTAATATAATACAGTGCCCTGCCATTTAATGTAATACAGTACCCAGCCATTTACTATATTACAGTATCCTGCCATTTACTATATTACAGCATCCTGCCATTTAATATATTACAGTATCCTGCCATTTAATATAATACAGAACCCTGCTATTTAATATAATACAGTACCCTGTGATTTTATATAATACAGTGCCCTGCCATTTAATGTAATACAGTACCCTACCATATAATATAATACAGTGCCCAGCCATTTAATATAATACAGTACCCTGCCATTTAATATAATACAGTACCCAGCCATTTAATATATTACAGTACCCTGCCATTTAATATAATACCGTACCCAGCCATTTAATATAATACAGTACCCAGCCATTTACTATATTACAGTACCCTGCCATTTAATATAATACAGTACCCAGCCATTTACTATATTACAGTACCCTGCCATTTACTATATTACAGTATCCAGCCATTTACTATATTACAGTACCCTGCCATTTACTATAATACAGAACCCTGCCATTTAATATAATACAGTACCCTGCCATTTACTATATTACAGTATCCTGCCATTTAATATAATACAGTACCCTGCCATTTACTATATTACAGTACCCAGCCATTTACTATATTACAGTACCCTGCCATTTAATATAATACAGTACCCAGCCATTTACTATATTACAGTATCCAGCCATTTACTATATTACAGTACCCTGCCATTTAATATATTACAGTACCCAGCCATTTACTATATTACAGTACCCAGCCATTTACTATATTACAGCATCCTGCCATTTAATATATTACAGTACCCAGCCATTTACTATATTACAGCATCCTGCCATTTAATATAATACAGTACCCAGCCATTTACTATATTACAGTATCCAGCCATTTACTATATTACAGTGCCCTGCCATTTAATATATTACAGTACCCAGCCATTTACTATATTACAGCATCCTGCCATTTAATATATTACAGTACCCTGCCATTTAATATATTACAGTACCCTGCCATTTAATATAATACAGTAATCAGCCATTTAATATAATACAGTACCCTGCCATTTAATATATTACAGTACCCTGCCATTTACTATATTACAGTACCCAGCCATTTAATATAATACAGTACCCAGCCATTTACTATATTACAGTACCCAGCCATTTAATATAATACCGTACCCAGCCATTTTATATAATACAGTACCCAGCCATTTTATATAATACAGTACCCTGCCATTTACTATATTACAGCATCCTGCCATTTAATATAATACAGTACCCAGCCATTTAATACATTACAGTACCCAGCCATTTACTATATTACAGTACCCTACCATATAATATAATACAGTACCCTGCCATTTAATATAATACAGTACCCTGCCATTTACTATATTACAGCATCCAGCAATTTAATATATTACAGTACCCTGCCATTTAATATAATACAGTACCCAGCCATTTAATATATTACAGTACCCTGCCATTTAATATAATACCGTACCCAGCCATTTAATATAATACAGTACCCTGACATTTAATATATTACAGTACCCTGCCATTTAATATAATACAGTACCCAGCCATTTACTATATTACAGCATCCTGCCATTTAATATAATACAGTACCCAGCCATTTAATATAATACAGTACCCTGCCATTTAATATAATACAGTACCCAGCCATTTAATATATTACAGTACCCTGCCATTTAATATAATACCATACCCAGCCATTTTATATAATACAGTACCCAGCCATTTACTATATTACAGTACCCAGCCATTTAATATAATACCGTACCCAGCCATTTAATATAATACAGTACCCAGCCATTTACTATATTACAGTACCCTGCCATTTAATATATTACAGTATCCTGCCATTTACTATATTACAGCATCCTGCCATTTAATATAATACAGTACCCTGCCATTTATTATATTACAGTACCCTGCTATTTAATATATTACAGTACCCAGCCATTTACTATATTACAGCATCCTGCCATTTAATATAATACAGTACAGGGGCGGGCTGGGCCAGGGGGCAGGGAGGCAATGGCCCCCCAGGCCGCCCTAAATAATTTTAAAACCGGCCACTGCAGGGCCAGTCCTAATGCTGCAGCAGCCTGAGCGCTCTGTTAAGAGCCTCAGGCGGCTGCAGCTGCTTCTCTCCTCCCCCCCACCTCCCCTGCCGCGTGGCCGAGCTCCTCTCCGGTCCGCGGTGCCCGGCCGGACTGATAGGAAGGTGCACACTCAGTGTGCACTTCCTGTCAGTCCAGCCGGTTACAGGAAACAGAAACTCCTGTTCCGCGCGGAGTTTCTGTTTCCTGTAATGAGCTGGACTGACAGGAAGTGCACACTGAGTGTGCTCCTTCCTATCACTCCGGCCGGGAACCGCGGACCGGAGAGGAGCTCGGCCACGGGTAAGAAGAAGGGGTGGGGTAAGAAGAAGAGGGGGTAAGAAGGAAAAGGGGGTATGAAGAAGAAGAAGGGTGGAGTAAGAAGAAGGGGGAGTAAGAAGAACAAGGAGGGGTAAGAAGAAGAGGGAGTAAGAAGAAGGGTTGGGGTAAGAAGAAGAGGGTGGTAAGAAGAAGAAAGGGGTAAGAAGAAGAAGGGTGGAGTAAGAAGAAGGGGGGAGTAAGAAGAACAAGGAGGGGTAAGAAGAACATGTGGGGGGAGTAAGAAGAACAGGTGGGGGAGTAAGAAGAACAAGGGAGGTAAGAAGAATGGGGGTAAGAAGAACAAAGGGGTAGTAAGAAGAACAAGGGGGGGAGTAAGAAGAACAAGGGGGGAAAAGAAGAACAAGGGAAGTAAGAAGAACACAAGGAGGAGGGGGAGAGTAAGGGTGAGGAGAAGGGGAGATGAGGAGAAGGGGGGACTGAGAAGAACACAGGGAGGGTGGGTGGTGAGGAGAACACAGGGAGGAGAGGGGGTAAGAAGAACACAGCGGGGGGTGAGGAGAAGGGGAGATGAGAACACAGGGAGGGGGGAGGTGAGAAGAACACAGGTGGGGGGAGGTGAGAAGAACACAGGGGGGGAGTGAGAAGAACACAGAGAGGGTGGAGGGGGGATGAGAAGAGCACAGGGAGGGTGGGTGAGTGTGAGAACAGACCGCTAGGGGAGGGTGGGGGAGAGATCTAAGGGACAGAATGGACAGCTCTATAGGACAGGGGGCAAGACAGGGAGCTCTTTCACACTACGGGCACATGCACACACAATGCATCCCTGTACATACACAGAAACACACAATGCATCCCTACACACACAGAAACACAACATGCTTCCCTTACACACAAAGACAATGCATCCTTTGCACACATACACAGAAACACACAATGCAAAGCCTTACACACACATGCAAACACACACACTGCTTTTCTTACGTACACACAGAAACACAATGCACCCAATCTCCCGGCCGCGTACCCCGTCCCTCCCTTTCCCTCTTCACCCAACTTTCCCCCCCCCCTTTTTTTTTACCATCTTCTCCCCCTGGCCCTCTCCAGACTAGACAGGCCCGACTAAGGGGCCAGACTGAGCCCCAGAGTAAAAGTGAAACACAGAGAAGGTACTGGACCTCGGTCTGACCAGGCCACAGATGTGGAGAAGGTCCCAGACCCCCTAGGCAGCAGCAGAAAACACGCACTAGGCAACTTGGACACCCCAGTCCTTTGATACACCTCAACATAAGGGACAGAGGCGGCATTACACAATAAGGCCCCACACCTGTCTGACACGACAGATGACATACAGACAGCACCACACCCCGATCTATACACCCAACCCATTATCTTGGAGACTGGTAAGCCACACACGCATACCCACGCAGTGGGCACACGTCAGACGACGACTATATGCCCAGGCACTGGATGGTCTGGATCGCCCGACCCCACAGGCGTGGACTCAGTCCCGTAGTCCATGGAGATTTGCTCAGACTAGTCCAGACCCCGATACAAGTGACTAACAAAACACCAGACTCAGTCCAATCCCTACACCTACTATGAGTATACCCACACAACGGAGTCAACGCGACAGAAATTAGGGAATACGATGCACTGTAAATGTAACACCTTATATAGGCACAAAAGATGCGGGATTACATGGCTCAAATAATGTATACACAGACAATCCTTAACCGGCAGAAAGGAAAGGACACTCAATGGTAAACTGTAAACTATCTCTGTATTAGATCAACCATGACGTTGTAAGTCCTTGAATACTCGAACGAAGCACAACTTATGCCTATTATTCATGTTCCTATGTCTTATTATTGAAAAATTACAAAAATAAAGATTGTCAAAAAAAAAAATGCATCTCTTACACACACTCAATGCACACACATAAAGACAAACACACACACCTTGCATCCCTTATGCATACAAACACAGATTCACACAATGCATCCCTTACACACAACCAGAAACACACAATACATCCCTTATACACAAATACACACTGCTTCCACTACACACTGCATCACCTACACAAACTGGTATCCCTATACACTACATACCATAGGCACACATATTATATCCTCTACAATAACACATAACACATCCCCTACACACTCCACTCCCTGTGAGCGAACTCATGGGTGGGTGGAACATATAAGTGGACTTATGAGTGGGCCTTATGGGCATACTCACCATCAGGACCTGGGGCTCAGACCCTGAGCTGTGTAAGGGGCCCCCAAAAAATGGAGCTGCTTCCAATTCTCCCAGAACATTGAATTTTGTGACCACAGTTGCAAACAGCCTCCAGAGATCCTGTTCTACACCAGACCAGTGGAGCCAAACTGCAGCCCATCATCATCCTCATCTGGTTGTAAGTAGGCAATCTAGTATATTATTAGTGACACTAATCTATAATTTACCCCACATTAATAGGACACTATAATCCCCAGAACCACTTCAGCTTAATGAAGTAGTTCTGGTGTCTATAGCCGGTCCCTGCAGGCTTTTTAATGTAAACACACACTGTGTGCAGCACTGGCGTTAGTTCATATGACAGATCATATGGGTGGGGCATTGTGATGTCACATAGGGGGCGGCAAATTTTTATTTTGCCTAGGGCGGCAAAAATCCTTGCTCTGATCCTGGGCAGGTGCACCAGTCTACTGGTGACCCACAGGAGGGGAGTGCACTGATTGCACTGCACTCTCCTCCTGCCCAGACCCGTCTTTACCGGAGTGCAAATGCCCTCTGCCCCTAATTTACAGTGGCTCACACTCAAAGCAAGCAGTGCCTGGAGCCCTTTGCAGAGACGGGAAGAGGTTCTGCGGCAGCTGGCGGTCCTGCAAGCATTACATTAACCAGTTGTTCCCCATGCAGCCATAGGTGCCGCTGTGCTGGGAGATTGTGATTACTCTTCACTTCCTCCCAGCCTACAGAGCAGCGCATGGGGGAGAGAGAGGAGGAGGCATGATTTAATCTTACAACAAATCCAGTAAGCAAATCTTTATAAATTTGGGGGGATCAGCTCTGTTTGCACAGTTTATTGGTGTTTACTCTGATGTCTGTATTAATATTGAGGGATGTCTAAGTAGTAATATCAGTGTGTGTCAGCAGGGCCAGCCGTTGGGGTGTGCAAGCTGTGCGGTCACGCAGGGTGCCATGACAACAGAGGCGCCCGGCGGCCAACACAGCTCACAAGTTGGGGACACCAGCATATTCAATTTAAACGATTCGCTGGTGGTGCACTGGTGCGCACCAGTAGTAGATTATAGCCTCTCCCTCGTGGTTCCGGTGCTCAGTTAGTGAGTCAGAGCACAGGGTCAGAGATTCTCAGCCTGCGCTCTGACAACATTGAAAGTCAGAGCTGTGAAGGAGCGGGTATTAGCATAACATCAATATCCGTTCTAAAACCAGGAAAAGGTGGGCATGGATGGTGAACTGATTTGGTGGTGCAATGGGCCACTTGACTGGTTTTGCCCCCCAGGCCTAAGGCTGCCAGCCCTCCCCTGATACAGTACCCTGCCATTTATTATATTACAGTACCCTGCTATTTAATATATTACAGTACCCTGCCATTTAATATAATACAGTACTCTGCCATTTAATATAATACAGTACCCTGCCATTTAATATATTACAGTACCCTGCCATTTAATATAATACAGTACCCAGCCATTTACTATATTACAGCATCCTGCCATTTAATATAATACAGTGCCCCGCCATTTAATATAATACAGTACCCTGCCATTTACTATATTACAGTACCCTGCCATTTAATATATTACAGTACCCTACCATTTACTATATTACAGCATCCTGCCATTTAATATAATACAGTACCCTGCCATTTAATATATTACAGTACCCTGCCATTTAATATAATACAGTACCCAGCCATTTACTATATTACAGCATCCTGCCATTTAATGTAATACAGTACTCAGCCATTTACTATATTACAGTACCCTGCCATTTAATATAATACAGTACCCACCCATTTACTATATTACAGTACCCTGCCATTTACTATATTACAGCATCCTGCCATTTAATATAATACAGTACCCTGCCATTTAATATAATACAGTACCCAGCCATTTAATATATTACAGTACCCTGCCATTTAATATAATACCATACCCAGCCATTTTATATAATACAGTACCCAGCCATTTAATATAATACAGTACCCAGCCATTTACTATATTACAGTACCCAGCCATTTAATATAATACCGTACCCAGCCATTTAATATAATACAGTACCCAGCCATTTACTATATTACAGTACCCTGCCATTTAATATATTACAGTACCCTACCATTTACTATATTACAGCATCCTGCCATTTAATATAATACAGTACCCTGCCATTTAATATATTACAGTATCCTGCCATTTACTATATTACAGTATCCTGCCATTTAATATATTACAGTACCCAGCCATTTACTATATTACAGTATCCTGCCATTTAATATATTACAGTATCCTGCCATTTAATATATTACAGTACCCAGCCATTTAATATAATACAGTATCCAGCCATTTACTATATTACAGTACCCAGCCATTTAATATAATACAGTACCCAGCCATTTACTATATTACAGTACCCAGCCATTTACTATATTACAGTACCCTGCCATTTAATATAATACAGTACCCAGCCATTTACTATATTACAGTATCCAGCCATTTAATATAATACAGTACCCTGCCATTTAATATATTACAGTACCCTGCCATTTACTATATTACAGTACCCAGCCATTTAATATAATACAGTACCCAGCCATTTACTATATTACAGTACCCAGCCATTTACTATATTACAGCATCCTGCCATTTAATGTAATACAGTACTCAGCCATTTACTATATTACAGTACCCTGCCATTTAATATAATACAGTACCCAGCCATTTACTATATTACAGTACCCTGCCATTTACTATATTACAGCATCCTGCCATTTAATATAATACAGTACCCTGCCATTTAATATAATACAGTACCCAGCCATTTAATATATTACAGTACCCTGCCATTTAATATAATACCATACCCAGCCATTTTATATAATACAGTACCCAGCCATTTAATATAATACAGTACCCAGCCATTTACTATATTACAGTACCCAGCCATTTAATATAATACCGTACCCAGCCATTTAATATAATACAGTACCCAGCCATTTACTATATTACAGTACCCTGCCATTTAATATATTACAGTACCCTACCATTTACTATATTACAGCATCCTGCCATTTAATATAATACAGTACCCTGCCATTTAATATATTACAGAATCCTGCCATTTACTATATTACAGTATCCTGCCATTTACTATATTACAGTATCCTGCCATTTAATATATTACAGTACCCAGCCATTTACTATATTACAGTATCCTGCCATTTAATATATTACAGTATCCTGCCATTTAATATATTACAGTACCCAGCCATTTAATATAATTCAGTATCCAGCCATTTACTATATTACAGTACCCAGCCATTTAATATAATACAGTACCCAGCCATTTACTATATTACAGTACCCAGCCATTTACTATATTACAGTACCCTGCCATTTAATATAATACAGTACCCAGCCATTTACTATATTACAGTATCCAGCCATTTAATATAATACAGTACCCTGCCATTTAATATATTACAGTATCCTGCCATTTAATATATTACAGTACCCAGCCATTTAATATAATTCAGTATCCAGCCATTTACTATATTACAGTACCCAGCCATTTAATATAATACAGTACCCAGCCATTTACTATATTACAGTACCCAGCCATTTACTATATTACAGTACCCTGCCATTTAATATAATACTTTACCCAGCCATTTACTATATTACAGTATCCAGCCATTTAATATAATACAGTACCCTGCCATTTAATATATTACAGTATCCTGCCATTTAATATATTACAGTACCCAGCCATTTAATATAATACAGTATCCAGCCATTTACTATATTACAGTACCCAGCCATTTAATATAATACAGTACCCATCCATTTACTATATTACAGTACCCAGCCATTTACTATATTACAGTACCAAGCCATTTAATATAATACAGTACCCAGCCATTTACTATATTACAGTACCCAGCCATTTACTATATTACAGTACCCTGCCATTTACTATATTACAGTATCCAGCCATTTAATATAATACAGTACCCTGCCATTTAATATATTACAGTATCCTGCCATTTAATATATTACAGTACCCAGCCATTTAATATAATACAGTATCCAGCCATTTACTATATTACAGTACCCAGCCATTTAATATAATACAGTACCCTGCCATTTAATATATTACAGTATCCTGCCATTTAATATATTACAGTATCCAGCCATTTAATATAATACAGTACCCTGCCATTTAATATATTACAGTATCCTGCCATTTAATATATTACAGTACCCAGCCATTTAATATAATACAGTATCCAGCCATTTACTATATTACAGTACCCAGCCATTTAATATAATACAGTACCCTGCCATTTAATATATTACAGTACCCTGCCATTTACTATATTACAGTATCCAGCCATTTAATATAATACAGTACCCTGCCATTTAATATATTACAGTATCCTGCCATTTAATATATTACAGTACCCAGCCATTTAATATAATACAGTATCCTGCCATTTACTATATTACAGTACCCAGCCATTTAATATAATACAGTACCCTGCCATTTACTATATTACAGTACCCAGCCATTTAATATAATACAGTACCCAGCCATTTACTATATTACAGTACCCAGCCATTTAATATAATACAGTACCCTGCCATTTACTAGATTACAGTACCCAGCCATTTAATATAATACAGTACCCAGCCATTTACTATATTACAGTACCCTGCCATTTACTATATTACAGTACCCAGCCATTTAATATAATACAGTACCCAGCCATTTACTATATTACAGTACCATGCCATTTAATATATTACAGTACCCAGCCATTTACTATATTACAGTATCCAGCCATTTAATATAATACAGCATTCTGCCATTTAATATAATACAGTACCCTGCCATTTAATATAATACAGTACCCAGCCATTTAATATATTACAGTACCCTGCCATTTAATATAATACCATACCCAGCCATTTTATATAATACAGTACCCAGCCATTTAATATAATACAGTACCCAGCCATTTACTATATTACAGTACCCAGCCATTTAATATAATACCGTACCCAGCCATTTAATATAATACAGTACCCAGCCATTTACTATATTACAGTACCCTGCCATTTAATATATTACAGTACCCTACCATTTACTATATTACAGCATCCTGCCATTTAATATAATACAGTACCCTGCCATTTAATATATTACAGTATCCTGCCATTTACTATATTACAGTATCCTGCCATTTAATATATTACAGTACCCAGCCATTTACTATATTACAGTATCCTGCCATTTAATATATTACGGTATCCTGCCATTTAATATATTACAGTACCCAGCCATTTAATATAATACAGTATCCAGCCATTTACTATATTACAGTACCCAGCCATTTAATATAATACAGTACCCAGCCATTTACTATATTACAGTACCCAGCCATTTACTATATTACAGTACCCTGCCATTTAATATAATACAGTACCCAGCCATTTACTATATTACAGTATCCAGCCATTTAATATAATACAGTACCCTGCCATTTAATATATTACAGTACCCTGCCATTTACTATATTACAGTACCCAGCCATTTAATATAATACAGTACCCAGCCATTTACTATATTACAGTACCCAGCCATTTACTATATTACAGCATCCTGCCATTTAATGTAATACAGTACTCAGCCATTTACTATATTACAGTACCCTGCCATTTAATATAATACAGTACCCAGCCATTTACTATATTACAGCATCCTGCCATTTAATATAATACAGTACCCTGCCATTTAATATAATACAGTACCCAGCCATTTAATATATTACAGTACCCTGCCATTTAATATAATACCATACCCAGCCATTTTATATAATACAGTACCCAGCCATTTAATATAATACAGTACCCAGCCATTTACTATATTACAGTACCCAGCCATTTAATATAATACCGTACCCAGCCATTTAATATAATACAGTACCCAGCCATTTACTATATTACAGTACCCTGCCATTTAATATATTACAGTACCCTACCATTTACTATATTACAGCATCCTGCCATTTAATATAATACAGTACCCTGCCATTTAATATATTACAGTATCCTGCCATTTACTATATTACAGTATCCTGCCATTTAATATATTACAGTACCCAGCCATTTACTATATTACAGTATCCTGCCATTTAATATATTACAGTATCCTGCCATTTAATATATTACAGTACCCAGCCATTTAATATAATACAGTATCCAGCCATTTACTATATTACAGTACCCAGCCATTTAATATAATACAGTACCCTGCCATTTACTATATTACAGTACCCAGCCATTTACTATATTACAGTATCCTGCCATTTAATATATTACAGTACCCAGCCATTTACTATATTACAGTATCCTGCCATTTAATATATTACAGTATCCTGCCATTTAATATATTACAGTATCCTGCCATGTACTATGTTAAAGTATCCTGCCATTTAATATAATACAGTACCCTGCCATGTACTATATTACAGTACCCTGCGATTTAATATAATACAGTGCCCTGCCATTTAATATATTACAGTACCCTGCCATTTAATGTAATACAGTACCCTGCCATTTAATATATTACAGTACTGGACTAACAGACATTTAATTGTAACCATACCACTCAATGTACAGGAACAGAGAGGTGGAGGGCCCTGCTCAATGAGCTTACATTACATTTACGATTGTGGTGCGTGACAACTGGTTTTGGAAACACTGATGAGACCCGAGTCTTGTAAATTGGTTCACTACCTGGATGCCTGATCCCTCATTGCTGGAGTTTCTGGGACAAATTAATTTTCTGCAGCACTGGATTAGTTTAGGAATCAGGGATTAATTAACACATTGATGTACCCATCCGTTTTATCAAACATCTCATTGTCTTAGTGACTCTCAACATCAGCTGAAGATCCTCAGGGGAATGGCCCACTGATGTTCTTGGTATATTGAATGGGACATATCTATGTGCTCTCACTGTTGAAGAATTTCCATGGATAATTCGGGGGCCTGGTGGCAATCTGTCCTGGGTGACAAGCAGCAGGGGGTGACCTGAGCACCCACCTATAACAATATAGGTATATCAATGTGTGTGAATATATGTGTGTGTATATGAATATGTGTGTGTGTGGATATGCATGTTCATACGTGTGAATATGTGTATGTGTGTAAATGTGAGTGTGTGAATATGTATGTGCATGTGAAGATACATGCATGTGAGCATGTGTCTGTATAACAAAATAAACATCTACAGTTTGGGGGCGGTGGGTGCCTGTTGAACATCTGTATTCCTAACAGTATAGTGCCCTCCTGTCCCCCCTCACTCTCGGCCCCCTCTCTTGCAGTGAAATGGTTAAAAAAACATTTATTTGCTCTCTCAGTTCCAGTGGCGGTCGGTGCTATGCATCCTACAATATCATCAGACGGGGGACCTAATGTTCATGTGCGGAGAGCACTGTGAGAGCATTAGGGCCTCCACAAGGAAAGCATTAAATTCATGATTTCCTGTAGGGATTTAATTGATGCTAGATGCCCTCATGCAGAGAGTGAGGACGCCCAGTGTCAGTTAAGTGGCTTAAAGTTGGATAAAATCCCAGAAGTGCCTCTACCGTGACAGCCACAAGGGGCTGTCTTTGTGCTGCAATGTAAACATTTCAATTTCTAAAAAATGTAATGTTTTACAATGCAGGACTAAGTGGGACAGGGACATTGAACCCAGACCTCTTCAATGAGATGAAGTGGTCTGGGTGCCTATAGTGTCCCTTTTAGGTACACCTCTGGACCAGTTTTCACAGTTTTTTGTTTTTTTTTCTAAAAACATTTCACCATACCTATATCTAGTATGGACTGAAAATAATAAAAAAAAAATAACCCAAAGTTATCCTGTATGAAAATTAGACACTTATTTATTACAGAGAAAAAACTCTGTGACTGAACATATATATTTGTGATTTTCCTCTAGTCATTGTGCTCGTATCTGGACAGACAGAAACCCCAGGAGGGAATGTATCTACTACTTTATTGGAAGTTGTTGTCACTTCTCCAATGGCTGGATCTAATGCAGGAACTGATATTAATACCCATACTGAGTCACAAAGCACATCAATTACCAGCACCACCACTGGACATAAAGAAGACATTATACCTAGTACCACTGCTGAGTCCCATAGTCCATCTATCACCAACACCAAAGCTGGACCAAATGAAGAAATTATAACTAGTACCACTGCTGAGTCCCATAGCCAATCCATCACCAGCACCAACGCTGGACCTAAAGAGGACATTATACCTAGTACAACCGTACAGTCCAATAGTCCATCTATCACCAGCACCACCCCTGGACCTAAAGAGGACAATATACCTAGTACAACTGATGAAACACAAAGCCAAACTAACACCAGTGCCACTGATGGACCTGATGCAGAAATTAAAATTAGTTCTACTGAGTCACATGGACCAAAGACCACCAGTTCCAATAGTTTTATTGCATCAACAACAGAATTAAGTGTCACATCTAAAATTAATAATGAAACTACAGCCATGTGGTCACTGAGTACCACTATAAGTATTGTCTCTAATACTGTATCAGATATCACAAGCAGTACAAGTAATCTCACTAGTAAAGTGTCAGTAGAAGATACAAGTGAGAACACAAGCAGTTTTACAGATATCAGAACAAGTGATGTGACTAACAGTGTGCTAGTGGTGAATACAAGTGAAGACACAAACAGTTATCCAGACAGCAGTACAAATAATATCACTAGCATTGTGACAATGACGGATACAAGTGAAGTCACAAACAGTTATCCAGACAGCAGTACAAATAATATCACTAGCATTGTGACAGTGACAGAAACAAGTGAAGACACAAGTAGTTATCCAGACACCAGTACAAATAATATCACTAGCATTGTGACAGTGACAGATACAAGTGAAGACACAAGCAGTTATCCAGACAGCAGTACAAATAATATCACTAGCATTGTGACAATGACGGATACAAGTGAAGTCACAAACAGTTATCCAGACAGCAGTACAAATAATATCACTAGCATTGTGACAGTGACAGAAACAAGTGAAGACACAAGTAGTTATCCAGACACCAGTACAAATAATATCACTAGCATTGTGACAGTGACAGATACAAGTGAAGACACAAGCAGTTATCCAGACATCAGTACAAATAATATCACTAGCATTGTGACAGTGACAGAAACAAGTGAAGTCACAATCAGTTATCCAGACACCAGTACAACTAATATCACTAGCATTGTAACAGTGACAGAAACAAGTGAAGACACAAACAGTTATCCAGACACCAGTACAAATAATATCACTAGCAGTGTGACAGTGACAGAAACAAGTGAAGACACAAGCAGTTATCCAGACACCATTGCAAATAATATCACAAGCATTGTGACAGTGACAGATACAAGTGAAGACACAAGCAGTTATCCAGACATCAGTACAAATACTATCACTAGCATTGTGACAGTGACCGATACAAGTGAAGACACAAGCAGTTATCCAGACACCAGTACAAATAATATCACTAGCATTGTGACAGTGACAGATACAAGTGAAGTCACAAGCAGTTTTACAGACACCAGTACAAATAATATCACTAGCATTGTGACGATGACAGATACAAGTGAAGACACAAGTAGTTTTCCAGACACCAGTACAAATAATATCACTAGAAGTGTGATGGTGACAGATAAAAGTGAAGACACAAGTAGTTTTCCAGACACCAGTACAAATAATATCACTAGAAGTGTGACGGTGACAGATACAAGTGAACACACAGGCAGTTTTACAGACACCAGTACAAATAATATCACTAGCATTGTGACAGTGACAGATACAAGTGAAGACACAAGCAGTTATCCAGACACCAGTACAAATAATATCACTAGCAGTGTGACAGTGACAGATACAAGTGAAGACACAAGCAGTTTTCCGGACAACAGTACAAATAATATCACTAGCATTGTGACAGTGACAGATACAAGTGAAGACACAAGTAGTTTTCCAGACACCAGTACAAATAATATCACTAGCATTGTGACAGTGACAGATACAAGTGAAGACACAAGCAGTTTTCCAGACACCAGTACAAATAATATCACTAGCATTGTGACAGTGACAGAAACAAGTGAAGACACAAGCAGTTATCCAGACACCAGTACAAATAATATCACTAGCATTGTGACAGTGACAGAGAAAAGTGAAGACACAAGCAGTTATCCAGACACCAATACAAATAATATCACTAGCATTGTGACAGTGACAGAAACAAGTGAAGACACAAGCAGTTTTCCGGACAACAGTACAAATAATATCACTAGCATTGTGACAGTGACAGATACAAGTGAAGACACAAGTAGTTTTCCAGACACCAGTACAAATAATATCACTAGAAGTGTGACGGTGACAGATACAAGTGAACACACAGGCAGTTTTACAGACACCAGTACAAATAATATCACTAGCATTGTGACAGTGACAGATACAAGTGAAGACACAAGCAGTTATCCAGACACCAGTACAAATAATATCACTAGCAGTGTGACAGTGACAGATACAAGTGAAGACACAAGCAGTTTTCCGGACAACAGTACAAATAATATCACTAGCATTGTGACAGTGACAGATACAAGTGAAGACACAAGTAGTTTTCCAGACACCAGTACAAATAATATCACTAGCATTGTGACAGTGACAGATACAAGTGAAGACACAAGCAGTTTTCCAGACACCAGTACAAATAATATCACTAGCATTGTGACAGTGACAGAAACAAGTGAAGACACAAGCAGTTATCCAGACACCAGTACAAATAATATCACTAGCATTGTGACAGTGACAGAGAAAAGTGAAGACACAAGCAGTTATCCAGACACCAGTACAAATAATATCACTAGCATTGTAACAGTGACAGAGAAAAGTGAAGACACAAGCAGTTATCCAGACACCAGTACAAATAATATCACTAGCATTGTGACAGTGACAGAAACAAGTGAAGACACAAGCAGTTTTCCGGACAACAGTACAAATAATATCACTAGCATTGTGACAGTGACAGATACAAGTGAAGACACAAGCAGTTTTCCAGACACCAGTACAAATAATATCACTAGCATTGTGACAGTGACAGAGAAAAGTGAAGACACAAGCAGTTATCCAGACACCAGTACAAATAATATCACTAGCATTGTGACAGTGACAGAGAAAAGTGAAGACACAAGCAGTTATCCAGACACCAGTACAAATAATATCACTAGCAGTGTGACAGTGACAGATACAAGTGAAGACACAAGCAGTTTTCCGGACAACAGTACAAATAATATCACTAGCATTGTGACAGTGACAGATACAAGTGAAGACACAAGTAGTTTTCCAGACACCAGTACAAATAATATCACTAGAAGTGTGACGGTGACAGATACAAGTGAACACACAGGCAGTTTTACAGACACCAGTACAAATAATATCACTAGCATTGTGACAGTGACAGAGAAAAGTGAAGACACAAGCAGTTATCCAGACACCAGTACAAATAATATCACTAGCATTGTGACAGTGACAGAAACAAGTGAAGACACAAGTAGTTTTCCAGACAACAGTACAAATAATATCACTAGCATTGTGACAGTGACAGATACAAGTGAAGACAGAAGCAGTTTTCCAGACACCAGTACAAATAATATCACTAGCATTGTGACAGTGACAGAGAAAAGTGAAGACACAAGCAGTTATCCAGACACCAGTACAAATAATATCACTAGCATTGTAACAGTGACAGAGAAAAGTGAAGACACAAGCAGTTATCCAGACACCAGAACAAATAATATCACTAGCATTGTGACAGTGACAGAGAAAAGTGAAGACACAAGCAGTTTTCCAGACAGCAGAACAAATAATATCACTAGCGATGTGACAGTGACAGAAACGAGTGAAGACACAAGTAGTTTTCCAGTTATCAGTACAAATAATATCACTAGCATTGTGACAGTGACAGATACAAGTGAAGTCACAAGCAGTTTTACAGACACCAGTACAAATAATATCACTAGCAGTGTGACAGTGACAGAAACAAGTGAAGACACAAGCAGTTATCCAGACACCAGTACAAATAATATCACTAGCATTGTGACAGTGACAGAAACAAGTGAAGACACAAGCAGTTATCCAGACACCATTGCAAATAATATCACTAGCATTGTGACAGTGACAGATACAAGTGAAGACACAAGCAGTTATCCAGACATCAGTACAAATAATATCACTAGCATTGTGACAGTGACCGACACAAGCGAAGACACAAGCAGTTTTCCAGACACCAGTGCAAATAATATCACTAGCATTGTGAGAGTGACAGATACAAGTGAAGTCACAAGCAGTTTTACAGACACCAGTACAAATAATATCACTGGCATTGTGACAGTGACAGATACAAGTGAAGACACAAGTAGTTTTCCAGACACCAGTACAAATAATATCACTAGAAGTATGACGGTGACAGATACAAGTGAACACACAAGCAGTTTTACAGACACCAGTACAAATAATATCACTAGCATTGTGACAGTGACAGATACAAGTGAAGACACAAGCAGTTATCCAGACACCAGTACAAATAATATCACTAGCAGTGTGACAGTGACACAAACAAGTGAAGACACAAGCAGTTTTCCCAATACCAGCACAAATAATATCACTAGCATTGTGACAGTGAAAGAAACAAGTGAAGACACAAGCAGTTATCCAGACACCAGTACAAATAATATCACTAGCAGTTTGGCAGTGACAGAAACAAGTGAAGACACAAGCAGTTATCCAGACATCAGTACAAATAATATCACTAGCATTGTGACAGTGACAGATACAAGTGAAGACACAAGCAGTTATCCAGACAGCAGTACAAATAGTATCACCAGCAGTGTGACAGTGACAGAAACAAGTGAAGACACAAGCAGTTTTCCAGACACCAGTACAAATAATATCACTAGCATTGTGACAGTGACAGAAACAAGTGAAGACACAAGCAGTTATCCAGACATCAGTACAAATAATATCACTAGCATTGTGACAGTGACAGAAACAAGTGAAGACACAAGCAGTTATCCAGACATCAGTACAAATAATATCACTAGCATTGTGACAGTGATAGAAACAAGTGAAGACACAAGCAGTTATCCAGACATCAGTACAAATAATATCACTAGCATTGTGACAGTGGCAGATACAAGTGAAGTCACAAGCAGTTTTCCTGGTATCAGTACAGATGATGTCACTAGCATTGTGACAGTGACAGATACAAGCGAAGACACAAGCAGTTATCCAGATATCAGTACAAATAATATCACTAGCATTGTGACAGTGACAGAAACAAGTGAAGACACAAGCAGTGTTCCAGACACCAGTACAAATAATATCACTAGCATTGTGACAGTGACAGAAACAAGTGAAGACACAAGCAGTTATCCAGACACCAGTACAAATAATATCAGTAGCATTGTGACAGAAACAAGTGAAGACACAAGCAGTTTTCCCAATAACAGCACAAATAATATCACTAGCATTGTGACAGTGACAGATACAAGTGAAGACACAAGCAGTTTTCCCAATACCAGCACAAATAATATCACTAGCAGTGTGACAGTGACAGAAACAAGTGAAGACACAATCAGTTTTCCCAATACCAGTACAAATAATGTCACTAGCATTGTGACAGTGACAGATACAAGTGAAGACACAAGCAGTTTTCCAGACACCAGTACAAATAATATCACTAGCATTGTGACAGTGACAGAAACAAGTGAAGACACAAGCAGTTATCTAGACACCAGTACAAATAATATCACTAGCAGTGTGACAGTGACAGAAATAAGTGAAGACACAAGCAGTTATCCAGACACCAGTACAAATAATATCACTAGCAGTGTGACAGTGACAGAGAAAAGTGAAGACACAAGCAGTTATCCAGACACAAGTACAAATAATATCACTAGCAGTGTGACAGTGACAGAAACAAGTGAAGACACAAGCAGTTTTCCCAATACCAGCAGAAATAATATCACTAGAAATGTGTCATTGCCAGATACAAGGGTAACCACAAGCAATTTTACACATAGCAGTACAAATAATATCACTAGCAATATGATAGTGACAAATAGAAGTGAAGACACAAGCAGTTTGTCTGATTTCAGTTCTAGTAATCCCACTCGCAGTGTGACAATAGAAAATACAATTGAAGATGCAAGCGGTGTGCCAGATATTAGTGAAAGTCAGCCTAGCAGCATCTTACCAAACACTACTACAATTCTACTTACTAGCCCTACAGATAGACGGCCAACTAGTACTACAAGTCAACCTACCAGCCCTACCGATAGCTGGATAACTAGTACCCCAAGTCAACCTACCAGACTTACCAATAGTTGGCCAGCTAGTGCTAAAACTTCGCCTACTGATAGTTCGTTAACCAGTACTACAAGTCAACCTAACAGCCCTACCAATAGCTGGCTAACTAGTACTACAAGTCAACCTACCAGCCTTACAGATAGTTGGCCAACTAGTACTAAAAGTCCACCTACCGATAGTTCGTTAACTAGTACAACAAGTCAACCTACCAGCACTACCGTTAGTTGGCTAACTAGTACTACAAGTCAACCTACAAACCCTACCGATAGTTGGCCAACTAGTACTACAAGTCAAACATCCAGCAGTTGGACAAACAATTCTACATATCAAGTTACCGATGGTAGCTTTGTGCCCAGTAGCACTTTCCTTCCAAGTCCTACAAGAAATCAATTGGGTGAGTAGTAATTTTAAAGTTATTATAAATGTTTTGCATTTGTATACAAAGCTCTATTCAGTGCCTGTGAATTTAGCTTTTTGACTCAGACATAAGATGTTCATACCTTTGTAGCCTCTGGCACAGCTGCTTTACTTTACCTCTACCCGTGTAACGAGAATATACCCCTACACGCAGGATCCAGCTAAACAGAGGCAAATACAGAGGAGAGATACGTCTACCGGACCTTAGAATGGCCGGACTTGACGTATATGAGAGAAGACAGAGCCAGGAACAAACCGAGGTCAAGGGCACAGAGAGACAGCGTAAACTAGGACAAGCCGGGGTCTGGTACACGGAAAACAGCAAGCCGGCAAACAGTACAGATAAGGATAAAGCGAAAACGAAGTCAGAATACGAAGCCAAAGTCAATACGAGAAAACACAACTGAACACCACAAGCGCTAAAGGGAACTGAAACAGAAACCACGATAGGGCAAGGAACAAAGGGAAGAAGGTGAGTATAAATACCTAAACATCTAATTTGATTGGTCCCTGTCACATCCACGCCCCCAAAAGGTAAGTGTATGGGGAGTGTGGCATGACAGGGACCAATGGGATGCCTTTTCCAATTTAGGCACCCACTGTCCCTTTAAGAGCGCGCCCGAGACTCGCGGCGCGCTCTTAGTTTCAGGCGGGACACGTGACCGCCTCACGCGGTCACTGCCCGCCCTCCATCCGAAGTAGTTGGATGAGCCGCGCGCGGCTCGTGCAGCCGCAGGACCGCGCGCGGCTTGAAGAGAGGACCGCGACCGGCCCCCGGTTAAGGTAAGTAACGCTACAGTACCCCCCCCTGAGGACACGCCCCCCGGGCGGGTAGGACCAGGCCTGGCAGGAAAACGTGAATGGAAAGAGCGCACAAGACGGGGAGCATGGACAGCATCGGCCGAAATCCAACTGTGCTCCTCAGGCCCATAACCCTTCCAATGTACCAAGTACTGAAGTCGACCCCTAAGGAAACGAGAGTCAAGAACAGCAGACACTTCAAACTCCTCATGACCCTCCACCGAGATAGGAGGGGGAGGAGGAGTATGCCGGGTATAGCGGTTGCGTACGAAAGGTTTCAACAATGAGGTGTGAAAAACATTAGGAATACGTAGATTCTTAGGCAGGCCCAAGGCATAAGAAACAGGATTAACCTTATGTATAATACGATAAGGTCCAATGAAGCGGGGAGCCAATTTCATAGAAGGCACCCGGAGACGAATATTCCGCGTGGAAAGCAAAACCCTGTCCCCCACAACATAGGACGGAGCTGCTCTGCGATGCTTGTCAGCCTGAGCCTTCTGGCGAGTAGCAGAGTCCACCAAAGAACGCTGAACCTGCTCCCAAGTATTACGCAAACCAGCCAAATGCTCATCCAGAACTGGCATGCCCTGTGAGGAGAATGCAGCCGGAAGAACAACGGGATGCTGGCCATAGACAACGTAAAAAGGGCTCTTGCCGGAAGAATCATGAGTGGCGTTATTCCGAGCAAATTCAGCCCAAGGAAGCAGGTCAGACCAATTGTCCTGATGGTGAGACACAAAACAACGGAGGTATTGCTCCAGAGACTGGTTGGCACGTTCAGCAGCCCCATTAGACTGGGGATGATAAGCGGAAGAAAATGAGAGAGAAATACCCATTTCTGAACAAAAGGCCCTCCAGAACCTGGAAATAAATTGGCTACCCCTATCGGATACAATAGATACGGGAATCCCATGTAATCGAAATACTTCTCTAGCGAAGATATGAGCCAGTTCCTTGGATGTGGGCAACTTGCGAAGAGACACGAAGTGAGCCATTTTGGAGAACCGATCCACTATCATCAGGATTACTGTGTTACCATTTGAAGGGGGTAATTCAACAATAAAATCCATGGACAGGTTAGACCAAGGTCTCTCGGGAACGGGTAACGGATGCAACAGCCCACAAGGAACTCTACGGGAGGATTTCATACAGGCACAAGTAGTACAAGCACTTATATAGTCAGTGACATCCTTTCGTAAGGAATCCCACCAAAAATACCGAGAAACAGCTGACACCGTTTTGGAAATACCAGGATGTCCAGCGGTCTTAGTATCATGATATAATGACATAATATCCCGTCTCTCAGGAACATCAACGAACAGTTTATCATTAGGCCTCTCGCTAGGTGCCATGCTTTGTTTCGCTTGTATGGCCTGCAAGAGGGACGAGGAAATAGACAAAATAGTAGTAGCTATTATCCTGTCTGGGGGAATGACAGGAGTAACATCAATCTCCTGTTTGTCAGTAGTTTCGAACTGTCTGGACAGAGCGTCTGCTTTAGTGTTGCGATCACCTGGCCTATAGGTGATAATAAAATTGAAACGAGACAAAAATAGTGACCACCTAGCCTGCCTGGAAGACAATCTTTTGGCTTCGCTAAGATAGGATAGGTTCTTGTGATCCGTAAAAATGAGGATAGGATCCTTAGTTCCCTCTAACAAATGTCTCCACTCTTTAAGTGCTAAAATAATAGCAAGGAGTTCGCGATTACCCACATCATAATTTTTCTCTGCTTTGGACATTTGTTTAGAAAAGAAGCCGCATGGATGCAATGGCTTCTCAGGCGACTCTCTTTGGGACAAGACAGCACCTACCCCAATATCCGAAGCATCAACTTCAAGAATATAGGGCAGTGAGGGGACAGGATGCTGTAAAATAGGTGCAGAGGCGAACGTAGTTTTAAGAAATTCAAAAGCCTGAAGTGCCTCGGTAGACCAAACACGAGTATTGCCATCCTTTTTAGTCATACGGGTAATAGGTGCTACAATGGACGAGAAACCTTTGATAAAACGTCTATAATAATTGGAGAACCCAAGAAAACGCTGAATAGCTTTCAGACCTTGCGGTAGAGGCCATTCTATTACAGCAGCTAGCTTCTGGGGATCCATACGAAAACCTTTAGCGGAAATCAAATACCCCAAGAACTGGACTTCGGTTTGGTCAAACAGACATTTTTCTAGCTTGCAATAAAGACCATTAGCAAGAAGGGTCTTCAAAACTGTCGTAACATGTCTGTGATGAGTGTGTATATCTGCAGAATATATTAAAATGTCGTCCAAGTATACGATAACAAATGTGTGAATAAAATCTCTCAATACATCATTAATAAATTCTTGGAATACTGCTGGGGCATTGCAAAGCCCAAATGGCATAACAGTGTATTCGTAATGACCGGATCTAGTGTTGAATGCAGTCTTCCATTCGTGATTTTCCTTTATACGTATCAAATTGTATGCATTCCTAAGGTCTAATTTAGTGAACACAGTGGCATGTTTCAGCCCGTCAAATAATTCTGTAATCAAAGGTATAGGGTATGCATTTTTGATAGTGATTTTGTTTAGACCTCTATAATCTATACACGGTCTTAAATCACCTTCTTTCTTTGATACAAAGAAGAACCCTGCTCCAGCTGGAGAAGAGGATCTCCTAATAAACCCTTTTTCTAATGATTCCTTGATGTACTCCTCCATGACACGGTTTTCTTGAACCGATAAGGGGTACACCCTGCCCTTTGGAGGTATAGTGCCAGGCAACAAGTTAATAGCGCAATCATAGGGTCTGTGAGGCGGTAATTTCTCAGCCTCCCTTTTATCGAAAACAGTCTTTAGAGATAAATACTGAGGGGGTATAACCATAGACAAAGGAGGACTGGTAGGTACCTCAATAGAATTCAAAGGTGTGACTTCCACGTACAAGACTCGTGGCAGGCCTTACTCCATGATTTTATTTGCCCTGTCTCCCAGTCAAAAATGGGATTGTGAGCACGTAACCATGGATACCCTAATACCAACTGTGAAGAGGGAGAGGTGATAACCTGGAATCGAATGGTTTCGTAGTGTAAAACCCCTGTGTACATGTGTAGTGGTTCAGTCTCATGAGTAACAACTGGAGAACTCAATGGTCTACCATCTATGGCCTCAACGGCCAAGGGTATCTCCTTCTCTCTAATGGGAATGTTGTTTCTCTTTATAAAGCCAGAGTCTATAAAATTTTCAGCTGCCCCAGAGTCAACCAGAGCATATATGTTGTCAACTATACAAATCTCTCCCATATATAAAGAAACCGGGAGAAGCAAGCGGTTAGGAGGCAATTTAGGAGACTTAGATATCACACCCAAGGCCAGTCCCCTATAAGGTCTTAGGTGCGAGAGTTTTCCGGGAGTAAAGGACATTCCTTTACCATATGGTCTCTCCTACCACAGTATAGGCAGAGTCCCTCCCTTCTCCTATGTAATTTCTCAGTATCAGAGAGTTTGGCAACCCCTAATTGCATAGGTTCCTCCTCAGACACTTTAACACTCTCTGGTATATTAACTCTGGGGTTAATGGGTGTAACAAAACGTCTATTCCTGTTCTTGGTATAGAGCCTGTCACGAATTCTATTATCAATATCAATGAGGTAATCGATAAGGTCCTCTAAGGCAATAGGAAGCTCCTTAGCTGCTACCTCATCCAATATCGTATCTGACAAACCTTCCATAAAGGCAGTAGTTAACCCATTGTTGGTCCAATCTACCTGTGAAGCAAGAGTGCGAAACTGAATAGCATAATCAGCCACAGACCTAGAACCCTGTTTAATTCTCATTAATGCTCTTGCGGCATTCTTTGACCTTTTCATTGTGTCAAAAGTTCTACGAAAAGCCGTAAGAAAACTGTTGAAATCATGTACCATAGGCCCATTAGCTTCCCAAATAGGATTTGCCCACTCAAGTGCCTTATCGGTAAGTTGGTGCATAAAGAACCCAACCTTAGACCTCTCTGTGGGAAATGAACGTGGATACATTTCAAAGTGAAATTCAATCTGATTAATAAACCCTCTGCAAGTCTTAGAGTCCCCTCCATACCTAGGAGGAGGTGTTAAATGGGCCGAAGTATTAGGCAAAGTAGATACTTCAGGGAGAAGGGGCGTAGGAGGGTTAGGTGTAGTTGCTGGAACGGTTCTAGCTAGGAGCGTCTGGAGAGCCTGAGCTATTTGATCCATACGGTGATCCTGCTCTACAAATCTTGCCTCATGGGACGCCATCTGTTGAGCTAAATCTGCGGGGTCCATGGCCCTATCGTAATGTAACGAGAATATACCCCTACACGCAGGATCCAGCTAAACAGAGGCAAATACAGAGGAGAGATAAGTCTACCGGACCTTAGAATGGCCGGACTTGACGTATATGAGAGAAGACAGAGCCAGGAACAAACCGAGGTCAAGGGCACAGAGAGACAGCGTAAACTAGGACAAGCCGGGGTCTGGTACACGGAAAACAGCAAGCCGGCAAACAGTACAGATAAGGATAAAGCGAAAACGAAGTCAGAATACGAAGCCAAAGTCAATACGAGAAAACACAACTGAACACCACAAGCGCTAAAGGGAACTGAAACAGAAACCACGATAGGGCAAGGAACAAAGGGAAGAAGGTGAGTATAAATACCTAAACATCTAATTTGATTGGTCCCTGTCACATCCACGCCCCCAAAAGGTAAGTGTATGGGGAGTGTGGCATGACAGGGACCAATTGGATGCCTTTTCCAATTTAGGCACCCACTGTCCCTTTAAGAGCGCGCCCGAGACTCGCGGCGCGCTCTTAGTTTCAGGCGGGACACGTGACCGCCTCACGCGGTCACTGCCCGCCCTCCATCCGAAGTAGTTGGATGAGTCGCGCGCGGCTCGTGCAGCCGCAGGACCGCGCGCGGCTTGAAGAGAGGACCGCGACCGGCCCCCGGTTAAGGTAAGTAACGCTACAACCCGTCAGATACCTATACTATGTGTAATACAGGTCAGTGCTTACAAGCTGTGCTCCTGGACTCCAGCCAATCATCGCCTCTTAAAGGGACAATATATTTTAACGGGACAAATGACACAAATTTGATTTTTTGAAATGGTTCTTCCCAGTTTTGTAAAATATTAGCAGATAATTTTTGCAATATTTATTTGAAAATATATTTAATTAAAGTCATTTGGTATTGTTTTCTTAGAAACCTTTACGGAAAAGGTTGTGCTCAAATTCCGCTGGCAAAGTTTTTGGCTGACTGACAATGTGATGGGTGCACATCTGCAAGAGGTAACTAAAATCGTCCCTACCATTACTGTCTGATAATCAAATCAGGTTTAATCAGTGCATTTATAAAAAAACAAAACATTGCATATTTCAGACCTCTATGTAAAATTCACAGACTATGGCTCTAAACAATGGATTTTTATAAACATCTCTGCAGTGAGGTCCGTTAGGGGCATACTAAGGAGGTTGGGTGGGATTGCCATGGGGGGTCTGGTAATAACTGCTGCTGCTGTAGTACTGCAGCAAGATTAAGTTGAGCAATGTATTTTCCTCTGCCTGGCTTTTTCTGCTAAAGTTCTGCTAAATATTGGACCTGCTGTGTGTTTCTGGAGGGTGTATCCTGTCACTCTCTCCTCTCAAGCAGCACTCGGCTTGCATGCAGTTCACTCAAGGGCATAGCATGGTCATGAAGTGCCCGGGGCAAGTACTTTAATTTGCCCTCCCCCAAATAATAGTTCCTATAATACATTGTGCCAGCCAGGCCCGGACTGGCCATCGGGCATACCGGGCAAATGCCCGGTGGGCCGCGATGGCCGTGGGGCCGAGGCCGGCAGGGGAGATCACAGGATCTCCCCGGCCGGCTCCTGCAGGGCCAGCGCTACCCGATCTCCCTTTACCGGCCCAGAGACACTTCCAGGCGGCCGCTTGCTGGGGTGTGAGGAGAGGACCGGTGTTCTATCAGTTTGGTATACCCCGTCAGATTGCTATACCCACGTCACTTCCGGGGAGGGGAATCAGCTGTCTCCTGTGCTGCACATGCGTGCTAGCACTCCTGCTACTCCTCCACAGCAAGGTCCTGGAAGGTAAGTAAAACTAGTTTTACACTTTCATTATAGTTAGTGCATTCACTAAGCTTAGGACATGGGACATTTAGGGTTAATGTTAGGGTTCAAATTAGGGTTAGGATTAGGGACTTGTTCCTATTTAGTGATATTTCACATTAGGGGAATATCACTAAATAGTGAATTCTCACACTTTATTTTAACCCTTACCCCAAGGGTTAGGGTAAGAATAGAGTGTGAGAGAGGTTAGAAGCACTTACCTAACCCTAATTTGTACCCTCACTTAACCCTAAATGTCCCGTGTGCCTAAGCTTAGTGAATGCACTAACTATAATGAAAGTGTAAAACTAGTTTTACTTACCTTCCAGGACCTTGCTGTGGAGGAGTAGCAGGAGTGCTAGCACGCATGTGCAGCACAGGAGCCAGCTGATTCCCCTCCCCGGAAGTGACGTGGGTATAGCAATCTGACGGAGTATACCAGACTGATAGAACACCGGCGGAGCTCTATCCAGCAGCTCCGCCGGGTCCTCTCGCGAGAGTGAACTCTAGCCTACAGGCTAGAGTTCACGCTCACCACTAGGACCACCAGGGATCAGGCAGCATGGCTCTCCTCCCTGGCAGAACGGCTCCCCCCCGTCCCAGGCAAAACGGTCCCCCCCCCCTCCCAGGCTAAAGGTAAGAAGGGAGGGGGGGGATATAACTTTTTAAAAAATTATTATTATTAATAAAATAAAAAAATAATTTAAATTAAAAAATCACACTCACACACACACATCACCCCCAGACACACACAGTACCCCCAGACATACACATCACCCCCAGAAACACACAGCACCCCCAGACACACACATCACCCCAGACACACACATCACCCCCAGACACACATCACCCCCAGACACACACAGCACCCCCAGACACACACAGCACCCCCAACACACACAGTACCCCCAGACACACACAGTACCCCCAGACACACACAGCACCCCCAGACACACACAGCACACAGCACCCTCAGACATACACATCACCCCCAGACACACACAGCACCCCCAGACACACACACAGCACCCCCAGACACACACAGCACCCCCAGAGACACACAGCACCCCCAGAGACACACAGCACCCCCAGACACACACAGCGCACCCAGACACACACAGCGCACTCAGGCACACAGCACCCTCACTCACACACAGCACCCTCGCTCACACACACACACACATATATATATATATATATATATTTACAGATATATATATATATATAATATATAAAATAACCCTCAGTGAGTTAACAGACAAAGAAAATTAGAATGTGACGGCAGATAAAAACACCCTCACACACAGCACCCCTCTTACATACACACACACTGCGCCCCTCACACATACAATACGTCCAAATATATATATGTATGTATATACACACACACACACTACAGCACTACATACATTACACTCCAGATACACGCTAGATCCCTTACCTTATATGCACTCTTAATCCTCTATACACACACACACACACACAATCTCCTATACACACTCTGGGTCCTTTACACACTAGATCTCCTACACACACACTGCACCACCTACACACACACTACATTCCTTGTCAGCAAACACATACAACATTCTCTAAACACACCCTCTCTACAACCCCTACACACACTACGTCACCTATACACACACACTACAGCCCGTATGCACACATTCGCTACATCCCCTATAACACTATGCCACCTATACACACACTCTCTACAGCCCCTAGCCACACATATTACACCACAAACACATATGAAATTGACCTATTTACACAATGCCACACCACACTCTACACACACGCAATCCCACAAGCAGGCTCCAAACACATGCACCATACACTTTCCTGTCCCTTTTGTCCTCTGGTATCCCACTTGTTGAGACACCAGAGACAATTTAAAAGCAAACACAGCGCAAGCATGTTATTAAATTTGCTTGCGCTGCGCAGAACAAATACAGGGCCTTTTTCTAATGCCAGAGCTCTTCAGCGCAGCTCTGCGCATTGAACCAACATGCTCACTTTGAGAGGAGGCGTGCTTGTCATTAGTGATGACAAAACACACCCTCTCTGGCCCCGCCCCCTTCTTAGGGGGCCGCTCTGATTGAAAAATGCCCGGGCCTAATTTTTTCCCCAGTCCGGCCCTGGTGCCAGCATAATACATAGTTATACGAGTTAAAAAAAAAAATACAATTGGCAAAGGACCAATGTGGACGAGGGCACTCACAGGTCTTCAAAATAAACAAAATAACAATATATATATATATGAAACCAAGAGGGCTGCACTCACCTGAAAATGCATACATTATAGGGTGCTGCTGGGGCCAAAATATACAACATACAAATTATACAATCCAGAGCACTCACTTATTCACTAAACAATGATTTTTAAATCTTAGAGATTGTAGTAGTTTTATTTAAAAACACCTCACAAGGAAAACAATAATGGGGGTTTAGTTACATTATATGATCATATATTGCATAAGCCTGTCACACCGTCAACGTACCCCATTCTTGGCAGGTCCTACTCTAACAGCCTAATGCTTTCTCTTATGAGATTAATCCACTTACTTGGGAAATACTTCCTTACTGGGATACAATGAGTAAAATCCCAAAAGAAAATAAAGACCATTCTTTCATCACCCAAAGCACAATGCTGTGTCACTATTATTATTATTAGTTTTATTGGTATTTATATAGCGCCAACTATTCCGCAGCGCTTTACAATATTATGAAAGGGGTATATTTACAATAAATGAGACATTTACAAAGTGACAGAGGAACAATAAGTAGATGAGGGCCCTGCTCAAACAAGCTTACAGTCTAGATGAGGTGGGGTACAAATACCCAACAGGACAGCAATTGTGACAGCCACCAAACAAGGTGGAAAAGTAGAAGAACTGGAGGTGAGAGTGGAGTGTGGAGTAGAGGGAAGTAAGAAACAGATATGAATAGGTGTATATAAGTTATTCTGGGAGTCCATAAGCATTTTTGAACAGACGTATTTTGAGGGACCTTTTAAACAATTGAAGACTAGGGGAGAGTCTGATGGGGTCGACAGGCTGTTGCCCGCAAGAAGTCCTGCAAGCTTGAGTTAGCAGTAAGGGTGCGAGCAGCAGACAGGAGAAGGTCACTGGCAGAAGGGAAGAGAAAGAGAAGGGGCATATCTATAGATCAGTGAAGAAATGTGTGATGAGACCAATCTCGCCACTGGAGTTTTGCCTCTGTCCTTGGAGATAATTGGATTACTTCCCAATTATCTCCAGGATAGAAGACTCTGTGGAACTGGTTTTGGGCAGAAAAGCCATGCTTCATTTGGTCACAAAGGACTATGATCTATATTTTGAACCACTGGACCAATTTGGATGATGATGACGTATGTTTGTATTTGGAGTATGCTGATTCTGAAAATGTAAGTTTTATGTGAATGTGATGCATACTTTTAAAGTTATGAATAATGTGGAAAAACTGTATTTCTATGTCTGTGATAATTACATTACCCATTGTGTAAAGGTAATTGTATCACAGGCAGAGGGGAGAATTTTGTGTGGGTGTGTCTGAGTGTATTGTACGTGTTTATTGGTTGTTTTTCAAAATCCTGTGGGTGGTACTAATGTGTATATAAGAACAATAAATCCACAGCTCTGTCTGTTCCTGCTTGACCCTCAAAACGGAGCCTTGTCTCGTTCTTGGGGGGATTTATTGTATACTGTTCCAGTTCGTCTGCTAGGAGTATAAACCTATTTGTATGGTTTTTCCTATTCGGCTGTTTACAGCATTCGTATGTTTGAGAGCATTCATATGCTTCTCCAGTTCGGTGGATTGGTGTCTACAGTAGTTGCCTGTGTCTCTGGAAGGGGAAGATCTTCTAAATGGCGGTTTAGCACTTTTATGCCTGGAGGTGCCGTTACAAAATGTAAGAGGGGCTAGAGTTGGTTAGAGCTTTATAGGTAAGGGTTAGTATTTTGAATTGACACCTATAGGATACAGGAAGCCTCGACAGAGAGGTGAGGTATGGAAGGATCGATGGGGGAGAAAGATCAGCCTGGCTGCAGCATTCATTACTGAATGTAGAGGGGCAGTTCGGCTTCTGGGGAGACCAACTAAGAGAGAATTAGAGTAATCCATGCGAGTGATTACCAGAGAATGAACAAGCTCCTTGGCAGCATATTCTAGTAAAGGCAACAAGCTTGCAAGGACGGACTGATACAAGTACCATCAACTTGCAGAGAAAGCAAAGGACCAAGAACAGATCCTTAGGGGACATCCAACTGAGACAGGGTGAGAGGATGAGTTGTCATTGCAAAATGACACTTAACAAATGTTTGGAGAGATAGGAGGAGTACCACAAGAGGACAGAGTCACAGAGACCGAGGGATTGAAGAGTTTGGAGAAGAAGGACATGATCAACAGTATCAAAGGCAGCAGAGAGATCAAGAAGAATTAGTATGGAGTAACTGTGATTAGGTAATTTGTAACTTCAATAAGAGCAGTCACAGTAGAGTGGAGGGGGCGAAAGTCAGATTGAAGAGAATCGAGGAGGGAGTTGGAATTGACAAATCTTTCTAGAAGCTTTGAGGAAAAAAGAAACAGGGACATAGGACAATAGCTGGGGAAGACAGGTCTAGGGGTGGCTTTTTTAGGATGGGTACAGTACAATGCTTAAAAGGAGCAGGGAAAGTAGGATTGTTGAGCAAGGGTGAGGACTGTACTGTATGAATTCATAATGGAGGAAGCCTGACAAGGTGCGTGACCTGTTCCAGCAGTATTCAGCTGAAAGGGAGCACCTCTGGAGGTAACGGGTTGACTTAGTGTGCCAAGTTTGGAGTTGCGTCCTCTTTGAGGTGCATGTTTGGAGTGGGCCTCAATGTCCAGGGCAGAGGTGAGGGTAGCATTATATTATTATTATTATTTTATTATTTATATAGTGCCATCAGACTCCGTAGCGCTGTACAATGGGTGGACTAACAGACATGTAATTGTAACCAGACAACTGGACGTACAGGAGCAGAGGGGTGGAGGACACTGCTCCAGGAGCTTACATTCTAGAGGGAGTGGGGTATAGTGACACAAAGGGTAAAAGTAGGGGTACAAAGTAGGTTGTTAGAAAAGTATTAATTGAGGGTTTAGTAGGTAATTTTTGACAGTTGCAGGGGAGGAGTTATGGCGAGTGGGGGATGAAAACCTGCTGACAGTTTAATTAATATGCTTTCTTGAAGAAGTGAGTTTTCAATGATTTTTTGAATGAGTGGAGACTGGGTGAAATTCTTACGGAGAGGGGAAGGGCGTTCCACAGACGAGGTGCAGCCCTGAAAAAGTCTTGGAGGAGAGTGTTAGAGGTGGGAGTACGGACAAAGGATATACATAAGTCTTTGGCAGAGCATAGGGGCCTCGATGGGACATACCTGTGTATTAGGGAGGATAGGTAGGTTGGAGCAGCATTATGTAGGGACTTGAAAGCAAGCACCAGAATTTTAAATTGAGCCCTATATCTAACTGGATGCCAATGCATGGACTGACAGAGCGGGGAGGCATGAGAGGTGCGGGCGGACAGAAAAATGAGCCCTGCCACCTCATTCATTATAGATTGCAGCGGTGCAATCTGAGAACACGTAGGACCACTGAGAAGAGTATTGCAGTAGTCCAGGTGAGAGAGAACATCCGGGGTTAAATAGGGGCGAATGCGTGCTATGTTTTTGAGATGGCAACAGGATTTGACTATTGATTGGACATGAGGGGTGAAGGAGAGGTTGGAGTCAAAAATAACACCCAGGTAGCGAGCCTGCGAGGTAGAGGTGATGGTAGCGTTGTTGACTTGGAGGGAGACAGACACAGGGGTAGTAACACTTGAGGGAGGAAAGACCACAAGTTCTGTTTTGGACAGGTTGAGTTTAAGGAAGTGAGCATCCATTTGGAAATTGAAGAGAGGCAGTTAGAGACATGAGTCAAGACGGGTTGAGAGGACAGGTAGATTTGCGTGTCATCCGCATAGAAATGATTATGGAAGCCAAGAGCTGATGAGTTTACCAAGGGAGGCAGTGTAGATAGAGAACAGTAGGGGACCATGGACAGAACCTTGGGGGACGTGGACAGAGAGTGGTTGGGGGAAAAGGCAGAGTCAGAGAAAGAAACACAGAAAGAGCACTGGGAGAGGTAAAAGGAGCACCAGGAGAGAGCAGTATCCCATAGACCAAGATTACGGAGAATGTGAAGAAGATGTTGATGATCAACAGTGTCAAAGGTAGCAGAAAGATCAAGGAGAATTAGGATAGAGTAATGGCCGCGAGATTGAGCAGCAATTAAATCGTTGGATACTTTGGTCATAGCCGTTTGACAGAAAGACCAGCGCGGAATCCAGACTGAAGGGGGTCAAGCAGAGAGTTGGTTTCGAGAAAGTCAGTCAGTCTGGTGTACACAACTTTCTCGAGGATCTTGGAGGCAAATGGCAGCAGCGAGAAAGGGCAGTAGTTGGATGTGAAGTTGGGGTCAAGGCTGGGCTTTCTCAGAATTGGGGTTAAAGTTGCGTGTTTGAAGGGTGAGGGAAATGTGCCAGAGGAAAGGAAGAGATTGAAAATTTTAGTGAGGGGAAGAGCAAGAGAGGGAGACATAGTGCGGATGAGATATGAAGGAATATGATCGAGGGAACAGGTGGTGGGGCGGGAGGACCGGAGCAGAGCAGAAACCTCTTCTGCTGTAGCAGGTGTGAATGAGTGTAGAGTGGTGGAGGGAGTTGGGTGATGTAATGGTAGGGGAAGGAGAGAAATTAGCGATCTCTTCTCTGACTGTAGAGATCTCAGTGAAGTGAGATGCAAAGATGGTAGAAGGAGGGGGATTAACAGGGCGAAGAAGAGCAAAAGTGTGAGATAGGTGTTTGGGTTGATGGGACAGTGTACTTATGAGGGTATTAAAGTAATGTACTTTTGCAGCAGAGAGAGCCAGGCTATAGGAGTGCAGTATAAAGTTATAGTGGAGGAAGTCAGATGCAAAGTGAGACTTTCTCCAGCAGCGTTCTGCAGTTCTAGAACATTTTTGGTGGTAACGGGTCAGTTTGGTGTGCCAGGATTGTAGTTTGTGGCGCTTGTTGCGTTTAATTGTAGGAGGTGCCATGATGTCGAGTTGAGTTGTAGAGTGAGGTAGCCGAGTTAGGGCAAGTTAGATTTGAGATGGGTAAGAGGAGAGTAGTAAGTTTGGTGGAAAAATGCTGGAGATCAAGGCAGTTGAGGTTTCTGCGAGATTGGAGAGTTGAGGGTGGTGAAATTTTGGTACGGGGTATGCTGATGTCAAAAGTTAGTAGATGGTGGTCAGACAAAGGAAATGGAACAGTGGAGATTAGAGGTGGTAATTATATGAGGAGACAGCCAGAGATGAACAGGAGAAGGTAGGGATGGATGAGAGTTTGGAATGGAGATGAGCTGAGAGTTGCTGGAGGTCAAAGATAACAGCTATGTTAGCAGAGATGGGTTTGAACAGACAAATTAAATTAAATTAACAAAGGTGAAGAGAGGAAGGGAAGGGGGTAGTCAGAGGTTTAAAGGAGCAGTGGGGCTTATTGCCTAAGCGACACTTTATGAATTCCAAACCAGTTTTCAATCTATATGACAGTCCAGACAGGTTTCACTGGTTTCCTTGTCCCTCTGTAGACACAATGCCAAAAAATTATTAATTATTAATCCCAGTGGCGTACACATGACCCATGGGGCCCCGGTGCAAAAATTGATCCGTGGGCCCCCCCCCGCGTGCTTACTTGGCGCGGGTCGGGGCCGCAACACATGGCGGCGGGCACCTGGTCGCAGGGCTGTGACCCCGCAAATGCGGTATGCTGCACACACACCTAAAGGACCACTACAGATACCCAGATCACATCAGCTCAATGAAGTGGTCTGGGTGCCAGGTCCCTCTAGTTTTAACCCTGCAGCCTAAAACATAGCCGTTTCAGAGAAACGGTTATGTTTCACTGAGGGTTAATCCAGCCTCTGGTGGCTGTCTCATTGACAGACGCTAGAGGAGATTCCGCGATTCTCACTGTGAAAATCACAGTGAGAAGACACTGAACGTCCATAGGAAAGCATTGAGTAATGCTTTCCTATGGGCGGTTTAAATGCGCGCGCGCTCCTCTTGCCGCGCATGTGCATTCGGAGCTGAGAGGCGGCGGGATCCCCAGCGCCAAGGAAGTCCGGCGCTGGAGAAAGGTAAATGCTGAAGACACACACTCTCACTAACAGACGCATACACACTAGCTAACAGACACACACATTTACTGACAGAGACACACTCAGCGACAGACATACATACACACTCACTTACAAAACATACACTTTCACTGACAAACACACACTACTAACAGACATCAGACACACTCAGTAACAGACACACTCAGTAACAGACACACCCAATAACAGACACACTAACACCCACACTAACACTTACACACACACTAACACACACACACTAATAAACACACACACACTAATACAAACACACACTAACACACACACACTAACACTAACACACACACACTAACACACACACTAACACTAACACACACACACTAACACACACTAACACATGTTTGTTTTTTAATTGAATCCCCCAGCCTCCTTACCTTTTGGAGTGCTGGGGGGATTCCCTGGGGTCCAGTGGTGGTGCTGCTGGGCTCCTGGGGCTCCTGGGAGGGCGGGCGAGCGGGCTGTCTGGGTTGCCGGCGCGCGAGGGAGCACTTTCCCCTGTGTGCTTCCTCTTCAGCTCCCTTGCGCACCGCGTAGGGATGCCGGAGCCGGAAGATGACGTCATCTTCCGGCTCCGGTATGAGTGCGGTGCACGAGGGAGCGGAAGAGGGAGCACTCAGCCAGGGAAAGTGTTCCCTCACGCGCCGGCCACCCAGACCCTGGTATGTACGCCACTGATTAATCCTTTAATGATTATTATCCCTGTAAATGAAGTGATGCTTAATAAGTGTCTATAGACAATTGTGACTTTATTGTACATTCTTTGCTAGTATATATGTTTTCAGTTCCTGACACATTCTGCTTCTGGAAAACCCCATGTCTGTTTTTTTATATCTGTATATAGTCACATTTATTTATAATTTGGTGGTATGTAATTCATTAATTAATTTGAGGAACCTATTTATACACACTGAACATTTGTATCCTTTATGCATGATTAAGACTCATTTGAGGTCAAACCTTGCATTATTTTTGTGGGGTGACTTACCCTTTGATAAAGTTTGCACCATCAGTATCCAGGAATCACCTCCACAATTCTATCTATACGTTTTGATAGGTTTCCACAGACATTGGCAGATATACAATCCTTACTAGCCAATATGTAATACCTTAACCAGATGAATCAGTATAGAATGACATTCAAACCAGCTAATTCCTGCTTCCAATATCCACAAATTATAAAAGGAAACAATTTTAATTCAGAAAATGGAATGAGAATTCTACCTATCAAGTTCTTTGTCCAGAAGATTACCTGAAGAATCTGTGGTCTATCTCCAAAAGGTCTGCTGTCCAATGCTAGAGGCAACACACCAGGGTGGCTTTGTGAAGAAAACTACAAGAAACATAATAGCACAAGTATAATATAAAATAATGCATAGGGTAGTAAAGGCAAAATAAATGGCAGACAGCAGTGAAGCTATTCCAATGTAATTTACTAACTGCTCTCAGAGTGAAATACGATATCAAAACACAGTACTTAACTGTAAACATGAAGTTTGGAAATGTGATTTTATCATTTTAATGTTACACAGTTTGGTGCTTTGCCCATTGCTGCTTCTAATTGTTTGTTTGTTTGTTTTGCAGCTCTGTTCTGTTTTTCTTGATTCAAAAATAGAAAACATCTTGCTGAGTTGGAGAAAAAATGGAGTAGTGCAATCAGTTCAATGCCCTTAAATAATTTTCTAATGTTTTACAATTGTTATTACATTTTATATTATTACACATAATTGTATTTGTGCCCCCCAAAAATACATTATTCCAAAATAATAAATTATTTAAAAATACATTATTTTCATTCCAAGTGTAGCAATTACCTGAATTTCTAAATCAATGTGTGTGTAAATATGGGCTAGACTAGAGGGCAGGTGACATACAGCAACTCTACTACTGGTCCAAGCTGCCTCTAGTTGTTGAGTTCCCATAAATTTATGACCAGTATGTGGCCACCGTCTTTCTTTTTTAATAAAAAAATATTTTGAAGCCAAGTAATGAATGATGAATGGGAATAATAGCCATTTTTGAAATAAGGATTACATTTGTGATCTATGTGTGAGCATTTTAGAGGTATTGGGACATTTGTTTGTATTGGTGGAGATACAAATTCTATTTCATAACCTGAGATTGTGTTGAGTACCCGAGTGTCTAATGTAACTGATGCCCAAACTTGAGAAAAATGGAAAACTGCATTCTTCTCTCATTTTTAGGGGGGTATTTCTCAGGGAAAGATGGGACTCGGTTAATATGAGTCTGGTTAGTACGGCCTGGATCTCTCAAAATATGAAGGGTCTCTAGAATATTGCACATTTTCTGAATTTCAGCTGGGAAAAGTGCCACTGCCGTTACCAGCACAACTGTAAACATTTTGATTAAAAACTTTTATTAAAGATGTTTGGGCTTTATCCAAAGAGGAAAAGATGCCAACATCTTTACTTATCTCTTTGATAAATAATTCTCCAAAGAAAATCCCCTGACGAAGATGCCCGGGTGTTGCACAGAAACATGTGTACCTCATTGAGCACATTATTGCACATTATGCACCTATCACTCTGATTTATATTTGGGTGCAGCGGGGCATAGGAGCTTGTTATGGGCACTTGCAGAAATGGCACATCACCCCTCCCATTATTACTTACAATGGAAAATGTTATAGTTTCCGCTGTGTTCTTTTTGTTATCAAACTGACTTCACGTCCAGCTATAAGTAAAATGTGTAAACCATAAATGCCATTTTATCTTTCTAGAGAGATCCAGGCCGTACTAACCAGACTCATATTAACCGAGTCCCATCTTTCCCTGAGAAATACCCCCCTAAAAATGAGAGAAGAATGCAGTTTTCCATTTTTCTCAAGTTTGGGCATCAGTTACATTAGACACTCGGGTACTCAACACAATCTCAGGTTATGAGAATTTTACAAGACTGAGAGGTTGACTTATTTATGGACAAGAGGGTATGTTATTCTATTTTACTGATATTGCAAGTATATAGTTTAATCTTGTAAACTCTGCTGTAAATTAATATAATGTATTATTACGTTTTTATATGTCTATATGTATTTATATTCAATAAAACATTATAAAAGACAAAACGTTATTGCTTCCAAAACAATACCTATTTTTATTGTTCTCTCAATTATTTATATATTTTAAATAGAGAAGCTCTTGTAAACTATATATCATTGTGGCTAGATACATATCTGCACAGTAAGCTCTGCTAAATTCTATGCTTTAGGACGTTATAGCAGAAAATAGGGGTACCAGCAGTTACAGGCTCTGGTGGGTGCAGGGAGTGTAGGGGCTGAAAAAAATATTTACATACAGTTGTGCACAAAAGTTTGCATACCCTTGCAGAAATTGTGATTTGTTGGCATTGATTTTTAAAATATGACTGATCATACAAAAAAATGCAACTATACCATCTGCAAGAATTGGGGGCATCATAGACAACTATTACAAAAGACTGCACGCTGTCATTGATGCTAAAGGGGGAAATACACAGTATTAACAAATAAGGGTATGCAGACTTTTTAAAATGTGTAATTTCATTTTTTTCTTTGTTGCCATGTTTTGTTATGATTGGGCCATTCTGATATAACCTACAGCTGAATATGAATCCCATAAGAAATAAAAGAAACATATTTTGAGTGGGTGTTAAAAACACTCACTTTGACACTGATCTCTGCCCCTCTCTCCTCTGTAGCACTGTGATTTTCACAGTGAGAAGACGCTTGCGTCCATAGGAAAGCATTGAGAATGCTTTCCCATGGACTTGCTGAATGCGTGCGCGGCTCCTGCCGCGCATGCGCATTCAGCCGAAGAGGAGGAGAGGAGGCAGAGAGGAGAGCTTCCCGCCCCGGCGCTGGAGAAAGAGATAAGTTTAACCCCTTCCTCCCCCTAGAGCCCGGCGGGAGGGGTACCCAGAGGGTGGGGGCACCCTCAGGGCACCATAGTGCCAGGAAAACGAGTATGTTTTCCTGGCACTATAGTGGTCCTTTAAGGGTTAAATTTGTGTTAAAAAGCTGTGTTTTAGTCTGTTTTAGTCTGTCTTAGTCAGTCAGTTTCTTTCCCCCAAATTTGCATTAGGTTCTTTTTGCAGGAGTTAGTTTTGGTATTGCTGCTAAAGGAAGTTTTAGTCTCATTTAGACTGTTTTAATCTTTTTTAGTCTGTTTTAGTAAAAAATAAAAATAATTGTGTGTTAGTAATTTGTTAGTTTAGTCAGTTAGATAGGTAGTTAGTTATGTAGTGTCTTGGTGAAATATGCATCGCTTGTACAGTTTGGATGATGCCTTCTTAGCGTCAGACTCGGACCCCACTGACACTGCATCCGATTTTGACCCAGGTTTTCTGACATGACATCATCTGTCTTTGAGCTGGCTGCAAAAAGGAAGCTGTGCTTTCACTGCTACGCCGAATGTGGAGGAGGACTAGGTAATTCCAAAGTCAGCTGATCCCAACATCCCAATTTTTAGTGCCAACGCAGGCATTAATGTCAATGTGCAGGACTTCTCAGCTATGCAGTATATGGAGCTATTTTTAGGGGATACCATCTGGGAGGAGATTGCTTCCCAGACTAAATTATATGCTACCCAATTTATTGAGCCAAATCCAGGTAGCTATGCAGACAGGGAGCATGCTTGGCATCCCACAGATGTCCCTGAACGTAAAAAATTATGGGCTCTTACAATGCTCATGGGGATTATAAAGAAGCCATCAATTCGCCCCTACTCTGCACCAACCCAATCTGTTATAGTCCAGTGTGCTCTCAAACTATATCTAGAGCAAGATATGAGTTACTGCTGAGATATTTACATTTTAATGTCAATCTAAAAGCAATCTGTGCATAAAAAACAGAATTCAAAAAATACCACCACACACTTTCTCTGAATTTTTTGGCAAAATGGTAGGGGGAAAGAAATAAAAACACCCCATCTTCTATGTCTACTTTATAAAAATATATATTTTCAAACCATAAATTCTACTTGGGGGATGTAAAAATGCACCACACTCAACATGTGCCTAGCAAAGCAAGCAAACTATATTCAGCCAAAATGGGCAAGTCCAAAATTTGTTACTGTAAAATCGTGGCAAACCAATGCATGGGGAGGCATAGGTGTACTCTGGGGACTTTGCAAAAAACAAACTGGGGTGTTTTCTGGCAGTAACATATAACCAACTGGCTAAAATCAAAAAGCAGAATTCACAAATTACCACCGTGCACGTTCTCTGAATTTTTTTAGCACAATGGTTGGGGGAAGGATGTTAAAACACTCCATATACAATACTCTGGAATGTCTACTTTATAAAAATATATACTTTCATGATGGTAACATTAACTCGGTAATGCAAAAATATGCAAAACTGAAGATAGGCCAAGCATACCTATATATCAAGTTGAAAAACTGACATGCACAAGTCTCTATCGTGGCATTTTAGCCCCAAATAACTCAGCAAACCTATGCATGGGTGGTATCACTGTACTCAGGAGATGTTGCTGAACACATATGGGGTTTTGTTTGGCAGCGATACATAACAGGATCTGTTAATTCATGCGTAAAGTACAATGTGTGTGAAAAAAACACAAATAAAAATTACTACACAAAAGTTTGACAAAGGCTGGTGGTAGAATTCACTAGATGAAAAGTGTTAAAATACCACCATTTAAAATACCCTGGATTGTCTACTTTTCAAAAATATATGCTTTGATAGGGGTAAAATACATTGGCCCAAATATGACATGGGCACAGGTTAACTACATGTCAAAATTCCAAGTTGGAAAACGGATATGCGCACCTGCCAAATGTGGCCTTTTAGCCCCCAAACAATCCGACAAGACTATGCATGGGTGGTATCACTGTACTCAGGAGATGTTGCTGAACACATATTAGTGTGTTTTTTGGCAGCAACACATAACAGGACCTGTGAATTTGCACTTGGGTTGTCTACTTTAAAAAATATGTACATGTGGGGTGTTTTTCAGAGATTTATGACAGATAATAGTGTTACAATGTCACTATTGATACATTTAAAAAATGTATATTTTGAAACAGCAATATCCTACTTGTACTTATAGCCCTATAACTTGCAACAACAAAAAAAAAGTCGGTAAACACTGGGTAAAAAACGTTTATTTTATTTATTTTTTTAAAATAAAATTTTATGACATGATAGAAATAATGGTATATAAAGAAAGCCCTTCTTGTCCTGAAAAAAAACATTTCATATATAAAATATATAATTTGTATGGGAACAATAAATGAGAGAGAGGAAAATTACAGATAAACACAAACACCACAAAAGTGTTAAAACAGCCCTTATTCTGACTCGGATTGCTGGGATAGTGATCTAACCCTTGTGAGACCTCTGTGCCTGGCCTCTATAAGCAGGTACGGTCACTGCGGACAATCCTCCTCAGATAGCTGAACTCACCAATACTGGTTTCATTCAAAAGCTGAACATCACACAACAGGAATACAACAGAATGAATGGATTTCAGTATTATGCGGTCAAAAGATGATGCTTTCCTTAGCTTAGCATATGGGATACAAGAGTCCCAGTTACATGAGGCAAATGCAAGAAGCCATGACACAGGAAGTACCGCAAGAACAGGGGTGGAGTTTTACATACAAGGAAATGATGTATCATGCTCACAGGAGGAACAAGGGCATTACCAAAAAGGGCCAGAAGGAGGCAGCAAATACCTACCTATAGAAAAATACAAGGTAAATAAATCACAGAATATGCTATGTAAATTGCATCTACAATAATGAGAATATTAACTGTGTAACAGCACACTCCCCGTCTGACATTGTAAATGTCACTATTTTATACCATAACGGTAGTTATACAAGTGCAAATAAACAACAGTGCAATTTGCTTGATGTCTTGAGAACGTGAAAGACAAAGAAAAAATCATGCAAAAAATGCAACAACTTCAAGTTAACATTAACGTCCAAGACTCTTCCTTGAGGTAGGCAACAGCCGCTATAGCCTCAGTTGACGCATCTGAGAAGATGTGAAGTTCTTTTCTCTGACTCATAGTGAGGGAAGCTGAATTGTAGCAGCGTGGTATACGGATTCCATCTAAGGCACGTAGAGATTGTTTCCAGGACTCCCACTTAGGAAGCTTGTCTGATGGCAGTGGGGCGTCCCAATCTTTAATAGTCTCTGTGAATTGCCTAAGCAAGGATTTGCCTTGTATGGTAATAGGAGTAACAAATCCCATTGGGTCATATAGGCTATTTACTACTGACAGAACACCATGCTTGGTAAACGGCTTGTCTGTAGAGCTGACTTGAAAGCCGAAGGTATCCTTTGACAAGTCCCACCGTAGGCCCAGACTTCTCTGTTCAGGTGGCATGTCCATTCCGAGATTAAGGTCTTTAAACCCTGTGGCATGATCATCAGGTTGAAAGGCTTTCATGACGGCGACACTATTTGAGGCGATCTTGTGTAGTCTGAGGTTAGCCTCAGAGAGCATATCTTGTGTCCTCTTGAGCAGATCTATGGCTTCTTCATCTGTAGGTAAAGATTTAAGCCCATCGTCAACATAAAAGTCTCTCTCAACAAAGTGTCGAGCGTCACTGCCATACTCCTTTTCTCCTTGAAGGGCAGTCCTTCGTAAACCATATGTTGCAACAGCGGGTGAGGGACTATTCCCGAAGACATGAACTTTCATGCAGTATTCTATGATCTCATTGTCCATGTAGTTACGGTGCCACAGAAACCTTAAGAAGTTCCTATGGTCTTCGCGTACAATGAAGCAATGAAACATTTGCTCAATGTCGGCAGTTATTGCAACTGGCTCTCTTCTAAACCTCATGAGTACACCTACAAGGTTGTTGGTTAGATTCGGGCCTGTGAGTAGAACGTCGTTCAGGGATACGCCTTGATGCTTGGCACTGGAGTCAAATACTACCCTGATTTGTTTGGGCTTGCATGGATGATACACTCCAAAGAAAGGCAGTCACCAGCACTCATCATGACTTTGAAGTGGTGGCGCTGGTTCG